TTAAGTTTTCCTTTTCCTAACATTTAATGATTTCAGTTTCTCATTTAGTTCTTGATCTTGACATACTCATATTGGGAAAAGCAAATACTGTCAAATTAATTGCCCACTTCTAGAATTCAATTTCCTTTCTAGCTTCAGGTTCTTGTTAAATGAAAAATATATACTCAGTTTATGAGGACAGACTGTTCAAAAGCAAAACAGAATAATGTATTTTTGTAATTAAATAGAGCTATGGAAAGCAGAAGTTGAATTTCTTATTTAAGCTTTTGTTGGTAGAATAATTCATTCATTGGATATACCGCCCCCCCGCAAAAAAAATCTGTAACTTTTTTTGATGGTTGAACTAAAATGTGTTTTCTCAGTGGTTTGAAGGTTTGCATAAGTATATCATTTATCAAGTGAGACACTGAACAGTTTTTTTCTATACTAGTATAATAAAATCTCTTCAGGGAAAAAATTCTCTCCAGAAGGAGTTGTATCTACATTTTATATTTTGAAGTCATTGGTTTCATTCATTCAGCCAAAACATTTAACTTGATAAAGGTAAGAACAAGGGTTTATGCTTATGTTATGAATTATTCTAGTTTGAAGACACTTCAAACTAGTCTTCAGTGATGGGTATAAAAAAGTTAAGGATTGAAAAGTCAAGTTATTAGTCAACAAGGAAGTAGTTGCTTTTTGTTAAGTTGGTTAGAGACCAGCTTATGAATTTTATTTAGATAGAGGATTCAAGATGAGCTGTGCCACAAGAAATAAGGGCAATTTCTGCAAAGGAGGTAGACTAACAAAATACTTTAAATGGACATTCCTCTTGAAAGACTCTAATTGGATCTGTAATACAGTCCTTGATTTTCTGTGAATTTTAAGGAGAGATGGCTAAGAATGTGAAAAGAATAAAGAATAGATTTGAAAGGCAATTCACCCTTCAAGAAAGGTTGCCCCCCCCCCAAAAAAAAAATTAAAGACTCCTAACTAAGCAGAAATACGTAATTACTTGGAAATGCCTTTTTTTTTTTTTTTTTTTTTTTAAGTAGGTTGTACAGGAAAAGAGGTGGGAGAGCCCAATGAAAACACAAGCCTGTGAAATACTCTGCTTCTGGCCGGACACTGTCCCGGTGTAATATTGTACAATGCCGGCTCCTACCGCAACATCCAGCGCGCGAAACATAGCACGGAAGTCACACAATGAGGGCACATTCTCATGACCTGTTTTTAGATTCCCCTAATAGCCAATATTTTCCGTTTTTAAGCTGCTTTTTGGGTGACCTGTTTTATTCACTATTGGCAAAAAGAATATTTGCATAATAGAGTGCAGGCCCAGTTTAAGAATGCTGCAGACGTTCTCCAGCCCCCTATCAAAATGGTATGGTGTTGATTGGGGAACTTGGTGTTCTTCCTAGTTGTTTTTTCTAGCTGACCAAAAAATTAGGTTCTTGAAAATCACATTTAATTGAATGATGATTTACATTGAAAAATAGCTAATGATGTCAATAGTTAAACATAGCTAATGTTGAATAACATTGTCTCTCCTGTGAAGGATTTTATCAGGCAGTCTGCCTTTCTGGTGACTTTTCTGTAAAAGATGGCTTCTTCATTCAGTATCACTATCGGTGTTTTTTAATTGGTCATTGACCAAGGTTGTGGATAACCAAAGCAATGCGCTTATAGCATGCAGGGTAGGGCAAAGTAGATTTACAGTTGTGAGTACAGGAAAAACAGAGTTTGCATGGTTTGAAGGCAAAAGAAATAACCTTGGTAAAGTGCTGGCATTCTGACACTTTTTAACAGCCAAAAATAGCTGTTAGATAGCAACCTGCAACACAGCATCAGATAATTTTCAAGGGAAGTCAGGAGGCTGCAGAAATTGTATCATTGGCACTGCATAGAAGTAGCCACAGGGTAGTGCAGTTTGCAGATTTTTTTAATGTTTCTCATTTTTCAGACAACTAGAATTTGGAATGCATTTTCTTACAGAATTATAAAGAGCATTGGGATTCCAGACTGACCTTCAAAGCATCGTTAACCTGTCCAAGCTTTGTGTCGCCTCCCTTTACTCTGTGAAGCACCATGGCTTCTGTGGAAAATGTATTCCTGAGGTCGAGGGAGATGCCTGATCAAATTCTTTCCCTCTGTTTAATAGAAACGCCCCCACCAGGGGCATTGAGAAATGGCTAAGCTGTCATAAACACAAATATCGTGTACAAAGAAAGTATGTTTCAAGGTCTTCCTCTTCCTGTGGGATCTGAATTGCGGCGTAAAGGGAGATTGGACCTCTGCAGGAGCAGGAAGTCCAGACTGCTGCTGTCTTCTGTTGGCTTGTGTGAGTCATTTGCGAATTGAGTCAGGTGCTTTTTACATCAATATGGAGGAGAAATAACACATTTTTCATGGTTTTGTTTTGTATGGCATTCAAGAGAGGTTATGTGCACACACTATGCTCTCTGAAGGCTTATTTGCTTTTGTATTTCCAGCACTTAGCACAGTGCCCACGACAGAAAAGAGGCTGTGTTTCTTGAATGGATGGATGAATGAATGAATGAATGATTGAATGAGTGAGTGAGTGAGTGAGTGAGTGAGTGAATAGCCAGTCTTCACGAAGTGCTGTAAAGCCTACATGATTTTCAGAGATTGTGGTAATTTGATAAATACATTATTCTCACAGCAATTTTAAAATTGACTCATGGCTTTTAGAGCAATGAACTTTTCTAGTTACTTGGCTTTCTCATATGAGAACCAGTGTGTTTTCTAAAACTGTAAATGGGATGGCCTAGTTGCCATCAGTCTCACAGTAAGGCAGTTGTTTGTGGTGCAGTGGAAAAATTAGCAGAATAGAGATTGCCTAACTGAATTAAATTGCCAAAGAACAAACTGTAATTTTCCAAGTTACAAAAAAAAAAAAAAAAAAATTCCCAATCTCAGTAGCAAGGAAATGTTTCCATTTTAAAATAATAAGCATTCTTACTTTTGACCTTAACCACAAGGCCCACTGTTTCCTAATTGTGTCCTCCATCAGCCACAGGAGGAAGGGATGCAGCAGAATGCCCGCTGACGTGGGCTCCGGAGCTCAGGCCCCCTGACCTCAGGCCCCTCCGCCGCTTCCTCCTCGGTGGTCCTGGTTGAGCTGTGTAAACCAAAGGATGTTTTTCTCATTGGGAAAAGGGGCTGATAGAGGACCCTTGTCATACTTACGTGAACTGAAGTCTGTACAGCACTTGGCGTATAGAAGCACTGCATACATATTAGTTGTCATGTGATCAGCCCTTTACGCACATTGCATCTTTTGGCCTTTCCTCATGTTGACGTTTTTTTTTAAAGTGTATTTGAAAAGCTCCTAGCCACATTTTAAGGTCTTAGTTTGAGGTGATTCTTCACTGTGTTTTCATCTCTCCCTGTCTCACTGCCTCCTCTGAGTTCCTGTAGTAGTTGATCGCAGTACTCACCAGGTATTATAATTACATGTCTGTCCCCTACACTACACCACAAACTCTTCAAGGAGTATGTTTGTATTTTTCTCTGTTCCTGCTGCATGTGGTATTTAACAGAACAGTTGTTAAATTGTTTAATAGACACGTATATCGAAATCTTCTATAAGTTGTACAGTGTTAATCAAAGGATAGTACTCTTTTACGACTTAATAGTGTGCTTGGCATAGTAGGAAGTAGTTAGTGGTATTTAAATATCAAAGATGAGACTATATTACCACAGAGCTCATTCAACAATGGTTTCAAATACTAGATGAACATTTTTTTACTATTTGTATCCAATTGATTTTAGCAACTTGTAAAACCTTATAGATGTGAAAGACCTATTTCCTTCCTTTCTACTGCAGGCATTCTAGATGCCAGGTTCAGTCCCATCATTTTAACTGATTCTCACTCCCCCCATAAGATCGGAAAGCTGATTGATTAAATACAATATTTACATTTTATAGTATTTTAACGGCTAAATCTCGATGACTGGCCCCGCGAGCTCGTGTGCCAGGCGCTGAGGGCTTCAGTGTGTTGTCTGATGTAAATCCTGCCACAGCCCTGCCAGCTGGAGGCACTATTGTTTCACACGCTTTTACGGTGGGAGAACGAAAGCTTGGAGATGTGGGGTGACTTGCTCTAGGTCACCCGGCTGGTAAGTGTGGGGTCCAGGCTATGAACCTAGGTAGTCAGAATCGGGGGCCTAAACTTATAATTCATTCAGCTGCCCGTTCTTTTCACATTTTATTTGAATTTTATCTGTTTTTAACTTATTTTGAGGTGATGTGTATAAAGTGGCTAATGTTTGACTCAGAGTAGATGGTCAGAAAATGATAGTTTTATTTCTTCTTTCTGATGTGATACCATAAGAAATAAATTTAAAAAGATATAAAAAGAAGTAACATGAACAATGTAAGGAATCATGCTCTCCAAACCTATACAGACTTCTGATCCTTTGTTACCGTGTTTGTTGAACATCTTATTTTACTCCACAAAAATATTCTCATGTGTAAGAAATCACAGAATATCAGAAAAAGGTAGAGAATAGTAGATCTGTCTTATTTCAATATTCAGTTTTCTTTTTCATTGATACCTTGTCTTATCAAAAAACAACTTACTTTTTAAGACATCTTTGTGAAGTTTTAAGGGTTTTTGTCACTGTGTATATTTAATTTGTCTAATGTCTTAAGTAACCAATATTTGTCATTTTGGGATATTTTTTAAAAGTCACCTTTGCAGTTTGATTTAAATGTGGATAAACTTGATGTCTAATATCTTAAGATCCAAATAATTTGCACAGTTTTACTAAGACATAGATTTGGAAATTCAGGTAAAATGTTTCCGGATGATTATTACATAAGCAATATCCTGGTATAGTCTAGTGTTAACATTAGTTTCTTCCTTATCATCAGCACTATATTTATATAATGTTTATTGTATATCAGGGTTGGCTTTATTATGTTTAGAGAGAATGTTTTAAAATCTTTTAAGCTCTGTATTTCATGTAAGTACTTTCTATCTTTTTAAAAATAGGTAAATCAACGAACTGGGAAGATGATGGTTGGGGAGCATGGGAAGAAACAGAACGCCAAGAGCCTGTAAGTCTTTAGAAATGTATGCTTGCTTCTCGATAGCGGCATTTTCCTTGTGTAAAGATGGTGACATATTCCGATGTTAGGCTGACATTTAAAAATCTTGGTCACAAACATTTCTGTGCTTACTTAATAGTGCGGAGTAGAGACCTGTTATTCCTCCTGCTGTCTATAATTATGAGCAACTCCAAAGGCATAGCCAGCCCCAGAGACATAACAAGAATCAGAGTAAATTTTGGCAGTTGTATGAAACGCAGAAGTGCATGCTGTAGTCAAGGTAACAGGCGTAGCCACCTAATCAGAATGGAAACAGCAAACCCAACGCCTGCCTTCCCTGCGAGTTGCACTGGCAGGTCTTGTCCACACGAAAGATGAGACCAGTGTTGGAAGAGGCAAAATGTCTTGAAGTCAATTTCTGGTTGTGTGGTTACTGGAAAGGGACCAGGGCCGAGGCGGACCTGCCCCCGCACGGTTGGGAATGTGTGGGTTCCTGACTGTGTGCAGGAAAGATTTCATGACAGCAGTTGAGGCGATTTTGAAAGTACGTTTATTAAAGCTGGGGACAATGAAACAAAGGAAGGGCTTAAGATCGAAGAGGTAAGGTCATAGCAACAGGAGGGAGCCTAGGTGTGGCTGCCCTGGCTCTTTAGAGAGAAACTCACAGAGGCAGACGGAGTGAGCCACATGGGGCCGTGGGGACTCAGGAAACAAGTTACAGAGGCAAAAGGAGGCCCTCGGAGGCAGGTTCAGGGGTGAGCCTGGGAGGAGCTGCCAGTGCCTGCTGCTCCCCTGGTTGCAAGTCTCCTGGGAACACTTAGCGCTTAGGAGAAAGGGAGCAAAGGTACACACACCTGAGGAAAGATTGGGGGAAAGGCACAGGCGTGCTCAAGGGAGAGTGTGCAACGAATGGGTCCTTCGTCTGAAGGGTTTTTATTTGCTTTCAAAAGGCAGGAATGTTAGGAGACATCTCATTAATCAGAACATTCATCAGCTTTTTTGGTGTGTCTTTTGATATGCTGATGCATCAAAATGAGCATATAGAGGCATCAGGGTCATTCTCTGCTCAGTTTCACCTTCAACAAATGTCACCTGAAAGGGATTGTGACCAGGCCAGGGGTGTCTGCCCTATCCCAGTCTGGAATGTATAAATCATTTGCTCCTAATTGTCCTTAGTTAGGGAAGAGAAGACCTTGCAATCTGTTATCTGGCTGTGAATTGCTCAGCTGTCCAACTCTCTTCCTCATTTTTTGGTCAAGGAAAGCTGCCAGCACCTTACTTGCCTGCCTCAGCGTCAAGGTGCCGCAGCCGTAGGAATGGGGGCAGGCTGTCCGCCGGTTCCCACGGGCTCATGGCTGTTAGGACCGGCAGAGGAGAGTAACCTTTGCTTTGCCAGCCTGGCTTAGAGGGGCGCGGTGTCTGGGTCTTCGGGGGGCTGTGGAGGTGTGGAGAGGGGCCGCAGGTGCTGACCCAGGGCCGGCCGGCTGCGGCTGAGCCCGGCAGAAAACTGTGACGGCCTCAGGGCGCTGTTTGTTCCCATAAGTTTGTAGGTTCAGAGAATTGTTTTAATTCTATTTGAAATGAATTTCTTACAAGTAATGAATTTGTTTTTGAAAATAACATGTTTATTACAGAAAATTCAGATATTATAGAAAAATAGAAGGAGTAATCAAGCAACTCTTAATGTCTAAGAATAATCATTATCATTAACTTCAATGGGTTATAAAAGTAGGCATATTGCTCTGGCTATACACAGGTTGAGTGGCTGGATGAATGGGCAAACAAAATTCTATTAAATTATATATATATATATATATACACACACACACACACAATTTAAAAATAAATAATAGAATTAATCCCACTTGAATCGAAAGCTAAACTGTAAGAGTTACTGAATTATCATTAACTTCCTGTAAATTTTGGAAGAAAAGTAGTTTTAAAACTTGAGATTGAAGTTGTTGGTTTTTGTGACTAATTATGTTTGTAAAATTTTTTTCTTTGGGCCACCTGTAATCAAATTAGTAGTCACATTTAGAAAGAGCCTCTTTTCACTCTGAAAAGACCCTCGGCCTTTCGCCTGAGAGCCGGAGCCTCCAGTGTGGATGGCGGCCTAGCCCGCTGCCTGTTGTTGGGGCGCCAGGGTCCGCGAGGGGCGCTCTATTGCTCCTCAGCTCCACTGTCATCTGTGTTACACAGGAAACTATTAAACTGTTGCATAAGCTTTTGTTTGGGAGTAAAAAGTCCTGCTACCTAAGAAACAAGGTTTACCATACATCGGCATTACATATATGTGAACAGCAGGCTGGGGAGGGGGGAAGGAGAGGCACCCGCTTATTTAGCCTTATTTACATTTTGTGTTTCAGAATCCTGAAGCGCTTCTGTCTCTTGGTTTAAAATCTGTAAATGCCAATTTCATTTCTGTGATTTAGATGGTACACGGCAGAGAGTGACAGTGAATACATACACAGCCCCTGATTACGCTGGCTTTTTCTGGCCCCTCTGTAATATGTAAATGTCTGGAAAGTTAGCCCAGTGGCAGTGACAATGTAAGTCACTGGGGGACTTGGACGCAAGCTGAAAACTTCGAAAAACCATTTCTGCTGCTCCAATAGCAACCTGGCCACCCCAGCAGCTGAGGCACTAAAGCCCCTGTGCCACTATGTTTACGGACCAGCCCTGATAGTGGCCAGCTGTAATTAAAAGCCTGGTTAAACTCCTTAAAAAAAATTAGCTTTATGAAAACTTTTTTCATAAAGCCTGTGAAAGCCTCCCTAGCAAAACTTGCGGATCTCTTCCGTTCCTAATGCCTCACTGAGAAGGAAAAATGAGTGCGTGTCTATTCCAGAGGCTTCAGGCCTTCCTGGAGATGTTCCTGCAGGTGTCCTGGAACCCATATTTTATGCATGTTTTAAATATTTCTTTGATAGCATCCCAGCAAGAAATAATTTATCTTTCCTAGAAATACCACCGTAATATTTCTGACAAGGATGATTTATTTTGCTCTTAAAATCTTTTAAATTTTATTATGCTAGTAATTCATGCCTATTGAAAGCTTTTTTAAAAAGCATAAATGTGTAAGCATTTTCCAGAAAGAATACAGCCTGCGTGTCTTCCCTTCTCTTGCCCTCCCCCCGCCTTGATTAACTTGATCTAGAAGCAGTCACGTAGGGTTGAGTCTGCAGGCCATAAAACTTAGAAGCTGTAAGTGATAGATGGATAATTTAGCTACATAACATTAAAAAAATGTTTACACGAAAGAAAGTAAGCTACCACAGGGACCAGGAAAAACTATTTACAACTCTTATGTTCAAAGGGCCAATTTTCCTTATATGTAAAGAGTTTATACAGTTGATTGGAAAAAGGGCAGCAACTCCAGTAGGAAATCTGCAAAAGAAAGGAGATAACCTTTTCTAGAAAAGCCTCTTATGCATATGAGAAAGTGCCTGTTCTCATTCCAAAGAACGCAGTATACTGAGATTCCACGTTCATCTGTTAGATTGACAAAGATCCAGAGTTAAAACATCTTTTGAAACACTTCTGGGGAAACAAGCACTTTCAAAACTTGCTGGTTGGGTTGTAAATTAACACAGCTTCTGTGGAGCAGAACTGAGGTATAGCTAGCAAATTTACTAATACATATTCCCTTGACCCAGCAAATTCAGTTCTAGGAATTTATCCTACTGACATATGCCCATGCCAACTGACAGATGTATCAAGTTCTTCACTGTCACACAGTTTATAGCAGCAAGAGAGTGTGTGTACACATCACAGGTGTCCATCAGTTGGGGGCTGGGAAAATAAACTGTGGTGTGTCTATACAGTGAAATACTGTGCAGCCACTATAAGGTAAAGACACTTCAGGTGGAATCAAGCCTAAGGTATATGATAAGAGAAAATTAAAAAAAAAAAAAAGACTGAAAAAACTAAAGTAGAAGTGTGTACGGGGTGGGCAAAAGTAAGTTTACAGTTGTGAGCTGAAACATGGAATTTATTCTTTTATTACTGTTAATTATTGTGTTAGCTGTCTTCTTCTGTAAACCTACTTTTGCCAGGCCCTGAATAATGTGTGCTACCATTTGAGTTAGGAAAAGGGGGGAAAGGTGTGTATGTATATGTATGTGCAGAAAGTATCTGGAAATACACCCCAGGGCCAAGTGCATGTGTCGTCTCTGGAGTGGACAATGGGGCGGCCAGAGCTCAGGGCTAGAAGAGAGGCTTTCCAGGGAAGCTGTTGGTTTTTATGCCCCCAGGAACTTACCTATATAAGGAATAAATTTGCAGTTGAAAAACAAAAACACCTTTCAGGTCGAATAAAAAGAAAAATGGGTCAAATTTATCAAAGTGCACAGGCCTGACCGCTGTAATCGTCAAGCGGTTCTCACTTGCTGTCCAGCTGCCGACACCGCAGCTGCTTCCCTGGAATAGGGCCATCACTACATTTTTTAATACCGAATCATTTTGGAGTGGTCCCTATGTGATGTTGTTTTAATATCCTTCTACTCTGTGCTTGTTTACATTGAATTTTTTTTTTTTTGCATTGGTATTCAAAGTTGTTTGTAGTAGGTAGGTAGTTTGTCGGTCATCTTCGACATGTTTTGATAAGAAATATTATCGAGACTTTATGAAAGATTTGGGAAGATTCCTTTCCCCCTTTTACTTCCCCCTCGCCGTTCAAGGCAGACAAGTTGAGCTGACACACTCCACTGCTGTTGCATGTACATTCATTGGAGTTTCACCCACAGGAAGAAGAAGGAAATACTTGCAAAGCACAGAAAACTTCATGGCTTCAAGACTGTGTTTTATCCTTGTCTCCAACCAATGATCTTATGGTCCTGGCTTGGGGGCAAAAAGCTGTATTTCTAGTGCGTGAGTATCTATCGTTTCCCAGTGGCCTTGATTTTAATGCATTGAATTGAGCAGAAAATGTATTAGAGGGGAAAAAAATGTTATTTATTTCTATTATATGCATTATATAGTAGTCTTCGATAGTTTATGTTATGTAGTTTGTTTTATATGTTGTTTAAAACGTGTTCTTCCCTTTTTGGTATCTCTCTTTTTTCCTTTTCTGTTTTTTCGCCCCCTTGGCGGCAGATCCTTTAGCCATCTCTTTGTGGCACTTGAGAGACAGGGCTGGACACTGCCTGAAACCGAGGTTCTGGGTTTGCTTGGGGTCTGGAAACCTCGCCGATCCAAGGGAGGTCACGTAGGAAATGGCGATGGAACAGCCTTATCACGCAAATTGACCCTCCAGTGGTTAATCAGGAAGTTTGTTGGCTACCTGAAGATCAGTAGAAGTGGTCTTATAAATAAAATAGGTGGGGTACCTAAGAATTAAAAACTGATTATATGGATTAAATTGGAGGAAGGAGAGACTAAGGGTAGAGTTTTATAAAAATCTTACACAAATTTTAAACATCATCTTATATTTAAGACCCAAATTTATTCATACAGGACTATTAAATTTTGTGCTCATCATTCTAAAAAGGAAAGAGTCAAATTTATAAATTACTGTTTTAGTATACTGTAGTTGAAGTTATTTTTATAATGGAACTTAATTTTTTCAGCAAAATGGAAATATAGTGATAAAGGAAAGGAAGAAATGCAATTTGCTGTTGGTTGGAGTGGCTCTTTAAATGTTGAAGAAGGGTAGGTACCGGTTACTTTTTTGTCTCTGTGTGTGTTAAATGTGCATGTGAAAGTGTTTGACTTGTAAGTGAATCTGTGGAGAAGTTTTATCCTTTGGAAGGTAAATGTTCATTCCAACTTTGAGGTTGTAGAGCCAATTCAGTTCACAAACCTTAAGTTTACTCATCATGTGATTACTTTTAAAAAACCCAGCTATTTGGAGAGGATTTAAAGAAGCATTCAGAAAGAATATTATAACATCCTTCCTACATTTTATCTTTTTCTGTTTTTCATTACTGATTTTATTCAGCCAGAAAGTCAAGGGCAATAATTATTTTCTCTGCTTTCCTAGCATTGAGTTTGTACTTAAAGGCAACAGCGCTACATTAGTTCTTTCTTTCTTTATTTTATTGAATTTATTGGAGTGACATTGGTTAATGAAATTATATAGGTTTCAGGTGTATAATTCTGTAATACATCATATATACGTTGTATTGTGTGTTCGCCACCCCAAGGATACATGAATTCGTAAAACTCATAAATACTTTAGAAATGCAAGTTGGTAAAGTCAGGTTTCCTGCTGACTCAGTAAGAGTTTTAAAATCAAATCTCTAGCGTGGCTATGTGATAGAGCCCAGCCCAGAGTCTGGAGCCAAAAACTGTTTTGAATTAAATGACTCAAAGCTCTCTGATCAGAATAAGCAAGATTTTTCACTTTAAATTCAGAGAAAAGACAACCAAGTGGAAGCCGGTAGTACATGCCCGGCACATTGTAGATACTCAGTGAAATGTCTTCTCAAAAAATGAACAGACTTCTCTCTGAGCCATTTAGTCTAAAACATTTTAAAGACGTTTAATTTCCGTCACACATGCAAAGCAAAAATAATGGCTGAATCACTTTAAAGAAAACAAAAAGATTGATTCTGTTCAGTGATTACCTACTATGATGTACGGGGCTAGAGTGTTTATTGTTTCTTTCTTTCTTTGTTTTTTTTAATCGTTTCTTGAATAAGCTGGTGATGGTCCTGCAGTCTGACTACTTCAGTAACAGTCAGTCAGGGAGTTATTTTAATTTCAAGGCTTGGTCTCTGAGCTCCTGGCAAATTTTTCAAGTCTGCCTGTCAGAAAGGAAATCTCCTAGGGAACATCTGGGCTGGCATGTGCTTAGAAACAGGTTCTCAGGGGCAATCTCTGCAAAAGATGAAGCCGCAGCCGCCGCCGGCGCAAGGACAGTCAGTCCCTAGGGGAGTGTGCTCTGCAGACCTGCAGGAATGGGGCCGGCGGACCCTGCCGCCCTCTGCCCGCGGTCTCAGGGCTGCGGAGGGGCGGCCGACAGTGGGACGCGGAGGCCGCTGGTGGGCATCGGTACTTTCTCAGCTCCGCGTCCGAAATCCGCCCACGGTCGAGTTTGACGTTCTTTACTTTCATGCTTTTCACGACAATACAGAATGAAGAATACTGTTTGTTTTTCTTTTATTTACCTCAAGAGAATGGGACATTACGTTTCATGGCAGTGGGTTTTCTGATCAGACCTGGGGCAGAGCTTGCAGGTGAATTGGCTTGGGTGTTGAATCAGACTGGCCCACAGAGCTCCCTCCCTCCCCGCCCTCCCGCAGTGCCTGAGCCTGGAAGGAGAGCCATGGGTGCCTGTGTTGGATAAGCACACGATGTTGTTTCTGTTTTCAGGGAATGTGTAACCAGTGCTCTGTGCATCCCACTGGCGAGCCAGAAGAGGTAAGGATAAGTAAGAGCTGTTGGCTCGCTTTGCTGTGCCTTACGAGCTGTCCCAGTCACGAGTTTTGTCTGTGGCAGGAGTTCCACCGGGCGTCCCGACTGGACCTGCACTGTGCTGGGCTTCACCTCTGGTTCCGTGCGCTTCTACACGGAGGTGAGCTCAGCGCCCGGCAGGCGGAAAGCCCCCGCTGCCCGGCACCCTGGTCTTGCAGCCCCGTTGTGCTCACCGGGGACTCATTCCCTGCTTCTGGAAGTGTGTAGGTGACACTCGATGAGGGTAGGGGCTGCACAGGGCAGGGGTGGGGGTAGGAGAGCCTGGCAAAAGCGGTCAGAAGAGAAGTGGCACATTCTTCCGAGAGGAGAGGGCCTGGAGGACTAGGTGGGGAGACGGTGCTCTCTGCTTGGCCGTGCCTGTTCAGGTGTAATGCCGAGAAAACAGCAGGGCTCTCCTTTCTGCTCCTCCTAGAATGGGGTGCTCTTGCTCGCACAACTTCTGAATGAGGACCCGGTGCTGCAGCTGAAGTGCAGGACGTACGAAATCCCCCGACACCCTGGCGTGACCGAGCAGGTAGTGTGCGAGTCTGCACGCGGAGTACCAGTGGCTTTCCCCTGAGGAGTCCCTGGCCAAAGGCATTCTGAAATGGGTTTTCCATTTATTTTTACTTTTTCCCCGCCTGAAACTGTTTTGTGTGTTGGTGGGTGACAGTTGTGTAGTCATAGCATTTTTTTTTTTACATCAGTCATGACATTTGGCTCTAATAGAAAAATGGACACTCTTATTTGGCAATGATTATTTTCTTCTTCCCTTTTCCTTTGGTAGAATGAAGAGTTGAGTATCTTATATCCAGCTGCCATTGTGACTATCGATGGATTTAGCCTTTTTCAGTCTCTTCGTGCCTGTCGAAATCAAGTAGCAAAAGGTAATTTTTTGGCAGGAAGTAGCAAACTTGTGACGACGTTTGACTTGTTTAATTGAACCTACCTAGGCAGTTAAATATGTCTACTGCATTAGAAAGGCCTTCCCATACTGGATTTAAAGGAAAAAGCCCGCTGCCGTGGAAACGGGCGTACGTTGCTGGCCAGGCGGCTTAGTCAGACACAGGCGAGAACGGAAACATCAACACCGTTGCCGTGTTGCCGCAGAGAGTGTGCCCCGCGCAGGAGCAGCTCAGCAACATGTCCTGGCCAGTTAGGGGAGATTTGCAGCTGTGTCAAAGCTGAGCCACCAAATTTCTCACTCGGTTGGCAGTGGCTGGGCCAGTTTTCCTCCAGTGAGAGACACACCCCGTCAGTTTTACACCCCAATTTCAAAGATGGTAAAATAGGGGGAAGAAAAGCCTTAAAATCGGTAAAAATACCAGGATCTATACCACCCTGGGCAGGGCCACAATCTCTCTCCAGGGGAGAAATTGCTTATGTGGCTCCAATTGTGTTTTGAATTGAGCTTGATTATTAGAAATAGTCAAGAAGGTTAAGTCTTCGCCAGTAATGAAGTTAATTGCTGGAGTGCTCCAGAACCTCCCATGACAGCCAATGTGCTCTTTTAATGTTTGTTTTATGTGCATTGTCTGGGCGGGACGAGACCTCACTGTATGCCTTGTTTAGCATTACTTTGTCCTGTTATTATAAGTTGAAATTTTAGAATAATAAGTGACTACATTCTATCCTTTGTAGTCAAGTTGGGTTTGTCTAATTTTTGACAGCTGCAGCATCAGGCAATGAGAACATACAACCACCACCACTAGCTTATAAGAAATGGGGTCTACAAGACATCGACACCATTATTGATCATGCTAGTATTGGTAAGCATTACTAGTTCAGTTCTTTCGGAATTTACTTCTTATACTTTTTGATTGAAGTATCTCACTGATTAGAAATGTAGATTTATTCTTATGTGAAAAGAACATGCAACGCTTTTAATGCGATACTTGGAAGTTTGTTCAGACTTACAAATTATCACAGATTTATGTCGTTCACAGTTTCCCTAATTATGCCTTCAGCAGCAGCATTAAGTCACTCACTACTTGACTTAATTTTTCTGCAGAAAAGTTTAATCCCTATAATTACCATACAGATTAGTCTTTTTTTAACATAACCCTTAAACCAGCAGACTGCAGGTAAGAGCAGGTTTCCCCTTGCGACCAGGATTTGAAGGCCTACTGTGCTAGGCGTGAGGCGACCAGGGGTGGAAAGACAAGCACGTCCCGCTGTCAGGAAGTGTGGGTCCCGCTGACAGAAACGTGGGGCGGTCACAGGACTGCGGTCCCAGTGGCTGTGGACAGCGGACTGGCTGGAGCGGAGAGAGGGGGGCGGACGTGAGACGCATTTCGCCCTTGTAGAGGGATGGACTTTTGTTTGGTGGTTGCGGGGAAATAGATATCCTGACTTCATTCTCCTTAACTCTCTCTGATCTCCTGACGGGGCGTCTGAACTGCCTGAGCCCGACCGGAAGTCCGCATAATGCACACAGTGGCGCTGGGAGGGAGCAGGGAGGAGGGGCCGGAGCATGGACCTGAGGCCGGACTGGAGGTTCCTGGTGCACACGCCCCCTGGTTACTGTCGCATAGCATCCTGTGGACTACTCTGTGCTTAACGTCTTAGTGATGGACCTTCAGTTTGTCTTTACTCTTTTGCTACCATAAAAATGCCCCCGAATTCCAAAGTGGTAAAAATGCTACAAAATTCCAAAGTGTTGAGTTCAGTGCAGGGTAGCGTCCCTGTTCTGTTAATTAAACTTTGGGACATTGTAACAGGCTAGGGGAAATGACTGGATAGAAAATATGACTCTATTCATTTATCTCCCGGCCTACAAAATGAACAACAAGTGCCGTGAACTTTAAAGTTCTGACTAGTTCATTCAATAAATAAATGAACAAGTAACTACCTGTTGTGTCCCTGGAGCTAATGTCGGTGCTAGAAATGCAAGGCAGACGGGCCGCTGCCTGCTGAAGTTTGCGTCTGGCAGTGAGCAGACAGACAGTACACGATCAAACCAGGTGTATAAATGTGGTAACACCAGACTGTTAGTGCGCATCATGAAAAAAATCACAGGGTTGTGATAAAGGCGGAGGGTGCTCCCGGTGGACCTCAGAGGAAAGGCCTCTCCTGGGAGGGGACAGGGCGTTCAGAAGGGCCGGCCCGGGGAGAGGGGCGGGGAGAGCGTTCTCGGCAGAGGAAGCAGCAGAGATGAGACGCAATGTTTTTATAGCTCAGAGGAATGGCAGACGGCAGTTTTAGTCTAATGCGTATGTTATGACATTAATTTTGTAGCGTTCAAAAACTTCTTTTATCTGCTAAATAAAATTGAGAAGTTAGTATCTTAGAATGGAATTGAAGTAAACATTCAGTGACCTGCAATGGCAGTGCCACTTCAGTGCATTCAAGTCATGTGCTGTTGTCACTTTATCATTAGGCATTATGACGCTGTCGCCTTTTGATCAGATGAAGACTGCCTCCAATATAGGCGGATTTAATGCAGCCATTAAAAACAGCCCGCCTGCCATGTCGCAGTATATCACTGTAGGGTCCAACCCGTTTACCGGCTTCTTCTACGCTTTGGAGGTGAGAGTTCCATCCCTGAGCATGAGTAAGGCCACCGGTCGGTTTTTCAACTACAGAATGGTTGGCTACAGAATGGGCATGGTACCTTAGCCTGGGAAAAATTAAGCAGTTTACATTGTTAAGTATCAATTTAAATGCAAATAAACCTCAGCTCACGTTTTTTCTAAATTCTTCAAATGAACTGGAAAGGTGCTAAAGTCAATGTAAAATGGGCTCTTTGTTTCTGAGGCCCAGAGTTCTCAGACACTTGGGCTGTCTTTGGGGAGTGGGGCCGTGGTCCGGAGCGCAGGGCTGGGGCTGGTGGCTGCCAGGGACGCGCGTCCGCGAGGACTTGTCAGCGCAGAACAAGCTGCCAGCTGCCATCATCCACGTGGTGAAAACTGCTTCTCAAACCGGGGGAGTCAGGTGTTCGATGTGGCAGCTCTCATTTCTCTCTTGAAAAGCAGCCTTCTCGGGATTGCTCGACCTCTTTTTACTTTAATAAAAAGATTTTTTTTTTAAAGAAAAAAAGAGGGGAAAGGGCCAGTTGTGTGTGGATGGGAAATCCACATCCCTGCTTCAGTAATGCCCTCTTAATGCCCTAGTTTAAAATTTTCAATTAAATTACAACTTAAGGAGGGAGTTCCTAAAGGTAAATAGACTACCAGTGATTTTGACATTTACACTATACAGTTAAGCTTTTGGCAATGTTGCTGCGTCCTACCTTGAAGACTCTACTGACCGTCTGAAAGAAGCTGCCTATTTTGCTAGTCCAGGCTTTGCAGCTTCTCAAACGTTTTACACTGGGCCTCGTTTAGGAAGCGCATCGTGTTCCCCGCCAGCCCTTAAGCTTTCTCCCCGCGCGTCCTGTTTTCCAGGGAAGCACACAGCCGTTGTTGTCTCACGTGGCCCTGGCCGTCGCCAGCAAACTCACCTCCGCCTTGTTTAATGCCGCCAGGTAATCGCATGGCAGTTGCGTTCAAACTCATCTGATCCCTGTCCAGCTTGGTCTGGGCCTCTTATTTCAGAGTCTGCGCCTTGACCCTCCAGAAGCCCTGGTTTTATCTTCACCTTCCCTCTTTTCAGTGGTTGGCTTGGCTGGAAGAGCAAGCACGAGGAAGAAGCTGCCCCGAAGCAGAAGCCAAAGGTGGAACCGGCCACCCCGCTGGCTGTCAGGCAAGTCTGCCCTGCGTGTCTCCATCGTCAGTGCTGGCAGCGGTGGGCTGGGAGGGGGCGGCCTCCCAGTGAGTCTCACGAGTCTTCGGGGCCTCTGGAGTCACTGGTTTGGGATGAGTCCCCCAGCGGAATGCCGGTTCCAGGAGAACAGTGGCTCTTCCTGCCTCATTCCCTGCTGCCTGCCTGCCATGTTGGCAGCTGTTCTGTGTGCATTTGTTAACATAGCCTAAGTGGCAGGGAAGTTAATTTTGTGGTAGCTGATGAATTTATTTTTAAAAATAGTTTTGTTCGTCACATGCGTTCAGGCCCTCCTCAGAATGCTGGCTCTATTTCCTCGCTTACGTCAGTGGTGCATAGGACGTTTAGTATATTTGTCAGGTTTGGGAGGAGAGGGTGAGATATTTGCTGGATTTTGTTTTAAAATTAATTTTTATTACCTAATATAAAGTATTACTGTGAAGGGAAATAGGACCTCCTATCTTTAGATGCCCTTCACCTAAAGAGATAGAATGTTATCAAAATGTATTGAAGTTTATCTTCTAAGGTTTTTTGATTTTATTTTAAAATGCCAATTTTTAAATTCACCCAGGAATGAAGAAATGAGCCAGATGGCCCTGTGCGTCCCAAATCTGAGCACTTTGCCTCAGGGACTTTAGTCATCGTGAGCTCCCCTGGCCCGTTCTCAGCACCTCTTTACTTTTATTTTACTCAGAGGTCTAATGAGACTGATTATAGACCAAGAGCAGCTTAGAGGTAACTATGTAGAAGGGAAGTTCTTGCTTTAGACTGATAACACTGGAATCAGGAAGATATGATACCTATCAAAAAAAGAGAGCAGATTAGGAATAAGAACTTCAAATAGCCAAAAGATGCCTGGACAGGAGCATAGTTTTCTAAAATTTAGTTCATTGTGAGGGTATTGTTTTCTACAACATAACACTTGATTAAGGAAAGATATAATGTACTTGATGTTCTTTGAAAATATAAGGTTGTGGGTATTTATATAGAAGACAGATGGAATAAAATATAGATGTTTTTATTTTATAATGGTAGAAACTTTTTAATATATTTTATAGTACAAAATGTTAGGCATGAATAGTTGATTATTAGTCCATGCAAGGGTCATATTTCTTTATATAAAAACAGATTCAGCCTGTTTCATTTATGTATTTTGTTCTTGTGGTATATATTCCTAGCTTGAAATAATGGTTGGAGCTTTTTATTTTCTTTTGAATATCAGATTTGGGCTTCCAGATTCTAGACGCCATGGTGAAAGCATATGTGTGTCTCCATGCAACACACTGGCGGCAGTAACGGATGATTTTGGCAGAGTTATTTTATTGGATGTAGCCAGAGGAATTGCAATACGCATGTGGAAAGGTACTTCCCTACGAAAATCCAGAAAAAAAGGCTAATTTCTTTTTACCCCAATAGTTAAGCAACATTTTCATCTTTTCGCTACTGGTTGATAACACAGTTTAATTCTTTATCTTTATGCTTTTTTTTTTTTTTAAACATGAACTCATATCAGCAACACTTGATCCAGTAATCCAATTGGTGTATCTTTAAGTTTGATGAACTCATAGGCATTTCCAACCTCTTTTTTACATACTTTTCAATTCTCACTATGATTGTCAATTCCTGAACTCACTTTTTTGCCCCTGCTACATTCATTCCACTTCACAAGGCCGTGCTTGAGTCAGATGTTCTTCCCAAATCTAAAATGCCAAGTTTTTCAGATTTCAGTTAGCAAAATCTTGTAAAATCTATCTTTGCTGAGTTGACTTCCATATCCAATGCCTGGGTCAGTTCACTTGGTTTCTCGGTAACTTCGTCAGTTGGGAGTTGCATTTAGCTGCTAATAGCAGATTCAAGTACAGGACTGATACGAAATCACCACAATATCCTCAGGAACCCAGTGTCTGGCCAGGTAGCTTTCCTACCCAAGGTTACCTCATGGTGCAAAGGGCCGCTGGAGCTCCGGCCTTCTTATCTCTATCCCAGGAAGGAGGAAGGGGCCAGGAAGAACTGCCAATTGAGTCAGTCTGCTTTGGAGATATTTCCTGAAGTCCCTCCATCCTTTTTCTGTAAACCATTAGCCAGGAGTTAGTCATGGTGTTACCTAACTGTGAGGGGGACTTGAAAATATGAAGGCTCACTGTCAACCCGAACAAAATAAAATGTCTCTGGCTAAGGAAGAAGTAGAGAACGCATCATTTGGAATCATCTGGAATAGTAACACGTCAGCACAGGTTGGAAACACATTATGGTGCAGTCTGGTCTGTATTGAACAATGTGAGGATTTGAGGACCTTAAAGTATCCTGGAGCAGTTGAATCTCCTCTCATTTTCTTGCCAAAGAACGCCTGCAGCGCTTACCTGCCACGTGTCTGAGCGTCTGTAGAAGCAGGTTTCGGTGCTGCAGCTCCATCATTCTCCTGGTGTTTGTCTTCTGAAGTAGCGTCAGGGGCCGGTTCTCAGCAGGACTTTCCCAGGACACAGAAGACAGAGGCACAGCAGCCGGTCCCAGTCCTGGTGGCCCTCCTGCTGCTGGCCTTCTTGCCCGCCTGCTGGCTGTTGGTGCCGCCGGTCCCCTCCCTGTGCTGGGAAGGGAGGCACCAGTTGCCTGTGAGCGGGGCGTCCCAGGAAGGAAAACGTGCCGGCGGCATCTTCTCACGTGTGGGCGCCGCAGTCTGTCACCCCCTGGCTCCCTACCACCAAGGGGACTTGAGTAGCAGGAGATCAGTTTGATCTCTTTCTTGTATTTTAATTAGACTTTTATTTTAAATCCAAACCGATCACCTCCCCAGAATGCTTTAAAGGGGAAGAGGTTTTTAAAGAGAGGGAGGCAAGGGAGTGGGGTCAGAGAAGGGTACTCACGAGGCCGCAGCGAAACCTGTTTCTTCGGGGGAAAAAAAGTGATCTGAAGCAAATAGAGAAAAATATTAAGAGTTACTAAAACTTCACGATTGATTCTATATTTATTGTAATTAATACAATTTTCTGTTGAAGATATTTTATAATTTAAAAGTAACAGTTTTATAGCTTTTCTTAAATCCCTCCCCCTAAATCCCATAGTGCTGCAGAAGGCTTCTATTAAACTTCAGTTAACGCACTAATTCGCATCCCTTTTCTTCTGTCTCTAAGGGTATCGGGACGCCCAGATTGGTTGGATCCAAATTGTAGAGGACCTCCACGAAAGGGTCCCAGAAAAGGCGGATTCTTCCCCGTTTGGAAACGCTCAGGGTCCCAGTCGTGTCGCTCAGTTCCTGGTCATCTACGCCCCGAGGCGGGGGATTCTGGAAGTGTGGAGCACACAGCAGGGGCCCCGAGTGGGGGCCTTCAACGTGGGCAAGCACTGTAGGTAAGCTGCACCGCCGGCGGGCACCCTCCCCGCGACGCAGGGCCGTGCTCGCGCCAAGGAAAGCTGTCCTTAAACCTGCTTACTGCTTTGCACATTGAGACGTGAATTGTTTTTTATTATGGCTTTTCCTGCACGCACCTAGTAACGAAGAAATCTGTGAAAAGGCCTTAATGTGCTACTGAGTGATGGTTAGCCTTTGTACTGCCATTTGTCCTCGTCCCTTACTTGCATGGTGGAGGCTCTGAACCGAAGGTGCCTTCAGCTGGTAGACACGGTGAATGCTCTGTTTGTCATTGCAACACAGACCCAGGCTTCTGTCATCTTCTCGCACATTTTAGCAGGTAGAGTGCTGCCTGTCGGGTCCTGCTTCGCTTGTGGCTTTGGTAGCAGTTTCTGTTTGTTTACCTTATTAAGGCTCCTGAATTGCTGATGGTATTGGAGTCCTTTGCTCCAGCAGAAGCGCCTTTTGGCATCTGCCCGTTCTCCGCTGGTTTTACATATTGGTGTGTGATTTCCTCAGGCTCCTGTATCCTGGCTACAAAATAATGGGCTTGAATAATGTCACCAGTCAGAGTTGGCAGCCACAGACTTACCAGATCTGCCTGGTCGATCCCGTGTCTGCAAGTGTGAAAACGGTGACCGTCCCTTTCCACCTGGCCCTGAGGTGAGACCATCGCGTGTCTACTCACTGACCTCCCTCCGCTGCCTTTTTCCCAGTCCTGTCGTTTGCTGTTTGTTCTGTAGTTACTGTTTACTTGTTTGTTTGTTTGTTTTTCTTATTAGAATGAGACCTTTAAAGTTAAATAGGAAGACTGTAAAGGACAGAACACAGTGAGAGTGTCAGAAGTAGAAGGAAAACAATTGCACGTTCTGTACGAACTTGTGTTTATTGTTTCAGCGACAAGAAGAGCGAACGTGCCAAGGACATGCACCTGGTGAAGAAACTAGCCGACCTACTGAAAACAAAGTCCCCCAGCCTTGGTAGGTGTCCTGTAATAAGGTGTCTGCTCTCTTAAAAGTTGATGGTATATTCTCAACGGAGCGGTTGAGATCCTCGGGTGCGACTGTGAGCGGAGGCAGCGCCTTCTCAGAACGAGGCGCGCTGCGGTGGCGCTCTCCGGCCGCCTGCTCTGGCAGCGTGGCTCGCCGTTGCAACAGCAGCATGAGAGACCCCAGAAGCCCTCTGAACTGTGGTGCAAATGTATGCATTTTTGTTTCAGAATAAAGTTTACCTGTAGTAAAATGAAAATTTTACTTTGCTTAATTTTCTCTTTCTAGATTTGGTTGAAACCGAAATAAAGGAAGTAATTCTCGATATTAAGTACCCCGCAACCAAAAAGCAGGTAAGTGTCCATGTGGACTTTCCTGCTGAGCAGCTCTCACATATCCCTCTGAAGGAAATCTTTATTTTCTTACTTCCCCTCCAAACATGACAGGCTAGTCTTCTTTTCATGTTCTTATTCATGTTCATCCTTTCTGACATTCCCATGTGGCAGTTCCTGCTGCCCCTTTTTTCCTTTCTTTTTTTCCTGAAGTAAGTCATATTACCATACGTGCAAGTGCGTGTGTTTTATACCCCCCATAGGTAACATATATGGAGATGAAAGAGTGATAGAGGGAGCCCGTGGGATGGAGCCCGTGGGAAGGCCCCCGCCTGAGGAAATGGAGTGTTTCCAGGGCCTCTGAGGAGCCCTCCTCCCATCGCTGAGGCGGCCCGTGTTCAGAGTTTGCTTTCTCTCCGTGGCTGTTCTTTAGCGTTCTGTCATTTTCACTTGGCTGCTTTAAAATACATGGGTGTGTTTTCCGCCTTTTCAAGTGTCTGTAAAAGGAGTCCTGGTCCTTGTCCGTTGTGATGTCACCTCTGCCCCGTGTCTGGGCCTCGCCCACACTGACGCTCACGCGTGCGACGATCGGCCGCCGGTGCCGACTCCTCTCTGACGGCACTGGAGTCCCTCTCCCGTCACGGATGCGTCGGTTGTGACCAGTGTCTTGCTGTCATAAACCGTGAACTGTGATTACGCTCTGCGTGTCTGGGTGGGGTGCCGGCGCACAGGAGTTGGTTGGTGCACTGGAAACCTTGCCCTTCGGCCTGTGCCATTGGCTGGGCTCTAAGAAGCTCCTACCACAATTGTCTGAAAAAAAAAAAAGAACTTGTCTTGCATTTATATCTAGGGGGCACTTGCTAGGCTCTGAGCTGCTTCAGCTGCACTGGTTGCTGACGAGCGGCCCCTGAGCATTCCGTCCTGACTCGTGTTCCCGCTCGTGCTGGGTGAGGGCCCTGCGGCTCCCCAGCCTCGGCTCCGGGTCTCTCGTGTGGTGACTCGTGACTTCTTTCATCCCCGCGCCTGTCCCGGCCCCTGGCAACGCCGCTCTACCCCACCTGGCGGGCCACTTCCATGCCCACGGGCACAGCGACCGCCACCTCTGCTGCTCGCCAGAGCCAGACAGCTGAGGCTGCTGCGCTTCTGGATAGTTCATGGCTGCTGGTCACAGCTCCCCAGCTTGTTCACCTTTCGCTCTTCTAAGCTCCTTCGAGGAGGGGCCTTACTGAACGTGTCATTTTTATACTCCACCATACCTAAAACGATGCTAGATACGTGGGAGAAGTCAGTGAAACTGATTCCTTTTTGTGCCTTTTATCTTATTTTTTAAAACACTTGGTTTTGTTTTATTGTAGAATAGGCAGGTCCCTGTGACTTTCAGTTGCGTTGTCCCTTCCTCTGGCAGTGCTGTTAGGCTCCCCTGGTCCTCGGGCAGGATGTCAGGTATAAGGCCGACGCTGTTGGGACACGGTGGGCATCTGCAGAGGCAGCCTAGGGAGTCAGTCCCGGGGCCGGGGCACCAGAACCCAAACGGCCTCTCGTCTTGACCCCGTCTTTCTCCTTCTCTTACATGATGGAACAACAAAACCGGGAAACTTGCGCCTAGTGCAAACTGGCATCTTGATTTTTTTTTCCTGTGCTACTGAATTGTGTATGAAACTATGAATTTTATAAAAAAGGCTAGAAAACCTAATAGTGAAAAGCATGTATTGCTTTTGACACTAAAGGGAGAAAAGAAACCAATTTTGGCTTCGGAAGACTGAATAGTAGGGAAGAAGGTCAGCCCGCTGCTGGCTTGTGTCACGTAAACAACAGAGGCAGGTGATGTTTTCTGGAGCATTTGCCTCCCTCTGTGGCCTTCTTTACATTCTCCAGGGAGTCGCGTATTCCTAGGCCTCTCCATCCTCTCGATCCACCTGTCTGGCCTGCTTCTCCCCACAAACACACAGGCGGTGCGTTGTGATCTGGGGGTTGTCTCCTGCCACATTCTCAGGCGTGAACCTCAACTGCTGCGTCTCTCCCATTGGTGACTCTGATGGTGCTTCTTTTGGAGTGAAGAGGTGCTCAGGAACGGGTGGCGAAGGCTCTGACATTTCTGCCAGGGGAAGGAAGGCGCAGGCGGGGTGAGGTGCCGCGTGGGTCCATGTAGCCTGGCCTAAAGGCTCGGCCGTGTGCAGTGATTAAGGAGTGATTAAGTTGTTGTCAGCATTTATTACTGGTAGGACAGTAACAGCCTCTACGTTTCATTTATGTTTCTATAGTGCAGACTTATTCACACTCATCTCAGTAGTGAGTAGCTTTCTCTTTTTTTCCGTTTCTCTTTTGTCCTGGCTCTTCTGTTAAACATCAGTTGCTTCATTCCCAGCCTGGACTTTTTGTCATATTTGTCATGACATAAAATTGATTACATATTACTTATGATGCAACTTTAATTCACTGGAACGTATGCTAAAGCATCTTAAAAACAGAGCTTCCCTTTTGGGATAGTGAATGTATAGACATAAATGTCAAATTTTAAACAAAATCATTGCCTTCTAATTACTGGAACTGCTCAATTTTTCTTCTAGGCTTTGGAAAGCATTTTGGCAAGTGAACGTTTACCATTTTCCTGCCTTAGAGATGTCACGCAGACTCTTGTGGACACTTTAAAAAATCAAGGTTTGTATCCATTGGTGGTCATGGACTCACCTCAGACCTTCTAATTCTGTGAAAAGCTATTCATGGCTTACACGGTCCTGTTCCTTTAATGTGGAAATCGTGTATATGAGGTAAAGGCAAACTTGATTCATACCTTTAGGATTTGGGGACCTTTTTATTCCCTGTCCATTGTATGCAGTTGCTCTTTATCTGAGCTTTCTCTGAATATGTTGACTCTGTTCCTTACTGTAAATATTTATTTTTAACCCTTCCCCTGTGAGGAAATACCACTGTAGAATGATGAATGATTATTCTGATACAGTCATAGAAAATTTGAAAGCCATGGGCAAGAGGTGAAGTTCACTTCACTGCTTTTTTATTTTAACTTCATGGGAGGGCAGAGATTTTTGAGATGCGAATTCTATAATGTTTCGACTGAGATAATGATGAAAAATATTTATGATTTAATTAAAGTTCTGTTAGTGTATGGAGGCCACATTTTAACCTTCCCTCATAAACAGTTACCACTCCCAAAATCACAGGCTCTGATTCAATAATCGGTCCTGAGTTTTCTGGTTGTTTTACTGTTCAGAATTTATCTGTCTGATAAACAGTTACATCTGTAGCTGTGGGGCTTAACTCCATACTCTAGCCAGCTCAGGTAGCAAAATTCAACTTATTCTGATTTTCTAACATCAATTAAATTGTAGTGTGTAGGGTACTGACTAGTCATGACTTTTTGCTTGTGATGTTAATTATATAAGCCCAGCTTTCTAGTGATTGTATCTAAGGCAACTTAGAGTGACTTAATAAACGAATCATAATACACCCTTTCAGGACTTCAAGCATCCTCACGTTGAGGTTCTTTTTTCAACACAGATGTAAAACTAACTTTTGGTAAACAGTGGACTCCTTCAATGGACAGAACTTATTAAAAATACCTCTTTTAAAAAACATAGTGCACTTATAAAGCCCCTCCTTCCCACTGAGCTTAAACAAAATATCAATTTATTAAACCAAAAATTATCGTGCACTGGGCTGGGCGTAAACCAAACACCATTGTTGGAGTTTTATAAAATCATCATTGTTTTCAAGTTCTATCCATAAATGAGAGTCCTAAAAATTTCAGGGATTTAGAATTCTAAGTTTTATTGTGGCTACAACAACTTTGACACATTCCAGGTCACTAGATCCTGAATAAGAGTTTTGGGGGGTCTTCAGTGTCTACCTTTTTAAGGAATAGACATTTGATATTTGATATATAAATATTTAATTTGTCATACAGGAATGTAATATATAGTGAGTATTTTTTCAGTACTAATCTTGGAGGGGAAAAAAGCCCTGATTGAAAGAGAATATTAAGTGGAATTCTACTCATGGTCTCTTTGCCAACCTTTCTTGAGGATCTGTCCCCATCCACAGTTTCTGGTTGAATTATATAATGTCCTTGAACAACATCAGAGCAAAAAGAGCCGGCTTGAATTTTGTCTTTCTTCACTGTGTGAGCCTAATTACCAGGCAGCCTATGAGTTAGGGACTGAGAGAGAACATTTTTTTTCCTTTTTATTGAATTTATTGGGGTGACACTGGTTAAAAAACTGATGCAGGTTCCAGGTGCCCAAGCCCGCAATACCTCCTCTGTACACACTGGATTGTGTGTGCGCTGCCACGAGTCGGGCCACGTCTCCGTCCGTCACCGTCTGTTCCCCGCTGCCCTCCTCCGCCTCCCCCGGCAGTTGCCACACTGTGGTCTGTGTCCACGAGTGTCTTCTCTTTCTTTTCTTTTCCACTAGACCCCTCCACACCCCCCGCCCCGCACCATCCCCCCACCGACAGCCATCAGCCTGCGCTTCGACATGAGTCTCTCCGTTTGCTTGTCAGTTAACATTTTCAAAGCATTTCGAGGTCATCTATTTCAATTTGAGTATTAGACCTTTCTTTTTTCTTTAGTTATTTTTTTTACTGCTACTATTTGTGCACCTTATTTCATTTAAAACTTTAGATATTTTGCTATGAGAGAAAAATTGTCTTCGCCTTATTAATCGGCTGTATCCTAAGCATCCCGGAATCTGATAAAATAGAACAGGGAATTACGTAATATTAAGAGATTGAATGAAGAAAAGCCTTTTGTGAATCTGTTAAATATGTCTCTCTTAATGGATTTTTTCCTTCTGCCTTTTAGAACTTGAGTCTGTTGACGAGGGGCTGCTGCAGTTTTGTGCCAATAAACTGAAATTGCTCCATCTTTATGAGTCTGTCAGTCAGTTCAACTCCCTCGGTCGTCATTCGGACACATCGCTCTCCGATCATGTGAGTCTTCCCAGTGCTCATTATACAAAACAAAATAACCTCTTTATTGTCCATTTTTAAAGTTGGTAGTAAAGAAGTAGAAAATTAAGAATTTTATAAAGCATAAAGGTGTATTTTCTTTACAAGACCCCCTGCTGGCTCTCTCGGCCTTGCTGTTAAATTTGTGTTACTTACGCTAGAAAATTAAATTCTATTGTTAATCCGTTTTTACTACCCTAGAAAAATCTAGTTTTTCTCAACTCCTTTTTTTCATTTAAGGTTACTTCTTATAATTCAACTTTTGGACAAGCTTTGCCATTTAAATGATCGCAGTTTACTGAAGTAGCAAAACTTTAATTTCCGTCCAAGAAAATAAAAGATTCTGCCAAGCAGATGACAGCACTTTTTCTGTGTTGTTGTTAGCAGATTCATACACAGCTTATCCATTGTGTACTATATAAGAAATACATTTTTAAATGATTCTTACATCCAAGTGTTTAAAATAATTATAGTAAATGTCCTATGCTTGTATTCTGTAAAACAAAGTGATGGCACCTTGTAATCTTTATTAAAGTGCACTATTACTCATTTCTGAGGGCTGTTTATAAAATTCTTACTTTCTATACAGAGAAAGAAAGTGTCTTTAATGGGAAACGGAGAGAAATACGTCCTCTCTTCCCCTCAGATCACTGCGTGACCCTGGCTGAGTGTCTGGCTCCTCCGGAAGAGAGTAGCCATGTCAGGTTGCTGGCGGTGCTCTTGAGAAAATTATCTGGTGTCTCTGACAGTTAGTGGAAGCCTTTTATTCTAAATATACACACATGACTAAAAATCTCTTCAACATAAAAATTAGAGAAGATTTTCTTTCTGTAGTGGAAACGACCTACACGCTTTAACATCTTGTTTATCTTTCAAGCACCAGGAAGGTTTAAGTTGGTTAAGTTACATTTGTGGGATTGCCTGCACATCTCATAGATTCTTTAGTGCCGAATATTTTCATAAGATCCCAACTACCTGTCTCACGCGCTGCCAGAGAAAGTTAAATGTATGGTTGTAATAATCTCCTGTAGAATTCAGTTTCCCTTGATAGCCCCAACATAGTGTGCAAAGATAAAAGAATGACAAAATTTTAAAAATCAGTTTTCAGATTGTTGTTTTCCTTTTGAAGAACTTTTTAAGAATTAAAACCATATTTGCTATAGACTTGTTTGGATCCTTTACAAAACATACAGGCAGCTTCTAGGCTGAATGGCTACTTTTGCGCATACAAAACTAAAATTCAGGTCTGAATTAATTCACATTTGCTGTCTCTGGGACATAGTTCATTTAAGCTCATATATAAATTCAGCATAGCATTGAACTACCGGCATGTGCGCAGTAGCATTTCGCAGTTTACTACTTGTTTGTAAAAACAGCCACCTTAAGTGAATAAATAAAACTGCCCTGTTGAAGGATGCAGCTTCAATCATGTTCGTGTGGGGGGAGGAAAGCTTTCCTTGCAGTGGCAAATTTATGATCCTTAAAGTGTGTGTGCGCGCGCTTTTCTCTAGCTTAGAAAAGTAATCATGTCAGGAGATAAGAGTTATCTCCCGCACATCCAGGATACAAAAATGGTTGGAAAGGGTGGCAGGTTGTATGTGGGAGTGTCACTCTCTGTGTCGCCGAGAGCCACACTGAGGATTTATACGTAGATACAGGGAGGCGTGCTTTCCATTGCCTTTACATTACAGTGTGGATGCTGCTTCAAAAAGAGGATTCAGTTTCTTATTCACTAGTTCTTTAGTTGCCTCAGAAGCTCAAGAGTGGCAGGTGACACCCTGCTAAATCTTTTTCCAGTTAAGCAGTAACACATTTATTAAAACTGGAACATTTTTGAAAAGTGTAATCTCAAGAAACTTTCTAAAAATGGTACTGGTAGTTTACTTTATTTAAATAACCTGCTACGCAGGAACGTGAGTCAAGTTGTAAGTAATTTGAGGGTATGGTTTTAAGTAGAGTACATTATAGCAATCACATTCATTGAAGCCCACCTTGGATTTATGGTCTTGCATTCATTTCAGATGGTGGCATTGACACATATGGCAGATTTGGAGAAGGAGACCTGGTCTAACCAGAATTTGTCCCTCCTGTTTTTAAGGACTTGGCTGTCTTACTAAGGCTTGACGAAAACGAACTCCTTAAGCTCCAGACGTTGTTAGAGAAGTACAAGCAAGAGACTGCCAGGACTGGGGTTCGATTTTCTGACGATGCGGACGGCACGTGGCCTGTGAAGACATTCCTGGAATACTTAGAGTGTGAGAAGGACGTGATCAGCGTGAAGAAGATAAGTGAAGAGGAGTACGTGGCCTTAGGTGGGTAGAGGGGTGAGCTGCTCGGGTAGAGGGAGCCCCTCCCCCTCTAGGAGAAAGCCTGGGAGGAGCCAATAGTGTCTCAGAGATGCCGCTTATTTTGAAATTAAATCAATGGAAGCACTGAATGTATGTTTTTCCTTAACTGAAGATGCTCTGGATATGTAGGCGCCGTGTCGTGAGAGTCGTTTTGTGTTGATCAGTGTACCCACGAGACGGTGTGATGCTCCCTGCCTTACTGAGCCAAGCAAACGGAAGGGCAGCTTCTCTCCCCTTGAGCCGTGCTGCTGTTCGGGGGTTAGACTGCAGTTCAGGAAGGTTGTCCATGTGGTAAGCAGCCACTGGGTAACGCATTTTGTTTTTGTTTACTAGGCAGTTTCTTCTTTTGGAAGTGTCTGCAAGGAGAAAGCTCCACTGAGGACATGTGTCGCACTTTGGAGTCAGCTGGACTCAGCCCTCAGCTGCTGCTGGTGAGGCTTCTTGTCGCTGAACGCGGTTCTTCCTCGCTCACGTCATCCAGAACTGTCCATTCCTTTTTATCATTGTCTGAAGTACATCAGAGAACATACATGAAGACCTTCCAAAACTGGTCAAAGGAATTTATAATCCCCATATTTAATTAATTAATAGTAATTTCTCTTTCTCATTCTCTGTAGATTGTAACAAGCATAATCCCTGGTTGGCCTAAAACAAATTTAGAATCCGATCATCAGGAACAGTGGTCACGTTGGACAAGGAATGATCTAGAGAACAACATGAGCTTCCCTGACAGCCTGCAGAATTATCAGATACCCCCAAGCTCAGACTAGGCCAGAACCTAGTCTCTGTGCCATAGGAGATGTAGATACAAGGGTCATCCCGCAGACGAACCACAGTGCCCAACGTTTGCTTGTTCCGAAAGGGGCAAGGAAACGAGCCCCCGTCACAAGTTCTTCTCTCACCTCCCCCACGTGCACGTGGACACGGCCCTCACACACAGCGAACAGTTATGGATGGTGAGGGGAGAGGGGACTTCTCTAAAAACAGAAACAAAAAAGAACCCAAGAATTAAAGTAAGAAGTTGCGTGTACAAAAAGACAAGCTACTAAAAAAAATTCTGCTTGGTCACAGCGGTCACACAGATCAGAGGAAATGGCATCCGCTGCCCACTCTCCTTGCTGCACCCTCGGGCCGTGGGAAGGCTCTGTGCTGGGTTTGTGTGCCGGGCAGTGAGCGTGCGTCCTGCTCACGTCCTCGTTCCCAAAGCAGTCAGTGCCCAAGTGGAGGCCAGCGGCATCTTTCTGAACTATTTCAAATAGTGTTCAAAGACAGTAGATAAACTTCTCTTGTGTTGCATTAAAAGAGTAACAGACTTTTAGATAGAAAAACCATGACCAAAAAGTGGTGTCTTTCTCTGGAAAAAGCAGAGATGGGAGGTCAGGGAACCTACAAGCAGAACATGGGAGCAGACTGACCACAGATGGACTTTGGTGCAGTTTTAACTAATCTGTTTAAAACACTGAAAAGGATTTAAATTTAATTTCAGTCTCTGCTCCTGAGTGTCTGGCTTTCTAAGGAAAAGGACATTCTGGAGAAGCCACAGTCTGTCTGCTGTCTCCACATGATGCTGTCCCTCCTGAGCAGGATGAAAGGTACGATGCCGGGACACTGGACGCCGGCACCCACGGGAATGTGGTCACCTTCCGCTCTGGGAAGCACCTTGGTGTTTGAAATGCCACAGAAACGGGGGTGTGGGAGGGGGGAGGTTGTGTCTTCTAACGAAGGAGACTGCAGTCCACCAAGCGTTTCCCTCCGGGGGTTCTTTTGTGTTCCCTGAGGAAGCTCTTAACGCACTTCTAGTGTGTTTTATGAAAATTATGTTTGTGCTATCATCAAAAATCATGTAGTAGTGAACAGTGCATTTGCTTAACTTGGGTCAGTCAAATGGTCTTGGGTGAAGGTTATTGTTTTGCTCATGAGAACAATAATCTCCGTTGAAACATTTCATAGTAGCTTTCTGCAATGATGAACTATTCCAAACAGGGATTTAAAGTTGATTGAGAAGTAAATGGAACATACATGCTCTGGCTAAAATAGACTGAGGACTTTTTTTCCCAGTTCATTCAGAAATAGATGAGTCTATCTCTGGGGCACTGAGTTTTAACACCATGTTGAATCTGAAAGATTGGACCCAAAACCGAGAAACTAAAGATTGCTTTTGAACTTGGCAGTGGCCCTCGACGACTCGTGGGACTCGCAGTCCGTGTCTCCTTGGTGGCAGCAGATGCGTGCAGCTTGCATCCAGTCGGAGAACAACGGGGCCGCCCTGCTGTCTGCGCACGTGGGGCACGCTGTCGCCGCGCAGATGTCCACCGGCGGGACCGAGAGGAAGGTTGGTGGCCGAGGTGCTGCCCAGCCAGTGGGGGGCGGGGGGTGGGTGGGGGGCACGCTGCGCCCCCTGCTGTGCGGTGTCGGGATCTGAACTGTGTCCGCAGGCTCCTACTCGTCTTTTTTGGGGTCAGGAGGGGGGCGAGGGGTGCTGCCCCTCATCTGTTTATTCGGACGACACGCACACTGAACTTAGCTGCCACCACGTGGCACACGGGGGAAAGTACTGCACTTGTCCCTGCTCTCTGACAGTGGCTGGCGGTCGGTGGTGGGTCCCTTAAAAACAGGTTTCGTGGCCTCAGTCTCCTCATCTAAAAGAGGTCGGGGGAGGCTGCATCATTTCTCAGGTTCGTTCCGGTTCCTGAAAATTCAGCGACTGTGCTCACACCCTCCTTTATAAACAGATTGTTTGGGGCCTTGTGGCACCGAATGACTCAGATAAAGGTGTCCTGTTGACCATTTGCTTTGTGGTTTTTCCTCATCTCTTGGAGACTCATAGAAAGGAGAAAAAAAAAAGACCGATAACATCACGTATAGCTTCTGGTAGCTCAAATACTTTTTGTAGGGGGATGTTGCATTGAACGGGATGAGACACTTAAATAGGTTTGTGGAGAGTCACGTCACGTCATCAGTCAGTAGTTTCGAGGCTCAATTTAGTATTATTAGCTTGACGTGTTTATAATAATGCAGAGGGAAATTTGAGACACATTTTTATGTTGGTGAGTGTGTTCTAAAAAGAGGCCAGTTTCCCGATACCGATAGAAACGCTGTGACCCGTCTCAAGGGTGGCCCTGACAACGTGGGGGTGACCGCAGGTCTCCTGGGAACGTCCAGACCCCATCCTCGTTGCCCTGGCATCTCCCAGCCACTCCTGACCCTCTTGTTTCATCCAGCCAAGTAGTAACGTGTGTGGCCATCGTCTTTGTGATGTGCCCTGACTGTCCGTGAGCCTTCAAGCTCAGAGCTCATTCAACCTCACGGGGACCCAGGACCTTTGCCAGGTTGTCACCAGGGCCTTTTCCGTTAGTGTTCCCCGACAGCGCCGGGCGCGGACGCCGAGGCCCTCACGGACTCCTGGGAGGCCCTCTCCCTGGACACCGAGTACTGGAAGCTCCTGCTCAAGCAGCTGGAGGACTGCCTCACGCTCCAGACGCTGCTCCACAGCAGGGCGGGCGCGCGCCCCTCCAGGGCGCCAGCGCTGCCCGCGGAGCCGCTGCCCCGGCTCTCCGTTAAGAAGCTGCTCGAAGGAGGCAAAGGTAACCGGAGTCTGCTTGGGCCTTGGGGTCGACGCGCCTGGGTTTCCGTGGTACATGCTTTGGTTTGTTTTTTATAGAGATGACTGAAAGAATAAGAAAGAGAAATACACTCAGATTTAAAAAATATATAAATAGCACACACTGCTCAGTCTTTTCAAAGTCTTCCTTCAGTTCCCCTGCGCAGGGACCCCCGGCCTTACAGCGTCAGGGGCCTCAGCAGTGCCCCCACCTTCCCAGCTGCGTGTCTGTGCGAGGCCACGTCTTCCCCGTGCACCTCGCCCCGCTCGGCAGAGCCCAGGGCTCAGGGCGCAGGGGCTCGCTGGGGACCCCAGCCCGAGCCGGACGTGAGAGACTTGCAGAGCGTGGTGCCGCTTCTCCCCAAACAGCTTTGCTGGGCTCTGGGAATCAGTTATTTTCATAAAATACTAACGTGCAGTGGGTTTATTATTTTTATTTTAAAATGAATGTATAAAGGTTTGGGTTTTTTTACAGTTTCTCCATTTTAATTTCTAATACCGTAAATATTGATGAATGCAACCCATAAGGTAAAGTTCTTCGGGGGCTCTCCATAGTGTTTAAGCATTTAAGCAACTAAAGCTGAGATGAAGACGTTCAGAAACTGCTGGAACTGAGTGGAAATTCGAAGCTTGCTCTCCAAGACCTGCTGACTTCGAATCCAACCCTTCTCCAGTTCTTGCTTCTCGCCATTTCCCTGTGAACCCCCATCTGGGGGTCTGAGCCCGGGCTCCTCCCCCGCCCACTTTCCTCTTCTGTGTCCCTTTGAATCCCAAAGCCTGCTCAGCTCCGGGGCTGCCTCCTCCTCCCCAGGAACCTCTCCAGGGCCGCGGACTGCAGACTTTCCCCTGTTCTTCCCCATTTCCGCAGAGCTCGGTGCCTCCTTTCCGATGCACGACTTCCTGCCCCCCGGTCACCGGGCCCCTGTGCTTCCGTCTCGCGGGGCCATGAGCCTGTTGTGCCTTGAATGATCTCGACGGTTCCTCTTTCCTTCCCAGCAGCCCGGTCAGGCGTGGGATACTGGACTGACTGTTTCTGGGTTTATAAACACCCAGGTATCTAGAGATTGTTATTTAGTTTACTCGTTTTCACGTTCTTTATGAGACGTGAAATTTTCCATGACCAACTCACTGCGCCCCACGCTGCCACCTGGTGAAAGGGCGGGGACGCCGTTTTCGCATTCGCCGGAGCAGCGGCACCGGGGCCTTGATTCTGGACTGAGAACTCGCCGGTGACTTGGAAGCCAAATGTAAGACGTTAGGCCACCCAGCACACGGCTGTCATATACGCTCCTGATTGTTGCGGCTGTACCGTGACCCCTTTTTGTGGAAAGGTTCACATTTGAATCACAAGAGGAGAAAGACTGAGAGAAAACATCTGGTAAATTACAGAAGATGCATAATTTGTTTTAGGTAATAAACAGGACTCTTCACTTTGAATGTCCCCTGGGCAGGTATGATTGTTTGGACTTTATTGATTGTAACGTGGCCTATAGCATCATGTTGTTCATTAACTATGGCTACATTTTGCCACTAAATAGTCCAGAGAGGCAAGTCAGTTGACCATGAAAAGGAGCATATTGCCCTAAGAAGCCTAGGCAGATACGCTGATTCATCTGTATTCGCTCCTCTTTAAATGCGAGTAGTTGAAAGATTCATTCATCCCTTCGTTTCTGTCTGGTAAAGAATATTTTGAATTGTGAACGTAGATGGAATGTGGTATCCAGACACAAGTATTTACATGTGTCTGATATTTTAGGAAGATGCCCGTGGCTGGCACACAGCCCGCTTGCCCTCAGAGGCTGAGTAGTCGGTGGTAATGCTGCTGTGAGTCTCACGGGTTTGGGCGTCGTTTTCAGCCTGCACACCGAATGTCGGCGCTTAGATCTCGCCATTGGAAAGGCTCCCTTCTGCAGACACTGCAAATTTTCCTTTTCTCTCTTGTCTCCCAACTGTAGGTGGCATCGCAGACAGCGTGGCCAAGTGGGTGTTTAAACAGGACTTGAGCCCGGAAGTGTTAAAGCTGGCTCACAAAGAAAGAGATGCAGACAACCCAGACGAACCCAAAGAAGGTATTCACAGAGGTTTACTTGAGGCGTCCGCGGCGGATGTGGACTTGGGAGCCATACCAGGTAGCACTTCTGTGGGAGCAGCAGGAGCCCCCGAGGGCAGGGCAGCGGGTCCAGGGGCGGGACTCACGCGCCGTCCCTGCCTTGCAGACCTGCTGCGGGCGGTCTACGAGCAGTTCCCGTGCAGCCTGGAGCTGGACGTGCTGCACACGCACTGCTGCTGGGAGTGCGTGGTCCAGTGGAACAAGGACCCGGAGGTGAGGCTGCGGCCGCCGCGGGGCCTGTGTCGGGGCCCTCGCTGTCCGCTTACCTCGCTCAGTAGGAGCAGGGACGTTCCTCTTGGGGCATCTCTCCCCCGAGAGCTGTGCTAGGCCCTTCCGTCAGTGAACCCGAGAAGTGCGGGTGTCGGCCTTGTCGTTCCGCTCGGAGAAAGACCTCATTGATACATTAACAGTGACGATAGTCCTGCTTCCTCAGAAAAGGTCTTTAATATGCAACCATTTACTTATTCAAGGAAGGCATTTAAAAAGTCAGTGCTTTAAACAGATGTGGTCTGATCAGCGAAACTGAACATAAAGTGATTTGGGGGCAGGGGACCTTCTGGATGCCCTCAAATCGCCCTCTTCAGTTGGTGCCACCACCTCCTCATCACATTTAGGCTCACTCCTTAAACGGGATACTTTTCCTATGTGAAAAAAGAATGTTACAGCTTAATCGAGGACATCATAATTTCAAAACTCTGAAAGAACCAATTCCAGATTCTGGCCCAAGACGGTGACATTTAAGAGAAACGCCCGTTTTCCAAGCTCTCACTCACGAACGTCTAGAGCCCTTCGTTCACTGTTTTCTCCTTAAAGTAAATGGGGACCTAACAGTAGCTGTCTCGAAGGCTTAGAGCAGTTTCTAGAGGAGACTCGTGGAGTGCCCAGCATTTCGACCAGTGTTAGCTTTGTCTGATAGTTACTGCAACTGTTCACAGGTGAAAGAGGCGGCCCCTTTTCTTACCTGCTTGGGTTTTTTCCTGTCACCTATTTCTCTCCTTGCCCCGTCCAGTCCCATCCCAGTTCCATTTTATACACCCAGCCATGCTGGGCTCAGAAGACTTGTTTAATCTTTGTGCAGGCCACCAAATTATTTATCAAAGATCTAAAGAATTTCTGGGTAGTTTGACCTACTACATCTGAGTTTTAATGTGTAAATTACCTTGACTGGAAAGAGTGGAATTTCAGGCGTCCCCTCTGATTTTCCCGTTTCCCCTCATGGCTGTAACGTGTGCTCCTTGGCATTTATCGCTGACACCCTGCTCCATTTATGACCTACCCCCTCCCTGGGATGTAACCTCAGGGCAAGGATTTGGGTCTGTTTTGTTCACGTCAGTATTCCTGGTGCCTCATATAGCATGGAACATAGTAGACGCTCACCAAATATTTGTTGACTAATGAATGAGTGATGTTTGCAAAGAAGTAAATCCATTGTTTTCATATCTGTGTGAAATTCAAGTATTATTGAAAAGCACACTGCTGTAGAGCACAAGTCACAGACATCTTTGAACCTGGATATCAGCATATACGACCTGGAAGTTTCTAGAAATCAGCCATTATAGAGGTGACATGAATTTAAGAGAGACCATGACATTATCTTATGAAACATTTACTTCTTACCTAATACTTCCATGTTTTTATTGCACCATTCTTATGTAGCTTTATATAGACATTTATGTAAGAAGTCTCCATTTGTATTTGAAACACCTATTAATGGTTTTTTTTCTCTCTTTTTTCCTCCCTTTATGTAAGGAAGCACGTTTTTTTGTTAGGTCTATAGAACACTTGAAGCACATTGGCAATGCACATATTCAGAATGGTAAGTAAACAGGTGTTAAAAACATAACTGATTCAAAAGAGGCAAGAATCTTTAAATTCACATCCTGTTAAATTTTCATTCAATGTTCCTACCACCTGACACATTACTCTGTGTGTGTATGTGTGCGTGTGTATGCACATGTGTGTATACTGTGTGTACATACACACACAAAAAAAACTGGCTTTCTTTACTGCTTAGAAAAACACTGTGCAGAAAAGGGAGGGGGTTGGCAGTAATTGTCACCTTGTGTTCCCAGCCACCCTTTCCCAAGCCAACTATCCTTCCCAGGTGTGAGGAGACTATCACGCACACACGCGTTACTCATGCCCTCTTTGGTGCACGGGTGGGTGAGGGGAGAAGGCTGGGCTGCGCAGGACTCTAACTCCTGATTTAAAAGTTAGGCAGCCAAACTGCCTTGTGTGTCTTTAATAAACGTGCCTGTTCCCCATGGGCTCCTGTAGCATGGGGACAGCGGTAAAAAGTGTGACCGTTGTAGGAAAATTGTAAACAGGGCACGGGTCCCGTTTGATAGCTGACGAATTTCCTGTGAGAATTCACAGGGAGCTCAGCCCTAGGCAGGGCGGGGCGGGGAGGGGTGGTGAGTCCTCACGCCCAGGTCTGAGGCTGGGGCTGGGGCAGGGGCTGGGACTGGGTAGGAGGCAGCATCACCTTTATGCCCCGGGGATAGATTCTGGAAAAGCTATTTCTTTCTCCTTCTGGACCGCCTTCCTGTGGGTGGCATGAAGTCAAATAGCAGAAATTCTAAAATGTCTCATTCTGCATGAAGAGAACTTGAAAATTATTTGATTTGATTCATCTTTTTAGATTATACCTTTCTCCAAGGAAATAAGATTTTAAAGTGGTTCATTGGGGAAGTTTGGCCTCTAGATACTCTATCCTCACCCATCAAACTGCGTTACCTACTGACTTCAGGCTGGTGCGCTCTGTTTCCCGCTCGGGCTTGGCGCCAGCTGGTGCACGGAGCTGCCAGCCCCCCGCAGCCCCCCTGCTGGGCACAGGAGCGGCTGCGGGGAAGGGCCACATTCACGCTGCCTGGGTGTCAGCTGTTGCAGAAGTTTTCATTTACATGCCATAGTTTATTAAATATGAAAGTATAAACCCCATCTTTTGTTTTTTTTAATATATTTTTTGATTTTGTTTTTAATATCTTTTTTTCTAATCTATCACTTTATTTGATGGCTCTGTATGGGAAAAATCGGTTGAGGGACGTTGGGTTTACTTCCCACGTTTGGCTGTTGTGAATGAAGCTGGGGGCGGGGGTCTCAACACTCTCGTATGTACCTTTGTATTCATTTCTGCAGTGGGATCCCGCTGGCTCATGTGGTAGATGCGTAATTAGCTTGAATTCACGCTGCCAGTTTTCCAAGTGGTTTTACCAACTTATTATACTATCAGCATTGCAGGAGCGTGCATTCCAGTTGTTTCCAAATCCTTGTCAGCACTTGGTATTGTCACTTTTTAAAAATTAGCCTTTCTGTTGGTTGTATAATATTTTTGTCATTTTAATTTTTCTTTCTCTCATAATTATGGGAGCCTTTCCTTATGGTTATTGTCCATTTGGACATCCTCTTATGCAGACCAGGTCCGATTTTTGTTACAGAATAAAGATTTGTATTAATTTTATAAGTACTATCATGCAAACAGCCCTCATAGTTTTTAAGCTTCGGGAAGACAGTAATTCGCGCTGCATGATGAGAGAGAAAACATGCAAGCCTTCTGTCTCCTGCTTCTCTTTTCTCATGCCGTAGGTGTTGCTCTGATGATGTGGAACACGTTCTTGGTTAAAAGGTTTTCTGCAGCTGCGTACTTGATGGATAAGGTAATTTTACATTTCACATACTGATTTCTTACTTGGTTCCCTTCATTGATACTAAAAAGATTATGTACACTGGGCCTCGTTAGACCTTTTTATTTGATACTACACTTCACTCTTGCTCAGTGAAGTTGCCGGCTTTTTGATGACTTGAACAGAAGCCCCAAACCCTCAGAAGAGAGCATTCCCCCGTCAAAGCCTCTTAGCCCAGGAGACTGGCAGTGGAGGTTGGTTCCGGCAAGGAGTTGCCTTTATTTTAAATTAAAACCTTCAAACATGCTCTTACTCACTGAGCCTGGGAGGGAGGGCCAGACCTGTTCTTGGAATGGGGTCGATAGCAGTTCTGTGGATTTCCTAGTAACCTCCCTTGCCTGTGGTGCGTTGCCTGGGAGCTCTCGGTCCTGTTTCTATAAGGTTGTGGGACTGTCTGAGTGCAGAATCTTTAGATTTTTGTAATGTATCCCTGATCTTTGCAGTTGTTTCCTATATCTAATCCGGGAGACCAAGGAGTTCCTATATCGTTTTTAAAGCATTCAACACGATATTCATATACACAGCTTCCTTTTTTGTCATTCACATTTACTCAATTGAATTAAATTGCAATTGCAATCTGTATGCCCGGCCGAAGTTGACTTGGGAAGGGACAGAACATGTCAGCATGCTCTGGCGGAGCAGAAGCTGTCGGCCTGCTAGACAGGAGCCCCGGCCGCAGGCCCCGTTCCCGGCCGGTCCACCACCTCGCGAGAGGTGATGAGGCAGAGAGTCCTTGGTACCGGAGCCCCTTCCTCCATCATCACTGTCTCCTGCGAACTGTCCTGCCAAGTAACGCTCCCGAAGGGCAGGACTTCTACCTGCCACTGACTACCCTGCATCGTGCAGTGAACAGTGCAGTCTTCTTATCTATGAAGTCAAGGCAATCACCTGACTTTCTCAGCTAGAAGGGTGTAACTTGTGCTTTAGATTGTCCCTTCTTTCTAACCCCTTAAAATCATTGCGTATCTTTGTCAGCCAGCAAAATTCTTTGCTGCTCTTTGTGTGTAACCTTAAGCTTGGTTTTGGGTTTTAAGGCAACCCAGTTACTTGAACCAGATTTTTCAGTTTTCTAATTTAGTAGTTCAAAAATATTTATTTTTGAGAAGGATTATTTGTGAGCCCAGGGTGATTTTCTTTTCATATATGTTTTTACATTTCAATACAAAATTATTTGCTTTATGGTATAGTTGGTTGCCACATTTATTTATAGGTGTATTTGTATTTTTTAGAATTTGGTTACTTGTTACTTCCTGTACCATAATTATGTTTGTACTTAAATTATTAAGTAAATATAGCATTCTGTTTCCTTTTGTCTTAGGTTGGAAAATCGCCGAAGGATAGGCTATGCCGAAGGGTAAGTGGATCTCCTTATCTAGACATAGAGTTGTTAATCCTGCAGTTGAACTAGAGCCTCATTAACTACAGGGGCGAACTTTGCCTTTTGCCATTTTGATAACATATCAGAAGATAAGGGAAGTGGAAACAGAATACTGTATCAGGGGAACTGCTCGGGAACAGCGGCCGGTTTTAATTTGCCTTTGTGGACCGTCAGCACGCTTCAGCTGGGCTCTCACCAGACGTCTTCAACTTCGGACTGTGGGCAGGAGGGTAACACGATGCTGTTGCCGTACACTTCTGCTGCCCTTCAGATGAGAAGCTTACAATGGGCCATCCAACATCAAATTGAAGTAGAGTCATGAGTAGGAAATTTGACCTGCCTTTATGTGATGACCATTTACGGAGTCTGCAATAACATTCGGGTGGACGAAACTGGCTTTTGCTCAAAACTTTGAAATACCCTCATTACAAATATCTGAAGAAATATTAGGGCATACAAACCCAGCTGTTACTGGCTCTCGGTCCTGAGAAGTCGCCATGGCCGAAGACTTACGGTGTGTGCTTGAGAGAGTCTATATGGCTGTAGTTCCTGCACGTGCACGCCACACACACACACACAGTCTGCATTACGTAGGGGTTATTGGTTGTTGGTTTACAAAAGATGGTCTGTGAACACAGCAGCGCCTTGGACAGGCCCTTTAAGGGGGTCAACCGGCCTGGTCCGCCGCCCACAGCTTCGCCTGGTATTTGGAGGGTTCGCGTTTTGTTCAGAGGGCTCAGTTCAGTCCCTAAAAGCTGCTCTGAAACCAGACCAGGTGGTTTTCTTAGAACTTTCATGTCTGACCCTGATCATGTGGCCACTGAACGCCCGTGCCCTGTGAGTTCTGGGACAGTGAGCGCGACGGGAGCACCACCGCCTGTAGTAAATGGTGACGGCGTGTGTTTGCACTAATTTTAAAGTCAGTTAAATCTGAAGAAAGGCATTAAAACATGCTAATGCCTTGACTTTTAAATCCTTGCCTTTCTAGTCAGTGTAGAAAGTCAGGTTTTTTTGTTTTGTTTGCTTTTCCCTGACAGCAACGGTAGAGTCTTGCTGCAGGAGCTAAAGGTGTTCCTTTTTGAAAACAGGACGTGGGCATGAGCGACACGGCGCTGACCTCCTTCCTCGGCTCCTGCCTGGATCTGCTGCAGACGCTGATGGAGGTACAGCTGCGCGTTCCCTTCTGCACGGTCTGTGCTGCGACAGATCGTGAGAAATCACTGGACTGCAGGGCTGCAGATATATTTTCATGTATTCATTTCAGAGTTTTAACTTAGCCTAAAAGTCATGCTGTTTCTTATTAGAATTTGATTTTTTAAATTATGATTTGGGGGGTGGGGAGAAGCAGAGGTTTGCGCTCTGCTACTGGTGAGCACATCGCCGAGTAAGACACGTGCCAGCCATGGCTCCTCCAAGGCTGACCGGTTCTCGCTCTCACACACGTAGGCAGACGTGAGCAGGGACGAGATGCAGGAGCCAGTCCTGGACACCGAGGATGCCTGGCTCGCGGCCGAGGGGCCCGTCTCCATCGTGGAGCTGGCCCTCGAGCAGAAGCACATCCACTACCCGCTGGTGGAGCACCACTCCGTCCTCTGCTCCATCCTGTACGCGGTGATGAGGTTTGCTCTGAAGGCAGTGAAGCCACTGTCGCTTTTTGATAGTAAGGCAAGTACCTCAGGATTCCAGAGCTGTGTGGGAGCTGGGCACTTAGCAGGTGTGAGCAGGACCACTGTCGCTGGGAGGCTCTCTGCCCCGTCAGAGCCCCCAGATGCGGGGGTGGACCTGGGCTGAGAGCCGGGGCTTCCACCTCAGAGGCCGGTGCTCTTCGCGCTCTACCCCACCTGCTTCCCGGGGACTTAACCCTATTTCCTGACACTCTGCTTTGGCTCCTCAGACACACGCTTGGTCTCATACAAGATGTTTATAGACAGTTCAGTGTTTTTAAAAGGATTTAGAGTACACATCGTGTATTAGTTATCTTTTATTGCATAAGAAATTATCCCAAAACTGAGTGGCTGGAAACAGGAGTTTGTACCCATTTTTGTGGGTTGAGACTGAGGGTGTCTCTCCTGAGTCTGCAGTGAGGGTGGCGGCCAGGGCGGCGGTGGGGGGCTTGGGGGAGCGCCACCGTTGGGGCGAGGGAGGGAGTGTGAGCACACGGGGCAGAGGCCGCCGTCCTTTTGTGACCTGGTTTTGAAAGGGACTCGCTATTATCTGTGCCTCAGTGTTTGCTAGCAGGGAGTCGCCAGCCCACACGCGGGAGGAGGGGCTCCCTACCGCACGCTAGATAACTTAAATAAAATCCTAAAATGCTCTTGCTCAAGGAGGGGGAAGAATGAACCATGAGATAGTCTTGAGTGATTTTTAATCTCTCTCCTCTCTCAATAATAATCCACGCTTGTCTTCCCTCGGTCTCTTCTTTCTCACTAGGGGAAAAATGCATTTTTCAAAGACCTGACTTCAATACAGTTACTGCCTAGTGGGGAAATGGATCCAAACTTTATTTCAATACGACAGCAGGTAAATTAGTTACTGGGTTTTGCTTCTTGGGAAAAATAATAGTGAAGTAAAAATCTAGCGGGCCTTCGAAGGATGACCACTTCCAGAGTGTTCTTGAGAGCTAGTTTACCTTTAAATTGTGTCTGTTTTGAAACTTATGCATTTTTACTGGAAAAGCCACTCTGACAGGACAGGCAACAGGTTCAGTCTGTTAAGGAAACATGACATACTAACATGACGTTGCTGTATCTCCTTCCCACTCTTCAAGTTCTTACTGAAAGTTGTCAGTGCCGCTGTCCAGGCCCAACATTCGGGTGCAAAGGACAAAGACACCTCAGAAGAGGCACCAGGCACTCCCTTTAGGAAAGACCAGGATTGGCCAGCCCTCGCCGTGGACTTGGCCCATCACCTCCAAGTCAGTGAAGATGTCGTGCGGAGGCATTACGTGGGGGAACTCTACAACTACGGAGCCGACCACCTGGGAGAGGAGGTAGCCACCACCCTGGGCCGGGTAGCTGAGCCTGATGGGTACAAACTCGATGGTGGGAGTCAAGGACCAGTGAAGCTTTCTGCTTTTCCTTCTGTTAGAACTTCTGGGCACAAAAACAGAAGAATGTTTTAAAATAAGCAAATTCTTGTTTATTGTGGAGTAAAACTCCGGGGTGCCTGGCCTGCTCTCTGCAGGGGGCCCTGCAGTCAGCAAAGCAGACAGAAGCTTGGAAATGGCTCATACGGTTGTGCCGAATTGAAAAGTTAGGTGACGGCCGAAGCTTGGGTTTTTACTGCTGTTTCATTTGGGTGGTATTTTGATTGTACAACCCACCCATGAGCACCATGGGGGTTAGAGGAGCCAACCCCGTGCAGATGAAAATCTGCCTATAGCTTTTGACTCGCCAGCACTTAACTACGAGTAGCCCACTGTTGATTGGGAGTCTTCTTGTTAACAGTTGATGAACACATTTTGCATGTTACTTGGGTTATATACTGCAGTTTTACAATACAGTAAGCTAGAGAAGAAAATGTTATTAAAATTGTCAGAAAAAATACACTTGCAGCATTTTGTTGCTCAGTGCCACGTTGTTCAAGGGCCACTGTGTGCACGGCCCTGAGGTCTGGCAGCCTGGGAGCCCCTACTCTAGGGTTGTACACGTTCCCCTCCCCAGGCCATGCTCCAGGTTCACGACAAGGAGGTCCTCGCCTCCCAGCTGCTGGTGGTGACGGGGCAGAGGCTGGCGCACGCGCTGCTGCGCACGCAGACGAAGGAGGGCATGGAGCTGCTGGCCGGGCTGCCGCCCACGCTGTGCACTTGGCTGAAAGCGATGGTGAGTCGGGTGGCGCAAGGGACCGGGCACCACTGCGAGTCTCCTTAAGTGCAGTCAGCAGCAGTTGAGGCGATGTTAATTGTTAGTTTAATTGACTTAGCTCTAAAGAAAAGCGTTTTTGCCAGTAACGATTATTGCTTAGGTGCGTAGAGCTGATGGGTTCTTTTTGTGTCCCGTTTGCAGGACCCCCAGGATCTTCAAAACACGGAAGTGCCCATTGCAACAACAGCTAAACTGGTCCATAGAGTAATTGAGCTTTTGCCCGAAAACCACGGGCAGTACAGTTTAGCCTTACACCTCTTCGAAGCCGTGGAAGCCATACCCCTCCCTCCCGCAGGGCCCTGCCTATGACAGGCTCCCCCGCGTGCCTGGCACGCCGATCAGCGCATGGCGATTTTACACAGCGGCGGCCGGGCTTCGTGGAGGAGGGTGTTTTTTTTTTTCCTTTTGTAAAATGAATTTAAATATATATTATATATAACTTTTAAAAAGTACAGTCCTGGCTAAATTCCACTCCTTTGGTAAAATATAAACAGATATCAATTATACTATTAACTACTCATACAGATGTTTTACTGTTTATTTCTAATTCAAGCACTTAAGTAGCTTTATTGTTGAATTTTGCTATTTAAAATGGGTTATAATTTACAGATTATGTTCTTATGATGAGATTCTATATTTCATACTCAAATGTTATTGTTCTAAGGAAGTTTCGGTGTGGTCATGTAAATAGAGTCCCATCGGTAAAGTCAGAGAAACATCCCACTGTCCTGTGACAACTGTTGGGAGGAGGCTTTTGTCCCCGCTCACACCCCCGCTGGATGGCCCCCCGGAGTGCTGGAGGCTGGCAGGCGCCTTTCCCAGAGGGCATTCGGCCGCCATCAGAGGACAGCGGCTGTGGGAAGGGATAACGTGTTCAAGATCGTCACAGTCATCAGGAGGACATGGAACAGGACCCTTGTCCTAGTACCAAAGCACCTGTCTGTACTTGCCAAAACTGCGAATCTGAGATGCGGGCAACACACCAAAATTAATTATAATACAAGGTAAGATTTGCTTTTTGCCAAGATTCAAAGTTCTCTCCACATCAGGTATGAATTGTAAAAATGTATTATCTTGTAAAACATGTTTTAAAAAAGGGGCAAAGATGCTAAAAATTTAAGTCCTAACTTTATTTTTAGAAACGTCTGCTTCTGAGATTTGATAATGTTACGTATCTGTTCTTGGGAACAGTAGAGAAAATGCTTAGTGACATCGCAGCTTTAGTAAACCTACCTCACAGCTGGGTGGAGAGGATGAACTACAACTGACTTTAATCCCTATAGTGCCTAGCGCAGTCCAAGTGCTGGATAATTATTTGATTAAAACCGAATTAACCAAAACTCTAAAAAGTGCTTTGAGCTCTACCAATACCAAGTATGTATTATGGTGTATCTCTGGAATGTAGCCATACAGTGCAATTACTGATACCTGTCCTGGATCACAGTTGTCATTCATAGTGATCATTGTGATACAGAAGTTTGTTTCTTCACTCCCTTGTGAGAAGCCAACTCTAGCAATTGTACAAAGTTCAGGAGACAGTGTCTGAGGATATCCCAATGTGAATTCTTTTTACCTAAAAGATCACATCCAAATAAGAACTTCCCTGTCTAAAACTGAATTATTTTTTAATTTATAATCTCGAAAAATAAATATGTAGGATGATTGGAGTATACAAGGTGCAGGCCTGTAAGTCTGACTGAGGTGCATGCGTGCGGGCAGGCTCCATGAAGGATCTCACAGGCAGGTCCAGCCTCCGGGCCTCTGTCTGACTCCTCGCCCCACCCAGGCACAGACACGTGACCGCCTGTGAGCCTACGGAGCTTCCGACAGTCCCTTGTTATAGACATTTTCAAAGACTGGTTCTTTCTGTGACTTCCTAAATATTCTGGAAGTAATTATAAACTTTGGAAGCTGGTTTAAAAACATAGAATTCCAGGCGTTTTTAAAGATTAAATCTTCACTTTGATTCCACATCATCTGGGGAAGGGGGCACCTAATCAACATTTCAGCTAATGGAACTGGTTTAACACACAATCAAATGTGAGGATTGTTGAGAATAAGCAGAAATACGGCAAAGAACCTAACAAATCATCAAGTCTCTAGCTGGACCAGTAATCCTAGAATTTACCACTCATAGAATTTTAAAATTGAATTCTGAGATGTAGGGTTAAAAACAGTTAAATATTTCACTATTTCATCAAGGGCTTTTAAAATAAACCTGTACATTTGATAGAAGAAAGACAAATAAACAGCTCTGTGCAGGCCAGCCTCGCTTCACTGCACTTCAGATGCCGAGCTTTTACAGGTGGAAGGCAAGACCACCAGCAGAGCGACGAGGACTGACCTTAGCTAGCGTGCTACTCACGTTACCGCGGCGGCCTGGGACGGACCCTGGAGGTCTGGCTCTGACCCGCGGTCGCCGAGGTCTGCCTGCCCTGCACCCGTTCCGTATCTAGGAAGAGCCTCAAATCCAGGAATGAGGTTCGGTGTCGAGCGGTTGGTTCTGAAGCAAAGGGCCTGCTACACTTAGGGGCACTTACTGCTGGGAGGCCCACAGCTGGTAGCGATTTCCTGGATCCGCTCTCCCCCACACCGCTCATCATTAGCATTTCAGAGGCCTGGGGTGCCTGTTACATTCCATCGTCTAACGGAAGGAGAACGCACGTTCACATAGACACACTTTCAACATTGCAGGTTGTGTTTAGATGTAGACTCCCAAGAGCCAGGATAAACGTAGATAAAGAGGAACGCATCAGGCTTCTAAATGCTCCCTACCTTTACAAGAAGGAAAATAAATGGAGAAAAAAGTATTTCACCTCAGTTATAAAAATTCATCTTAGGCCAAAGTAACCATTGTTACATTTAAATTGCTTTGTTTAAGAAAAAAATGATTAATTGCAATTTAAAGTCACAGAAATCTCAGATTTAGTAACGCTAAGCTTACATGGACTATAACATTCAGTTAGATGTTGCTGTGCTTCATTTAATTTTTAAGAGACACACACTTTCAAAGTACTGATAGCAATAGGGAAAGCCCTCTCTCGCCCTGGCAGGAATGGATTTGTTGGACTTATAAAAGTTTGAGTTCTGCTGAGTAGAATTAGCTATCCCTAGGAAGATTTTGATCCAATACCGAGTTGTTTATAAAATCCTCTATTATCTAATGTAATGTACTGTAAGTAGTGAAATTCTGTATATACTGATGTTTTCTGTGTCTGTTCATTGTTGTGAATTTATGTATATTAGTGGAATAAATTTTCAGCTTTCATCTTGTTTCGTTACCATTCATAAACGTTAGTACATGCCTTTCATTTTTTTGCCCTCTTGTATGAGAATAACCGGTTTAGTGGTATTTTCATTCCAATTCAACCAACTACCCTAGAAAGGCTGGCGTTCACCAGTAAGGCGGGACTCGGTTGCCCTCGGCATCTCTCCCCTCTGCCGCTCCCCTTCAGAACCACAGTTCACAGCTTCTGCACCAACAGCGTCTGTAATTTTCCCAAATGCCTTTATTTGTAGACATCATAGAACTTAAATACTGAGCCAAAAAGAAAGGGCTGATAAAATATAAAACGTTCCCTGCTCAGCCACACCAGACAGTGAGTGTATTCAGTGTATGCTGTGTTCTGTATGGGTCCACGGACAGAGCAGTACCCACCCGCGTGTATGTATTTCTGCACGTATATATACACATTATGTTCACGTAGTTACAGGAAAAACTTAGAACTCTCACTCTCTCAGCCTCCACCACTTGCTCTCTACTCATGGCCCAAGTTGGGATTCCCTTCCAGCGTGGTGAACAATCCGCCCAAGCTGCGCTTAGAACTGCTGGGGTCTTGCCAGAGCGGCGGTCAGCACCAGAGGGAGGCGCTACTTCTCACGCACGACTTCTGCACACCGGGCACAGAGCGTATCTGAAGACTCAGCTGTGTGTTTCCAACAACGAGGGCACTTCTCTTTGGTAGTTGGCGCGACGATTACTTTATAGGAAGACTCTTCACGAATATCACCACCTGTGAAAGAAAAACACATGCGTATTTGCAGGTGCTCCTTGTTCAAACTTCCTCCTTCCTGCCTTGGTAAAGCTTGTTCCAGTACCGATGTCATATTACATATACAGCAAGATGGCGGAACCATGCGACTGCACAGAGCTGAGGAAGCCGAGACCCCGAGAGACACTCTGATTTCTCCCTGACTCTCTGGGTTCTGCACCTGACTCCGCAGAATGGGCCTTCTAGCTCCTGACCCAAGCCCAGTTCTGGTAAGTGTGGAGCTGGAAAGGCAGTGAACCTTACGAATTTAAAAGGGAGCCAAATTATAGGCCAACGGCAGTGCCTCCACTTAAAACTTCTTGGTTTACAATGAGGAAACAGGGCTTTCTCCACTATTAATACTCTTGGACCGCAAACTGGTAACATAGAGTGAAGAAAGTGTGTTCTTTCCTGGTCATGGCACAAAGATTATACATTCACATTTTCAAGAGCATGTTAGGCCAGGATTGTTACCACGTGGTCAAGCTGCCAGGCCTCCCACCTCCCACTGGGACTTGGAAGCTGCTCTGAAAGATACAGGCAGCATCACTTTTCCTGGCACATCTGCGTGCCACGCTCTGTCCGTGTCCGGCAACGAGACTGAATGAGGGTGACAGAAGTACCAACGAGATGCCTGCTCACGAGCGGCCACTGCACGGTGGGTTCCCTGCGTCTTCAGAACTCCTCCCTTAGAGTGACTACATGATATTTTCATTTGGGGTCTACACAAGACATTTTAGAGTCAAAGCTGGGGATGGGTAGGTAGGCCTGGGCAGTTCTAGGACAGTGAGTGTCACAGGAGAGGGACACAGAAGCCGAACAGGAGTAAGGGCGGCTGGCACCACACGCAATGACAACCACTTTCTCAGAGCACAGGAAGGAAACCCCGTCTTCTAGCCCTAGTACTGTGTCCCCAAGATCACTGGGTGGGACACTTTCGAGAGCCGTTGCCACAGGAAGCTGCCTCCAGAGACGACCCCCGGTCCTCACTCGGTTCGCCAGCTGGCCCCCGTTCCCCTCACCTCCTTCCTCCTTACCTTCCAGGTTGATGAGGAAGGTCCCCGTGTGCTCGGTGGCACCTGCAGCCATCACCTGTGGCTCCTGGGGGAGCAGAGTGGTCTGGGAAGACATCATGAGCTCGTTCAGCTGGGAGGTGCTGGAAGTCTCCTCAGCTTGCAGCATCTGAAAGCAGGCACGTGAGAGTGACCATCCAAATTAGATTTCCGCTGTACACTAAGGTTATTGACACTAAGTTCTTGTATTTAGTGAGACACCCTTTGTACCAGTCCGTCCTGATGCTAATACTATTAAAACACATCAGTTCTTACTAGTACTGGGAACTGAAAACTTCCAGTCAATGATATATACTGAGAATATACTCTATGGCAGCTCTTCACTTTGCTGGATGGTTTCTCATCGCTACAAAACACCCACACGGTGTTTAGGTCCCCCGTGTACACATGGACAATCAGGCGCAGAGAGGTTAGCGAGCCTGACTTTCTCCCCGACCCTGTGGTGGAGCCGCGACCCAGCCCAAGGCTCAGCTCCGGGGCCCACACTCCCCGCGGGTCACGCTTCTGACATTCGGCGAGGGGGTGAGACGGCCAACCTCACAGGGGGGCCGACCTCACAAGGACGGCCATCTGAGTAAGGTGCCGACCCTTCTGAAGGACACTGAACTGGGGTATCTGACAGGCCCTTTTACATTTTTCATTGTAATTCTGATCTTTAAAATAAATTTGTGAGCTACTACAGACATTCCTTTTTTAAAAAAGCTCATGAGGAAACAGATTCAAATAGGTTTTAATGAATCATGCAATTAGTAATTGTTCAAATGAGGATTCCATCTGACAGCTACTTGGTGTGAGTCCTAAGGAAAAATATATACACGTTTTTGCATTTTTTCTAATATAAGCGGCATTCTTTTTAGCTTGCCACTCAGCGCTTGTGAAGTCAAAGGGCACACGGCACGCAGGGAAAGCCCAGCGCCGGGCTGCTTGGCCTGAGCAAGGCTGCGGCCTCGATGGTGCCGTCTCCTGCCCGTAAAGCAAAGGAGTCGGAACTTTCCAACTGTACATTGTGAAACGTTAACATATTCCCAAAATTCTCTTACCTGATTCACAGTCTCATATCTACCGGCTATTTCAAGCCTCTAATCTTGATCAATTACAATATTGAAAATTTAAATAGAGTTTTAAATAGAGCCAAATAAGGTGGCCATTTTTTGGAAAATACGATACCTGTAAAAGTTAAGCTATATTCACTGCCAATTCTCTTCTAAGCAGTACAATTACAGAAAAATCTTGATTCCATATATTATGCTCTAAATCTGGCCAATCAACCCCTAAGAATCCCAAGAAGAAAAATTTGATGGATTTAGAAATAAAAATACAGTGAGTACTTTGAGATCCCATGATAATAATCTGCTGGAGCAAATGAATTTTTTCCAGAACTCAAGGAAAAAAAATGGAAATCTTGTTCTGGATTTGTTTTGAATCTGGGCCAGGCAGACAAAATTGTCAGAAAACTACACCCTTAAGGCAAAACGCCCAACTTCTGTGTGTTCTAATACTACTCCCATGGACTGACATGTCTGAACAGCCCTGAGGGCTTATACGTCATTTAGAACTTAATTATACCTTCCTTGTCCCAATACGCAGATTTTTAAACATTTCCAGTGAGACCGTTGATAACTAACACCATTTCAAAAGGTACAAATGACAGCTGACCTCTATTATCTCAAAGAGCAGTCCGGGCTCTATGACGATGGTGACCTCGTACTCGGCGGCGTTTCTGCCCGGGATGCTCCTGAGAAACGCGTCTCTCATGGCGCACGCACTCTCCACCGCCTCCTCCAGCCCGGGCTTCTTCCAGATGGAATTCGTGTTAATCCACCCGGTACGAAAAACACTCCTGGGTTCTTAAAAGTTAAGTATAAAAAAATAAAACCCACGCATGTGCATACATTCTAAACTAAATATAATAACCATTAAATATTTACTGTTCACCAGAAGAAAGAATTGTCATTTAAGGTAATCATGGGATAAATATGGAGCCACCCTCAATGCTTCCAAACATGTATATGAACATTTGGAAATAATGATGCTAAATAAGTGACTCTTCCTTCTCTCTCTAAACTTCTAATAGTTTCTGATTTTCTATAAATTTAATACAATTAGAGGAAAAAAGCTATTATAAAAAATACTGAAAAGCACTAAACTTTGTTTTAATAAAATTGAATGTATTGCTGATGTTCATAAATTTTTAAGAAAAAGTGGTTTCTCAATATGGTCCAGTTGCTAACCTTTCAGAAAGCACTTGAGGGCCCCTTGAAATCCACCCTATTCCTCTACAGACAGGCGCGGGAGGGAGCAAGACACAACCCCATAAACCTTTCACTGCAGATGGGTAAGTGCTCCTTAGATGATGTGCACACAATTAGAAGGTGCACCCTCATCGTCACCTCCCTCATCTAGAAAACAAGTCAGCGTCCTTACCTTTAGAGTAAGGTATGTGCTGGAATACCTCCTCGGCCAAGTGTGGAAGAATGGGCGCAAAAGAACGAACCATCACATCCAGAATTTCAGCCAGTGCGGTCTGACAGGAGCGTCGTCTGGGATCGCTTGCCTTCTCACAGTAAAGCCTGAACGAGAACAACCCCCTCAGCGGCTGATGTCACTGTGCTGTGGTTGCCAAGACAGGCCCTGTCTCGGGTCACGCTCATTCTCACAGTGGCTAACTGAATGGGCCTAATCATCTTCAAATTAAAGAAGATACTTTAGCATATGCCCTCCATTGTACTTTCCTCTTTCCAGGCACGCCCCCAACCTCCAACGCTTCTCAACAGCTAAAATTCCATCTTCCAGATACGGAAGTCTAGACTACTGTATCAAAGGACCACTGAGTTAGTTGATCTTTACATGTGGCTTTCACCCCTACGAGGCTGCCTCCCGCTCAGGCTCTACAAGCTCCCCAAACAAGACACTGTTCACGACCTCTTCTTAGTAGCTACTGTTGAGCACCTTACCAAACACAGCACAGTACAGCACACATTGCTGATATACTCTCTTTTCATTCTGGTAACCACCCTGAGATGGGATTAGCTTTTCCATTTTACGGAGGAAGAGACCGATTAGAGGATGAGCTGCCCCAAGCGGAAAACTAGGAAGAGGCAGGGCAAAACATGCACAACCAGCCTTCACTCCAGAATCCAACGTAACAACTGCCGAGCTTGCTCACACCTCGACGCCTAACATCTGAGCAGAAGAGACATTCAAGAACTTCTTGTGAAGTACTTTACTACCCAGCCATACGTACCTATCTTTGATTATGCTGAAATAAAAGTTAGAAAGTTCTCTGGTGTAAAAGGCTCGCAACAGCCGAACGACTCTTCCAAAATCGTACTGCTTGTATGAATCGGTTATCTAGGGAACAAAGCCACATACGTTTGGAAGCCGGGGATAAGCAAATGGGAAGGCAAGTTGTCATTAGCAAAACATTTTCCTTCTGAAAATATGTTTCAAAGGCAGACAAATACAAAACAGGTGGCAGGCAAAGCTCTTCGGGGTGGGGAATCTCCCAAACATTACTTCTGGTTCAAGTTTGACTGCCTTGAGAAAATACTGAACATTCTGCTCTGGAAACTATAGGAGAACACTCATCAACGGAAAGGATCTGGTTGTGAGGGATGAAACAACACCATTTAAAAACGGCAAAGAGTGCACGTCGCCGTTGTCACCTCATTTATGCCTGAAAGTAAAATTGGCCAAAAATCCGCACGTATGTCTCTGACTTATGGGTACATGGAAGCAACCACATTTTCAATGTTTGAGTAACCAAAATTATCTGTGTTTATATATATGATAAAATCTCTCACAAGATACACAGAAACACTTATTTCAGTTATTTCTAGACTTTGAGGGGTACATCTGCAGATAAACAAAGCACAGCTCTATTCCTTCCAGTTGGAGAAATATTCAACACATAGAGCTGATCTTGAGAGAAAATGTCGTCTGAGACGTCTGGGCCTATTGTTTCCATGAGGTAATTCTCTAGTCTTCCGAGAAACTGGGAAAGAAATCGTAAGACTTTAAGCCTAAGGTGAACCTAGGGATGTGTGGAATTTATCAAGCATAATTTTCCTCAGTGTTGTTGTTGCCATTTCTAGTAAAGGCTGGTCCCACCTACATGTACATCAGACTTCAACACATATCAGCGCTGGTGCCTCCCTTTCCCAAAAGCTTACTGTTCCCCACTTACCTTGCTTGCTAAGTCCTGCAGTAAGTGCAGCATGTACTGGTCTATGACATACATGTTGTTAACAGGCACAGAATCTGTCTCTGGGTTGAAACCGGCCACATTTCCCAAAAGAAAGCGTAGTGTATTCCTAAGCTTTTGGGACAGAAAAAACAACGTGCAGTCAAAAAAAAAAAAAATTTACAAGGCCGTAAGTTCTTACTGAAAAGTTATTTCATTTCTCTACAATTAGGTTTTATCCAACTCATTATTTTCTTAATGGGATGCTTTTAAAATGACATTCCTAAATGAGACTACAAATGCAAGGAAAACCAAAAACATCCTCATTTTAGTAGCCCAGGTTAAGAAACGATCCCTGGATTTTACACATGAAGACTGAATTTTCATTCCATTTCTTTCTAAGCTTAGGGCAGATCACCTTTCAGGGACCTAAGTTTGTTCACCTGTGTAGGTGAAAACAAAGAGAAATGGAATCAACATGAAAGGTCACTGAGCACATAAAAAGTATGTGAAATTGTCAAATATAATAGCATAAACATTAACAAATGAAAAGTAAATCTTAAAAAAGTATATAAAATTAGTAAAATTTCACATATTACATCTTTGATTACACAGTGTCTTTCTTCTCTCCAGTCCCCACAGATTTTCTTTTAAAAAAAATTACACATTCGGATTGCAGTAGACACTCCTTGTGTATTTGTATTTATATAATTACTAATATGTGACATTAATATTGTGTCAAACCTCCTTATGAAAATGAGTGCGGATGTACATGGTATGTCTGATTTTTATCCACAGAATGAATCTGATTTAGAATGCCTTTTAGCTGACAGAGAGAGAGCGCGCCAAGTACTTTAAGGCAAGTCCATGGTCTGAATCCCTGAGGGAACCCCCCCCCCGCCCCCGTCTCTATGGGAAGCTTTATGAATGCATTAGTCCTTATAGTGGGTTTTGTGCTCAGGATTTTGGAAGGGAGCCACTGACGAGGCAAAGCACTGCCTCTCAGCGTCAGCCTGGGTGCACTTGGGAGGAACTTGGCCGCTTTGTGCCTGGCAGGTCGTCATTTTCCCTTTGACACGTGGCCTTTCCAAAGTGAGTGGGAGGGGCTGCTGGCACTTCAAGACTTTCCCTCTTTTTTGTAAAACTCGAGGAGGTGTTATGGGGGAGGGAGGAGGACAGAATCTTTGAACCTTTTACTCGGCTCCTGTTAGGACCGTGTATTTTGCACATAAGGGGAAACCCTATCTTTAAAGCTCACGTCTAGACAAGAGTTCAGCTAAGGAAGAAATGAGCTGCACTGCAGAGCAGTGCCCGTGCGGACACATCTTCACCTGCCGGGAGGAGAGCGCTGCGGACGAGCCGAAGCGCACCTGCGGGTGGGCTCGGCAGGTTCTGCCTTTGTTTACGACACTCAGAGGGTGTTGGCAAAACATGGGTGCATTTTCAGATAAAACGCAGCTTCCACAAAATGAGTATAATTTCACGGATTATGCTCTTTATTTAATAAAATAGAAAAAGAAAGTATATAAAAGGATATTTTTAAATGCACACAGGTGTAGAACTCGTTGTCATTCAGTTTTGCAGTGCCAAGCAAAGTGTACCTCGTTTTTAAAAATAGCGGTTCTGTGAACTTTTCATTCAGAAGCAGGAAGGGCAATCACTGACCTTGCTAATATCATCTCTGGCCGCACTGAGTGCAGACGGACCAATGGTCACTTCAGTGAAGACATTGGACTCGGCCACCCACCAGCGAAGGACATCAGCACCGTAAGGAGGCTCCTTGTTTTGATCCTTTACATTTGAGGGGGGGAAAAAACCCAAACAAACCATACACACATATGAATGGCTTTCAATTCCAAGGAGGTGAACAAATCTTTCAGGTGGTCCTATTCGAAAATAGGTGAGCACAATAAAACACATGCATTGTAATGAAAAGGGCTACAATCTCAGAAATCGGGGTGTGTCTAAACAACACTGAAGAAAAGAGAGGGTGCTGCAGTCCTGCTTGACACCCAGCCTCCTCCCTGGTCGTGTCCGGGCCCAGCAGACCCGCAGCAGCGCTCGGCCTCTCCCGGGGGGGGGGGGGGGGGGGGGGCTGCCCCTCCCTTCAGCAACCCCAGCAGCTCTGCGCACAGAGAAATGATCAGTGCACAGGAGGCGGGCGGTACGAAGCCAAAGGGGGAACAGGTAAGTGGTGTCTTTTCTGCAAACAACTTCAAAATGAACCAAATTATCCGCCACCCCAGATTCGACGTTCATTAAGGGCACGCTTTCAAGGGTGTAATTTCCGAGAATAATGAACCGTGCATTTGGAAGTTGCAATCTCGTTTTTTTTCTCCTAGCGTTTCCATTTGAATGTAAAATGGCAGTTTAAAGCTCAAACCATTAAAAAGGGGGTAGCAGGAACTGCCTAGAGATTCAGACCCAAAATGAGCCAATCCCGCAATCCCAGTCTGCCCTGTTTTCATCTAAATCATGCGTTATTTCTGAGTTTGGATTTAAGACATGGTAAGACATCTCTATTCCTATAAAAGATGTTTGTGTTTTTTAAAAACATTGAAGTAATTACATTAAGGGTTTTGGCTGCCAACTTGAGTCTTAAAACCAAAATAAAGTCAGTTTTAGACGACCACCTACCTGTCCTCCGTTGATGACAGCATCGGGATCAATGACGTTCCCAAGAGACTTAGACATCTTTTCTCCCTTTTCTCCAAGGGTGAACCCATGAACCACCACGGTCCTAAGAAGGCAAATCAGCTATTATAACAACACAATCATAATGACCTTTTTGAAGATGACTTACAACTTAGAAGTGGTATCTTAGTTTGCCATGAAAATAGGATTTTTCTTGACAGATTATGTATGAACGCTTCTCTTGAAAGGCTAGAGTTTAGCAGCTCATTCATGATTGTTAAATAGTAAGCTCTCTACTTATGAAGAGAAAAACTTTTGAGGTTTACATTCATTAACCAAGTATTTTCTGAGCGTCTATTATATACTGGCTTTGATTATTAAAACTAACCAGGAAAAAGTGTATCTTAAAAAAAAAAAACAGATTATCACCTCAAATTATCTTCAGAAAGACAATTCCAGAGAAAAACATCTGCTGGTCTACCGGCCTCCAAAAGCATGTTATATAAGAAAGAAACACTTAAATTGTTCTGGAATGGGTTTTCATTGTAAGACAGCAAAAATCTTGAGCTCTTTAAGAATCTTTCTGATTAGAACCTCTACCCACATGTTTGCGTAAGGAAAAGCAATGTTCTACAACCAAAAACCCCAAGTTTAATAAAATTCACGGAAGGGAGGCTTCAGTTCCTTGGCCACTTCCGGAGCCCACAGGCTGTCTTCTGAGTGGAGCCCGACCGGCCGGAGACTGGCCTCTCGCAGGTTCCCCGCTTCCGCGGTCCGTGCCGGGCTCCCTCTTCTCGGAGCTCTGACCTATCTCAGTGACAGGACTTAGTCTGTCCGGTCACCTCCTTTCTCTCTCCCCCTCTTAAGAACTTGCTTCAAACTCTTATCTCCCTCGAGCCTGGAGACTGTAGACTAATACATAAACTATCGTGCAGAGGGCTCCCCACGCTGACAAGCACCCAGCAGAAGGACTCAGGGTGGGCTGGCTTGCTTAGCTCAGGGACAGTACTCACTTAAAAGGGGCTTTCTTCCTCGCTGCCACACTTGTTAACAGGGAGGACTGAAACCAACCGCCCAGCTGGTCTTTTCCTTCCAAGTATAAATCTGCCGTTTGGTCTGGACCTCGAAAATAAGTATTAACAGAGACAGAAATTTAATAAAATGCAGGCAAACAGAAATGGACATGTATTAAAGTACTGAAAGGGTGAAAATAATGATATCGTTATTTCATGTGTCGGGCTATACCCAATGGGTAGATTGCATTCACTGGAGCTATTCCTCTCACTGCCAATTTATTAATCAAGATAAAGAAAATAAACTTTGGAGTATGAACTTCCAAACCATAGGCAATTGTAATACTATCTGAATTAGGGTTTGATTCATAATTACTAACATCAATATTACCAGTTACATACTTGATGAAAACAAATTACTATTCTTATTAATCTAACAAATACTTGCTGAGAATCCAGTAACTTTGCACGTTAATTCATTTGGTTCAGAGTGACTCCGTAAGGTAGGCACTCCCACTTTCCCCCCTTTACAGGCGGGGAGGGTGAGCCCTCAGAGGCTTTATGGCTTGTCCAAGGCTACGCAGATAAGAAGCAACAGTAGGTGTGGATTCTGAAGCCAGACAGTCTGGAGGGCATGTGCTTAACCAAGAAATTAAATCAGGAAAAACATGTCTTTGTACCGGGCAGATTATAAAACAGCCACATGAGCCAGGGGCTGGGGTGGGGGTGGCCGGGAAGAGTGGCGTAGCACGGACGGATTTTAGGGCAGTGAAAATGCTCTCTGATCCTCTACCGATGGGCATGTGTCACTCTACAGCTGTCGTACAAACGCCCAGAATGTACAACACCAGAAGTGACCCCAGTGTCAACTGCGGACTTGGGGTGATTATGATGTGTCAGTGTGGGTTCAGCAGCTGTAACCAAGGGACCGCCTGGGGTTGTTGACTGGGGAGGCCAGGGGACGGGGCAGGGCGGGGCAACAGGTACGGGAACTCTGCTTGCCACTCCACTTTGTGATGTGCTTAAAACTTCTCTACAGATAAAGTCTATTTAAAATATAAAGTAAGCCATGGGTTTTGTTTTTTTTTTTAGAAATCACTGCAATAATCAATGCCTTTGCCAAGTGTTTAAAGAAAGTTTTAGAAATACAGGTATGATTTATTGCCTATATGGGATTCACTTAAAAATGCTACTCCCTTTCAGAAGTTTTCAAGTTTCAGCTTCTTAAGTTCTATTGACCTTGAACAATGAAACAGGTGCTCGGCCCGGTATTAAAATTCACAAGCCAAGCCTCTTTCACAGCTATAAAATCTGTCAGCAAAAATTAAAACCAGTTATGTATGCAATATAATCACCAAGTTCATCTCGTTAAGTAACAGTAGATACTGATGAAGTCTGGCAGCTAAAATTAAGCTCAAAATCAAGCTGATTGTATTTTTCAATAAATACTCTCAAGGAAATAGAGAGACATAGATGTTAAATCATTTCAGATTGGACTTGATACAAACCATTTGAGAAAGAGAAAGAAGTACGATAAACCTGAGGAGTCAGTGACTTCTTGGTTTTTTTGTTTCCTTTCTTTTTGTAAGGCAAGTCACCTTTGCTTTGTGGCGTTTTAAACCATGAATTCACCTACTGTCTTGACTCCCACCCACTTCTTTGTTACTGCCTATCTTTTGAAGCTTTTTTTTTTAATCACAAAAGAACAGGAAAATAGAACAAAATAGAAGCCAGTTAATCTAATTTTATTGATTAATCTCATAAGATTATTTACTTTTTGAGGAGGAATATGAGTTTTGAATGGACAGGCAGGAACTACAGTCTGAAGTTGGGCTTATGCATTATCCATAAATACGTTCTGACAGTCCCCTACACATGCAACGCGCATCTTGAAATAACAAGGTTTCTTTCTCTGAATTAATTACCTACATGCAACAGGAAAGGAAAGGAGGGTTTGCTGACCAGGTGCTCTTGCCACTAACTTCATTTAGTAAGTGTTTCTGCCCCAGTGGTCGGTCGAGACCACCACCACCTAGGAGGTGCCTGACCGCCGTCAGCACCACGGACAGCGACGCAGGGCCCGCGAGGGGCGCCCTTGCAGGGGCTGCACTGACGATGGGAAGCCACTTCCGAAATTAGAAAGCAGCCAGGCTGGTAGCAGCGATCCACACCAAGGCCAAGGCAGTTCATGACCTCGGAAACATGCTACACAAGCACAGTTCACATAATGGCACGCTCCTGACATTCAGATGGTAGCAGGTTAACTTTGTCCTGTTTATATTCTAACGCTACTTAACTTACCTGCCTTATGTAGTGCTGTTTGCCTACATTTTCAATGTAATCTATGAGAACAAAGTATCTAAACTTGCAATATTTTCTCTTAAATACGGGGAAACTTATGAACTAAGAATTCTGAAAACTACATAAAAATTATAAAAATGTTATTAATATGTAACTTACCTTTGGACATTATCATTATGTATATTTTCACTATAATACAGAGTCAACAAGAATTTACTTGCATTTTACTTTTCAAACTTCCTAAACTGAAAGAAAGGCCTAAACGAAGGGATCTATTTGTCTACTGCAACCACACTGCTCTTCTCTCCAGAGTGAGGTGCGGAACCAGTATACGCCAGCTGACACTTGAGGGCAGTCCCTTTCAGTCCAGTTAACCACGGCCTCTGTACAGACAAGCTCTTCTTCCCACACCCCTCGCTTTAGAAGGCAAACAGGGTCTCCTGGGCCAGAGTCGGCCCTCAGGCAGCGCAGGACCCGCCAGAGCTGCCGTGGCGCCCCGGGCACCTAGCCCTGACTTGATCCGCACGACGACGACCAGCCTGCCACAGGCTTCACTTTACCTCTAACTTGCCACTCAGTAGCCTCAAGAGCACCTCTTCTCAAGCATCTGAATACGTCCTCTGATGGATGCTTCCCCTTCTGCTCCCTGCTCCTGCCAATCGCTCCTTTCCCTCGGGCCAGTAAGTCAAACCTTCCCCTAACGGCGAGTCGCTGTCAAATCAGTCAGTTGCTCATAGGGCGGGGCGGGGTTGGGGGGGTGGGGGCGGAAAGCGATGCAGGAGAGAAGACAGAGCTCTCGACTCTGACTCTACGTTCTGTGACCATCGCCTCCCTTGCCTCTAATTCAGTCTCAATCCCCCCTCTGAAAAACGATGGCGTCGGACCACTTCGGTGACGTCCAGACTTTGGTTATAGAATCGCTGCCTTGGGGCTACAAAGGTAAGGGCCGGGGGGTGGGAAGGAGAGAGAAAACCCCCCTTTTTATCCATTGTACGTATTGGGGTTCCATGAAAAATTTCATTTGGACAAACAAAAAGTTTACAAATCTTAGGGTAAATGATCTCCGAGGATCTTTCCAGATTTAAAATTACATTAGAGCAGATCTTCCGATAAAGCAAAAAGAATTGCTGGTTGTAGATTTCTTCTAAGTAATGTTTATATATTCTCAAAACTGCCTGATTGGTATATAAACTATTACCTAAAATTACCTGGGAGGACATAAGACCACGACGTTCCACTGTCAAACCAGATGTCCAAAATATCCCGACCCGGCACGAACTCCAAGGCATCGGCACCACCAACCTGGTAAGACAACAGAAAAGCGTTTCCATTATATTAAAAACGTGGACAATAAATACCCCAAAACGTCAAAAGAAAATGAAATGCTTACAACCATTGCACTCACATTTTAAAATACAATTTAAAACATTTAAAAACACTCCACAATTATGTACAACGGATCATTTGCATATAAAAATGACTGGCCACTTAATTTACATATTTATTAACGTAAATATAAAGCGTTTTTATTTTTTGCTTTTGTTTTTGTTTTCTTGAAATTATCCTCCGATTTGGATTTCTGGCGTACGATGCCATCAGTCACCTCTAATTCGGATCCTACAAAGTCCTGATGTCCCAATGTTTAGGCACTGTTCTCACAAGCAGAGCTACTTAACCAGATCAGTTATAACTCTGGCCCTCGATGAGATCAATAACCCTCCCATGCTACTGCCACATTAAATACTAAGCTCCTCTAGCTAAACAAAAATGTCTACTCTCAAAGTGCACTGACTTCTCATTTCCAGTGGCTAAATTCATTCACTTTACATGATAATGTACCTACTTTTTTAACTCCCAAGAATCCCTTCTGTAGCTATTAAGTCTTGCAACGCACCCAAGGCTGTTAAATAAGTAACAGAAATGTACCTGAGCGAGGACTTCTTTAGGGAGAAGCTGCTCCGGGGGGAGAGTCCACCAGACATCACTGCCATGTTCTTCCACGAGTTTAACAATGTGCTCAATGGTTTGGCTATTTCAGGGGGACAGGATAGGGTTGTTCAATTAACTTATTGTGATTAATACCAAGCATTTTAAAATTAAAAAATAGTAATACTTTTTCCTTTCTGTAGGAGATTTTCCTATCTTTCCCCCCAAACTTTAGTGACACCCTCTTCAATTATTTGCTACTTGGCTGTCATCCTAATTTAATATAAATAATATCAATATTAATGGTATCTCAGAAATAAAATTAAGTCATATGTACCCCTTACAAGAAGAGAAAAGACTTCTCCTTATATCTCTATTTTGGTTGCTCATTTCCCTGTTTCCATCCATCTATTTTCTATTCTAGTACCTGTATTCAAAACCCCTAATTATCTCCCTGATTTCCTCCCCAAATAAAGCAACACATTCTGCCAGTCCTACCTTTGAAATATTACGCAGACTTGTTCTTTGACCTCACTAATACTGAATTAGTCCAACCTCACCACTTCAGTTCTATTGTAGATTGATGCAATGACTTCTCCCCAGTTCTCATCCCTTTAATTTCATGGTGCATCTTGAGAGAAAAGCATTCCCCAAACTGCTGCTATCACACTAATCCCCTCTCAGACACTTCCAGGGCCCCGCTCACAGCTTACAGGACTGAGTGCCCCCCGACCGCCGCTGCCACAACAGCGATGCCACGTTAAAGCATTCCCTTTGACAACAGATAGTCGAGCTTATATCCTGACTCTGCCACTTTCGATACCCATGACCATGCACAAGTACTAAAACATCTCTAAGTCTCGGTTGCGAATAATAAAATTCATTTGTTCAAAAATATTTACCGAGCACCTCCAATGTGTTGGATATCGTTCTGGGCACTGGAGAAAACAGCCAATAAGGCAGGTAAGATCGCTGCCCTAATGAAGTTACGCTTTGGTGACCCTTCCTACTTCCCTTAGAATGACTGCAAACTGAAAGAGCGGGTCCAGGTATAGCTGAGCACACTACAGAGAGCCAGTAACTGCACATCAAATGAATACCGAAATCGGCCCTATCTTGGGGAAGATGCAGAGTTACAAATTATTTGAAAATTAAACTCAGGGGAAAGTTTATACCAAATTCTCTCGCAGGAACAACATACTTTTAATTTATTATCACAGCTTTACGGGCTTAACAACTTCCTCTAGTGCTTTCTACCAAACCGCAGTGTATACAGTGTACCCTGGACCCAGCCAGCGCCGGGTCCTGGCTCTTTCGCTTTCTAGCTGTGTGACGCTGCGGAAGGCAGTTACCATTTCTGTGCCTCTGTTCGTAAAATGCAGATAAAACAGTATCGTTAAGCCAGCTATTCTGTACATTAATCCAGCTTATATAAAAATGCCTGGAACCAAGTCTGGTGCCCTTTAGTAAGAATTATATAAGCATTAGTTAGCTATGACTCAAATGAATTCACTGAAGTCAGGTAAATTTAGACAGCTAGTTTTGTTAACCAGTTACTAAAACACATACCATAATAATATTTAATTAAAATAGACACACTAAAGCCAACTCTTCTACTATCCTCCATTCTACCGCAGGCCATCAATGCAAGTCACTAAGGATTCATCGCAGGTTCACGAGCCTGGGTGACAATGGAGATCATGGGGAAGAGAAAGCTCTAAGTTCTGAACCTGGATCTGCTGCTTGTTAGTCATGACTGTGCAGGGCAAATCATTGAACCTCACTGGGTCTGATAATTCGCTGATAAATGAAGTGATTATTTAAAAAACCGTGGGAAGCCAAAATCAAATGGGTGGTATAAATTAAATATGCTCTACACATTGAAACGTGAAATACCTTATAAGAGCAAAATACCACGATGAAGCAAAATAAGCTATTAAAGATTGAAAAGTATAATGCTCCCAGCATCTGTTCTGAAGAAATTATAAATAATAAGAATGTTAAAATGGGCACATGTCCATATAGCTAATAGGGTCACCCATTTAGGTAGACTTTTAACAGTAAAGATAAACTTTTGTGGTGAGACCATAAAAACGTCATGCAATAAGTATCTAATTACATGATATTTAGTTACTTATTACTATTTTATGCAGTTTGCACAGGACATTTTATCAGTTAAGAAAATATGAATACACTATAATAAAAATTCTGAATAAACATTAAAAAATGAGATACTAGCGAAGTACATTTAGACATATAAAAGTGCAGTAGATATACTGTAAAAATGAGCTGCAGTATCAGGTAAATAGTACAGTAAAATAGAAAACCGGTCTTCAATGTACTGGAAATACGTAGATAAAAACGCTAACCATGAAAGTAAAAGCCAATGGTTCAAATTTCATATTCATTTAGATAATAAGGTAGAAATGTTGGGGACCAATGCTATTATCAATCAAAATAAACATGTACGTGTACACCGCACATCATACTTTTCAAAGCCCTCTAAGCATTCTCTAACTGGATTCACAGAAAACATCGAGGAGCTCTGTCTGTGTCTCGGGCTCCTTGCCAGTCACGAGCTGATGCAAGTGACACAGTTAAAGCCGGGCCTTGATGTCCTATCTCCTAAAATCATGGTTCAGACGCCTTCGCTTCTCCATTCAGCGTCTAGAACTCATCTAGGAAGACAGCCACTGTACCGTGAACCCCCACTCCCAGTGTCTCGGGTTTGCTAAGCAAAGGCAAAAGGACTCTTATCAGCCAGGCAGAAGGAAACCGCAAGCCTGAGGTGGAGGCAGGGCCCCAGGAAGTCTCAGGAGAGAAGTGTAGACAGAACTGGCCCAGAGTCCAAAGGCCGGCTCGACCTGTCACTTATCAGATACCGACAGGAACACACCAGCCTCTTTTTCTGAGCTTCATTCTCTATGAACACTGGGGAAAAGCTGTATAAGACATTTGAGTCTTAAGAAAAAGAAAAGGCCTAATATTTTAGTAACTTCCAGCTACAGATTCTTCCAAATACAGAATAGGTACAGATACATATTCATTTTAGAATCCCAAAGTCAACTCTAGTGGACTGAGTTCTTCTTTGTATCCCTAACTAGCAGATAATTCAACGAAGATTTAATATTATATTTTAAGTATTACTGAACTACATGCAAGTATCTACTGAGTCTGTAAATAATATACCAAACAAAGGTTCCGATTTTGCGGCTGGCCTGTTATTAAGAAACTCTAAAACCCCCCGCCTCTAGTCGAACTAAAATTCATCTTTTATGGCAACATTTTCTCCATTCTACTTTGAGATCTTAGACAATCACATTACATACATTTTTAAAACAAAAACAAATTAAATACAGTTCTGGAGTTAGAGGATGAAAACCGAACAAAATTTCTGATATGTAAGAATGCAGCTTTCAAAGACCAAAACATCCTCACATTCTAAACAAATCAAAAGTTAAGTGCATAGAATTGGTATCAAAGTGAAAACTTTCTCTTGATTTGTGCTCTGGTGGTCTGAATGATCCTAAAAAATTCTGGCATTGAGTTTTAAAAACAAAACTTGCAATAAAAATTAGCACATGCATACAATCTACAGGCAAGGTTTGCTGGATTGCAAAATAAAAATAAATGTAATGTTCAAACTAAATCTGAAAAGATAATTTGGAGAAAAAAATACAGGCAAAGGCTGCACAAGTACCCAAAGATACTCATTACAGCAAAAACCTAGAAAGAGCCAAATGCCGGATGGGCTAAGTTTACATGATTTTCATAAACAGAGAACTAAGCAACGATTAAGAGCCGAACGACCATGTTTAATGGCTGTGAATTCATTCTTCTGAAGTTGAGTTAAGTGATCTCTTTTTTATATCATTATGTCCCTTTATAACAACTGTATTAGACCGCCTTACATATATTATCTTTGTGTGAGCCACGAGTCCTCTTACTTCCCTGGGACACTCAGAAGTGTAAGTTTTCATAACAAAACTAAAAAGATCATGCTTGAAAAAATTCTTATAGGCATTTCTTAGTGACAATAAATATTCTTCAGAAAAATATAAGGAAGAAGTCAAAATTTATGTTTGAAAATTTAAGAATTTCCCCATTGTGTTAATATCCTAGACTTAATGCCGTTAACTTACAACCTAAAGGTCAGCGCAAATTACTGCTGACGAGGGAGGTGAGACCACTTATCAGCCTGTAACCTATATGCTTCCATTTTAATGCTGTATTTCATTAAGCAACGAGTCCATCATAAAACTTTGTACTTTACTCAAGAGCCTTATCTAAACACAGGCACGACGCCCCTAGGTTAATCAGCAAAAATCCCTCGGTAGTATGGGCAACTATACCACCAACCAATCACCCTGCACTTTGATATCGACTAGGCTGAAAGCTTATTTAGTCGGTTACTGGAAATTAGGCAGCACTAGGTTTACCAGCTAATGAAGAAAATGGTGCTGTCTTCCAGCGTTTCCTGAGTTTTGTCTTCCTCAAAGCAAAAATGTAAGGACTCTGCACTTTTCTTCTTCTGTAAGTTACCGGACTAAGGTAAGAGGCTAAATGTTTCATATACATTTACTAAATTTATTTGTAGAACAACATTGAAATTTGAGAAGGAAACTATTTTGAACATAGTAGTATACTTATGTTTGAAAGGTGACAGGAAACAATTCTGGAGAAACTTTTCTTTATCTAATAAACATTATGCCTTCTTTTTTTTATTTCCCAAAAGCATCATTAACATGAGGAAAAATCTGAGGTAGCTAAAGCTTACGCTCAGATTAAACTAGAAATTCCTGGTTTCTAGGAAATTTCTCATAATTTCCAGAAATAGGAGCTAAGTTCCTTAAATACATGTTAACTATTGCATAAATATTGTTAAGTTAATTATAATCATCTGAAATAGTGAAAGAAATTTAACAACTTCTTTTCCTTCCTAGGTAGCAAGTGCTTCTCTATTTTATCTTTTTTTATGCTAAAAGGTATTTATTTTGTCTTTGTTAACTAGAAATAGATTTCTACCTAAATTATAACAGCATTAGATTACAGATTAAGAAAATGACCAATGATATTAAAGACAGAAATGCAATTGAGAAAATACAAATATGAATATAAAGTACAGATGAGGATATGAAATATGCCAGTTGCTAAACTTATTTATAATATGAATGCATGAAGATTTTTCTTCTGGGAAGTAAGTATACTTCAGAGATCATTTATAGCCTCTCATCAAGAAAAGCCAAAGGAATCTTGTGACAGATGGAATGGAGTTATCAAGTGTAACAGCAACTCCATGTGGACTGTGTACCAATTTCCAGTGGAGATGCTGTTACTTTTGATGGTTTCCAACTCGCTACAATATAGGGGCACATCCGAGAAGAAAGGAAATCATGGTCGCTGTGACTCTCCTCTAAGTCAAGTCCCTGTGCTCGCTCGACCCGCCACCTGCCCATCCGGAGTGGTCTCCCCTTCCTGCGGTCTCTCCCTGCCCTAAGTCTTGGGTCAGGTCGCGAACTAACAAATGGTGCACAGGAGAATGACCTATGAATTGACAGACTGTGGCTAAGCATGTCTGTCACTTCTGTAGGCCAACATTCTGTCTGCCTCTCCTGCTTCAGTGTCAGACACCAGCTAGACCATGCAAGCAACACGAGGAAAGAATCTGTAACACAATCATGTAAATGCACTGACTATAAATAGAGCATAAATGGTATCTAATGAATATTTGCTTGTGTTTTTCTGATGAAGCTCACATTTATTTCACTCAGCTTACTGATCAACCTGTGTACCATTTTACTGTCGTGATTAAATAATGATCAAATAAACCAGTTTGCTCTACTTACATGTGGTCTACCCTCAATCAATTCAAGGAACTTACATATATACATACGGTCTGCCTCAATCAATTCATGGACATTCACTTAAAAACTTATTTGTAAACACTGAAAAGAATGAGAAACAATGACAGTGGCTTATAAACATTCCTTAAAAGAAAACACTCCAGTGTGGAATTTTAAACAACACTTATACACATTTATCTCAACTTTAAGCCCTGGCTGGTGTGGCTCAGTGGATTGAGTGCCGGCCTGTGGATCAAAGGGTTGCTGGTTCCATTCCCAGTCAGGGCACAGGCCTGGGTTGCAGACCAGGTCCCCAGCAGGGGGTGCGCGAAATGCAACCCCGCACTGATGTTTCTCTCCCTCTAGTTCTCCCTCTCTTCCCTTTTCTAAAAATAAATAAATAAAATCTTAAAAAGAAAATTGGGAGTGTAATCACTAAAATAAAGGTAATTTTGTACATTTAACTATATTATAGTTTTTTAAATTTTAAAGCATCTAAACAATTACATGATGCCACCTCCACGGAAAGGGAGGGTAGACACAGTAAGAGAGCGACTCTAATTCATAAATAAAAATTACATGCCAGGATTCCCCCCCCAAACACCGCCCATCTTTGGATTCCTGATTATGTGTCCTAGCACAAGGCCTGGCACACAGAAACAGTGAATTCTCATAGAAAAACTAAAAAAATCAGAGCCTCTGCTTCTATGCTTAAACATTGAGAAAATGTAGTTGTTACAAGTGCAATCCTGTGAAAGGATCTCTCTCATATTTACATTTTATCCTCCCCCCACCAAAGATCATTATTTTAGAATATTTTATTTAACGTATATCCGGAGTTTTCAATAATCTACTATTTTTCCATTTTTGAAGAAAATACAATTCACTTTAAAATGCTGGGAAATTTTAGAAAGTCCTACCTGTTGATCAAGAGCTCATCTTTGGTCTTGTGATGGAACACCGGAATCGGAACACCCCAAGCTCTCTGCCTTGATATACACCAATATGGCCGCCTGTCCATTGTGTCAACCATGGCGTTCAGGGCTGACCCAGGAATAAATTTCACCTTTTTTAACAATTCCTGCAATTGATTCACAAATCAAGTCCAGTGAGAGAGAGCAGAACACGTTTTCTAGAACTGTCTTTATTTATCCTAATATTTTCCCTTCCTTTAGATATGTATACTCATTCACAGGACCCTAAAAAAAAAACAAAAACGAAAAAAAAACAAAAGAAACCAAACTAAACTAAAACACTACAGATTTCAGAGCAAAAAAGGCAAAGTTAAAACGAGGCCACAAAGTCCTAATAAATAACATCAAGAGCTGATGTGACCTCTGGAGCATGCGATAAAAGTGTCTAACAATTTCCAAGGACCCAACATCAAAACTAGCAGAAACAGGTTAAGTAGAAGGATTATACTTCACTAAACTAAAATCAATTCCAATTTGAATTTAGCCATATTTTAAAATGCTTTAACAGAAGCTACTGTCATGAGTTGATGAGGATAGCTATACAACCTAATTTACGTACAGTATGGTTCAAAATATAAAAACCCTTCCTCAAAATAACTTCCTCTTTACTTGCTATTTCTTAGGTAACCTCCCTCCTTCCATCCTCTAAGAGCTACAAATGACTAGCATTTGATTTCGTGTCATTTATCAATTACCAAAAAATAAATTATGTAGAAAAATGTTTGGTAATAAGCTCAGAAAAGGTCATAAATATGTTAACTTCATTTTTTAAATCTCTCTATCCAAGAATAAAAGATTTTCGTATTTTCAGTTTCATGTTCATAGTTTCCTCACTTACCTGACCCCACCCTCCCAAGCTCCACCTACTGGCACAATGGCAAATCTGCAATGCAATTTAATTAATACCTCGTTTAAAAATCCAAGAAATGTGAACACTGACGGATATTTGATTTTGTTAAAGAATAACATTTTTTTAAGGTGTTGGGAATGGCATTGGAATTATGTTCTAAAGAGTCTTTACCTTTCAGACTCACATGGTGAAATATTTATGAGAGAAAGAATTCCTGAAACTTGCTTCAAAACAGTCCCACAGGTAGGGAGTCAAAAGTGAGTGGCAGGAGGTGTATGGGTACAAACAAAATTGGTCCTAAGTTGATTATTGTTGAACTTGGGTGAGAGAAACATGGCAATACATCACTCTATTCTATTTCTGCAAAAAGCAACTGAAAATTGTATAGGAAGACATTTTTAAAAAAAACTGGCTTCAGTATATAGACTGAGATGGTCTGCAACCAAAATCTGTGCAGAGCTGGACGTTACAAATTTTAACACTTACAAGTAAGGGCTTTGTAGGAAAGTGAAAAAAGAAAACAAAAAAGACCAATCCATACCACACTTGCCTGCTGAATGCAAATACAGAAAATGTAAGTTACTATGCATAGAGTTGGCAAGGGCCCCAAACTGCCACACCAACAAATGAGCCAACAAAATATAGTGATATCTTAGATGCAAGCTATAGAGCAAAGTGTCCGATGTTTGGCCTGGTTAACAAACACCTATTTGAGTTCTTTTGCTCAGGAGAATCAAGTTGTTTGTGAGACACACACACATTATTGAATGAAAGAGCTCAAACACATATTAATATCTAGAACATCTGCTCTAAAATATTAACACAAAGCAACAACTTTTCAAATGGACTGAATTTCAACCTTCAGGAAACAAAGGGTTTGAAAAGCATTTCATGGACTCCTCGCGTACCAGACCACAGTCCCAGGAACTTTGATTCACTTACTCCACGAGGCAGGCATTATCACAGCCTGCACGTAGACGAGGAAGCCGAGGTTCTGAGAGGTTAAACAACTTGCCAAAGTCACTTCTGTCCTAATTCTATGCTGCCTTCACTATGCTGGGCGGGAAATTTGGGCAAAGTCCCTTAACCCCTTTCAGAAAGCCTGATTCTCCTCACACGATTCACGAAGGACTGGAAATCCAAGGTCCTTCCGGATCGGAAATTCTGCTCCCAAAACTCTCCCTCAGCTCACAAGCAGCCCTTCCTTTCCGAGAACAGGAAAACCCAGCCCTTAGGGTAGGGCGCCTTTTGTACCTTGGCCGTAGCCTTCAGATCCGTGATATCGACAAACCACTGCTTGCTGGCACGAATAATCACGGGCTTCTTAGCCCTCCAGTCATAGGGATAGCTGTGTGCCAATTTTTCCTCTTTCAACAGATTCTTCGAAGCCTCAAGCATCTGTATAACTTGAAAAAATCAGTAACAGTTTGCATTAGACATAATTTCAAGGTGCTACGAAAATCCTAGTAACTCTAACCTCCCTGGGCGTCCCAACTCTGGACCAGCAGGTGCCGGGAAGAGTGGCCGCCTACCAGGGAGCAGGGGCATAACCGGGGACCCTCCCGGCAGAAAACGCAGGGACCGAAAAGCCTTAATCAGAATCCAAAGTATGCCACTCCCTTCGCTTCAAAGGAGAGATGAACAAGATGCATTTAGAAGTCTATACTCGATATTCAGAGTCATAATCTTTCTTGCCTCGGCTCCGAGGATGGTGTCCATGTATTCCAGTAGAAACCAGACACAGTGCGTTGAATTTTGTCCCCCCAACAGATATGCTCAAGTCCTAACTCCTAGTACCTGTGAATGTGACCTTATTTGGAAATAGGGCCTTGGTAGGTGTAAGCCGGTTAAGATGAAGTCACACTGGGTTAGGGTGAGCCCTTACTCCAACGACTGGCGTCCTTAGAACAGAAGAGACACATGCACAGACACACGAGAGCAGAGAAGGATGCATGACAAGAGAGGCAGAGAGTGGAGTAAGGGGGGGTGGTTTACCTCCAGGGATTACCAGGAGCCCCCAGAAACTAGCCAGCAGCAAGGAAGGATTCTTCCATAGAGTTCTCAGAGGGAACCCGGCTCCGCGACACTGGGTTCCCTCTGTAACTGTGAGGGAATACACTTGTTGTTTGAAGCCACCAACTTTATGGTCCTATGTCACAGTAGCCCTGGGATATGAATCCACCAGCCAATTAGCCTTAGTCTTTAGTGGGGGCAAAGAAAGGTTTTCATAGTCCCTGGTCCATGGATTCCAGAAAGGCAGAAAGACAGCTTAAGACTGGAGGACCCCCAAGATCGGAATACATAAACCATGCTAGGTGGGTCAGTGACTTACAAAGGTTACAAAACGAGCGACAAGTGTCTGACTCACAGGCAACACGTGGCCTTGAGCTTGTGGCTGGCCTTGCACAAAACTCAGCCCACTGACGCCCCCCTCTTGAGTCCTAACAGGACATCGCTCCCCGCTCACTGCCCGGATCTGCTCAGACAGAGCAACGTCCAAGCAAGGGATGAAACATTCCCAGACTCCATTTTAAACCATGTAGCAAAATTGATATAATTTTAGCATTGGTTTTTGTTGAAAGCGTAAGACGAAAGCGTAAGCCAAGGCTCCTGCTGGCTACTCTTCAGAAAATACAGACTTAGATCATATCAACGTAAGCGACACTCACCCACGTCTGTTCCCTCTTCAAGGACGGCCTTCTTTCGAAGGTCAGGACCTGCAGCGTCTGTGAAAATTCCATCTTCATCCACCAAACAATCCTACAAAGTGTCATTGTGAACAATTAAAGTATCAAGACACTTTACCTTATGACAATATCTGATGAGACAATATATATAAAACATCTCTTTCATTCCATTGAAAATGGGGACTTATTCAGTTACTAGGAAATGTAAATTTATACACTTACATGGACAAAGGCAAGATATCTTATTAAAGCAGAGACTTACAGTTTGGTAATAAAAATGTATACTAAAAATCATTTTTAATGTGGTCTCTTATTTTATGGATCTATGGCTACATACACAGTGATGACTTTGAGACTTGCCTTTAAATGGAAAAACTTGATAAGTAATTGATGGTGTAAAATAAATTTAAATAGGACTACTTCTTTTAAAAAACAAAACAAAACAAAAACCTGTTATTTTCACCTAGTGAAGCTAGTAAAATCCACTTGCCATTTTTCAGGGAATGAAAGTAATTTGTCTATGTGACTTTGTATTTGAAAGAAAAAGCTGCCCCCGTTTAATATATATTCTTCAATTTTAACTTTGCGCTGATTTTGTGTTAAGCCTAGGAAATCTTTCTCAATTAGTGTGAATTAATGAAGCTTTAGTGTATGGCACAAATCTGAGCATTCCACAATTATGACCACAAAAATGATTGCTTATTATCAAAAAATAGAGGTGTTTGCCAGATTTATCACTTTAATTCTACAGAAGCGGTAATTAAAGAGGAAAAAAAGAGGACTCGTACCATGGACAGGTTGTGCTGGGAAGCTACACTGTAGTCTTCCATACCATGAGCTGGGGCTGTGTGAACCAGCCCCGTGCCTTTGGCCATGGTCACGTGATTTGCAGGTAAAAGAGGAGAGACTTTATCCGGAATTAAGGGGTGAGTACAAGTACCATTTTCCAAATCAACACCTGTGGGCAAAGAAAACCACAGGTAAGAATCCTCTCATGTGTCAGCTCCTCTCCCTCTTTATCTGGAGCAGCAATACATCAGGTCAGGAGAGCAGACTGGAAGGGGACCGGCCGCGCACCTGGCTTCCACCTTACCTTCACTTGCTCCGTGAGCTCTAAATGATTAATAAGAAACAATATATTTTTTTCTGCAAGGAGAGGCCACCCCATACAAATGATTCCTTTTTAGCTGCTCCCATTCGTACCGTGTGCGGAAGCAGCAGCCTCGCTTGCCAGCGGGGAGAAGCCCGTGCACGCCCCCAAAATGCGGAGGCTCCGAACGGCAGCCCAACAATTCTCCGCACAGTGCTCACTGGAAACAATTGTGCACATCCAGAAAAGTAATTTTAACTTTAACCTTATTCCTTTCAAAAACCTTGTGCGAATGCCATCCAGCTTCCCTAACAACATCTAAATTGCCAAGTATACATTCTGCACTTAATAGGTGGGGCGGGAGGGTAGGGAGGAAAGAATATACTGGATCCTCTACCTTACCTACTGCACCAATAAGGACAAAATGATATTAAACACTAAACATTCTGTAGCTTCTTCCCTGCCTCTGACATAAAATCTTTTTTGTGTCAAAGACTGTTTAAACCTCTAATTGGCTTGGATCTGAACTGAGGCATTTAGAGGGCTTCCCTATTATTAGGCAATCTTTCCATTTTGGGGTATCTCATGCATGTAAAAAATAATTTTTTTTAATGTAAGAAACTCACAGATATATCATCCCTAAGGATCAAAGGTAAGTCTAAACATCCCTAGAGTTCCATAGCTATATTTCACAACCAGTCCCAAATTGTAGCCTACTAAGATTCTTTTGATCGAACCAACGTCTTTGGGCTGATTTTCAGAATTTATTCAATTTCCTTAGTAAAATCATATGCCAAAAACAAATATAGTTACTTCTTTCCTTGCTCCTTTGGTTACCTAATATCAAAAGAATTTCAATACTTTAATTTTGGATATTTGTACCTTCTATAACCTATTAAGGACATTTGTCCAATTTTACATTGGATATTTGCCAGAAATTTTTTTTTAATATGTTGTATCTTCATCACTGTTCATATTTTTCTATACTCCTATCATGTTTAATATATATTCTCCTTCAGTGGAATCACTGTAAAATATATTCTAGAGGCGCGGAAACCATTATCTGCTTTGATTCAGAATGAGCAATGTTCAGCAAAGTACTTAACTCAACCCAATACTTGGATGACTATCATGGTCAGAATATCCATAAATCTTCACCTGAAAATGTTGAAATAACCTCAAATGTTGTTTCCAAAGCAGAAGCAACAGTTGTTGCTTTATCTGCTGCCAGTACGTAGAGGTCCCCAGATTTAGAACATTTCACGATGGCGTACCTGAAATAAAATTTTAGGATAAAATTACTAACAATGAGAAAAGAAAAGCCACAGGTAACATTTAAAATGTTTTACATCATTTTAGAAAAACTAACTTCAAAATAAAAGAAAAAATACCATTTTCAAAGGACTTTGTCCCTTACATTTGTTTTGTCTTCCCAAAAAGCTGGAAATAAGATCTTAACATCTATATGAGCACAGTTAAGTTATAACTCATTAACTTTTAAGAGGGTAATGAGGATAAAACACAAAATAATGCTAAAGATGGAATGGATCCTTTCTGCGGGTAAATGAAAGAAATGCAGTACTATACCTACTTTGCATCTGGCATATAACAAATAGCCTGATTGGCTGGAATTGTCCAAGGCTGAGTGGTCCAGACCAAAAAACTAACAGGAGATGAACCATCTGTGAAAGTAAAATTTCAAATACGTTAGCAAGGGTTACAATGCTGTAACTTGAATAAACTTGAGCAATGAATAAATCGTACCTAGAAGAGATGCCAGCTTAGGAGCAGGTTTCAAGAGAGGGAATTTTACGTATATCGAGCGGCTGACATGCTCAGGATTGTATTCCAGCTCCGCTTCCGCCAGTGCGGTCCTACGGGGTAAGGACATTGGACATGACTATTTGGAAGCCTCAAAACTTCGCAGTTAATGAGCAAAAATACATAAATACCTTGATGAGGGAGACCAAAACACAGGTTTGTAAGATCGATAAATCAGGCCCTATAAAAAAGACAAAGCTATTATATGAAAGCTGGAATTTTTTAACATAATTTAACACAGGTGAAAGAAAAAAAATGCTTTATTACCTTGTCATACATTTGGTAGAAAATTCTCAACTGCTTGGCCTCATATTTTCCATCAAACGTATAGTAGCAATTATTCCAATCTGCCATTACTCCCCAACGAATAAACGCTGACTTTTGCTTCTCAATTGCTGCTTTAGCAAATGATCTAGCTAAACAAAGTAACAAGGGGTGGGGGGAAGCTTTTGAAAACCAGGAAATTGAAATCTTTAAACATGGTTTAGCATGTATCTCTCTAAATGCAGGTATTGTACACAGTTTAGACTGTAAAGTGTATTTAATAAGAAAGTTATTCTGAAAGTTCAAGGTGTTCCAACTCTAAAATTAACTAGAATTTCAAAAGTTAAAATTGTTAACCATCTTCTCTATTTTCCAGATTTTATACAATGAACTTATTTTCAGGGGAAGAAACACACTGGAAAAATTATTCTTCAAATTTTTTCATTTAAAAAAAGAACAGAGAGTATATTTCATTATACAAAATAATTAATCATTACATGTAGCCAGTAAGTTTCACAAGGAAGTAAAAAAATCTTCACAATCATATCCCAATGTACAAATAGTTTAACATACATAAATACAAGATTCCTTGCTGACCCAGTCTACTGAAGAATCCAATAAGAAATTAATTTAAACTATATTTGTATTTTAGAATTTATTTTTGTTTTATCACCTGACATAGGTCAACAGCCCTAGGCAGAAAAATAAATAAAAACATTGACCAAAGTAACAATTTCACAAAATATAGTGACTAAACGACTAAAAAATGCATTTGGAAATGCTAACAAATCTTGTCTTTAATCACTGGCAGTAAGTGCTCACAAAGGACCATTTAAAAAATCTGAATTTTCTGTGACAGAAAGCAGTTTCCAGCAGATCTCATTATAACTACCAAAAAAAAAAAAAAAAAAAAAAGGTCTCTTTGATAAAGCCCAGACATTTCCAAGGAAACAGTGTTTATAAATACCATTTAAAACAGACAGTTTACTTACCTTTTTTTCTAATTTCCATCGCTGAAAGATTCTGGGCTTTTCCACCAAGTTCTGATAGTACTTTTATTTCAATGGGTAGCCCATGACAATCCCAGCCTGGCACAAAATGTATTCTGGAGCCTCTCATCATATGGTATCGATTGGCTATATCTTTCAAAATCTGCCAAGAAAAGGCTAACCATCATTCATACATGAAGCAGATACCCCTAAATTTATATATTAATATTTTAAAACAGTGAAAAAGCCCAATTTTAAGAGGATTTATATAAAGTAACCTATTAAAGGTCCTAATTCAAGTTCTACATAAATACGAGAATAACAGATATTTAAAGTTTTAAAATGCCTTAATCTCCCAAAAGAAATGAAAGAATATAAGATTTCAAAGTGGAAAACATTGTGCCTCAAATTACTAATTTGCTTTGTATATGCCAATAAGCAGCCTATACTAACTGTTTAAGAAGTAATTTTAATTGTCTAACCAATAGACTACCCACCTGTAACTGACACAAAATAATACTGAATGTACATTGTAATTGAAAAAAAAATTTAAAAACAAAAGAAATAATTTTACCCTTCTAACAACAAGAATCAATTACAAACTTGCTTTGGTCTTGTGAAAAACATAATTAACATGAATAATTCAACATTCAGTTTTATGTGGCGGGAGTAATGCCAAAAGAATTAAGAAAAACTCAAGGAGTAGTAAAATAGGATTACTCAACCTAACATAGGTGGGAAATACGAATCAATAGTGAAAGATGAGTTCATAAATAGCCCGTAACAAAAATAATTGTTTCCTGGATAACAGACCATTTAACTCCTAGAACCGCGGAGTAACCGTGAAGCAAACTACAATCATTCTTACCCTTCAGGGCAGAAAGCAGAGAGAAAACCTGGATGATACACGGAAAGTCAGGTGAATTCTCAGAGAACCCACAGTTCCCATTCAACCCACAGTTCTTACTCAGCTCATTTACTATTTGAAACCAATGTAACCGTCACTCCTTAAAAATGAAAAACCAACCCTGGGCACTACAGGCTGACGACCTATGTCTCCCGCAAATGTGTATTTAATATCTCCCTTGAATGTCTCATCTCCTTTCAAAGGTAACACGCCCAGACCCAAACTCCTGACCTTCCTCCCACGGCCTTCCCCATCTCAGGCAACAGCTACTCGGCCCTAAGTGCTCAAGACGAAACCCTTGGAAGTATCCTCGACTCTTGTCTTTCTCTTATACTCTACCTCCAACTCATCAGCAACTGCTGTCAGGCCCGCCTGCAAACTACGCCTGCCATCTAGTTCTCTCTCCTACCACTTTTATGGCTTCAACCCTGGTCCCAAATCACCAATCCTTTTCTCCTGAATTATTGAAATAGTCCCCTTACTTGTCTATTTCCAAACTCCCTCCACAGTCAACTGCCCTCACAGCCGCCCAAAGTGATGCTATTAAAACATAAATCATGTTGTGAACACCTCTCCTCAAAACCCTTCCATGGCTCCCGATTATATTCAGAGTGAAAATCCAGGGTCAACTTTGCCAATGGCCTGCGAGATCTGGCCCCTGGTGCCGCTCATTTAATCGTCTGCCCTTCCTTCCCCTCAGATCAGCCACAGGGGCCTCCTCAAACTCACCTCCAGGTCTCTGCCCCTGGCTCCTCTTACCCCAAAGAGCCCAGACAGCGCACTCCCTTGCCGAGGACTTTATTCCACGGCCACCTGCCTGTTCGGTGAGGAGACATCCTACCTAAACCAAGTTCCTAAAACGGTAGTTTGTGCACCTGACTCCGTGCGCCTGATTCTTCTTCCCTGTTTTTATTTTCCCCCATAGCATTTATCACTATTGTCTTAACAGTTGGGGCTGCTGTAACGTAATAGCATAGATATGGGGCTTAAACAGCAGAAATTTATTTCTCACAGTTGAAGTCAGGGGAGTCCCAGGTCAAGCCTCTAGCAGAGGAGGCATCTCGTGAGCCCTGCTGTCGGGTTCGCCGGCCACCGTCTTCTCACTGTGACCTCATGCAGCAGAAGGGGACAAGGGAGCTCTCTGGGGTCTCTTCTCCTAAGGGCACTAATCCCATTGTTGACATAATCACCTCCCAAACGCCCCATATCCAAGTACCATCCCAGTAGGGATTAAATTTCAATATATGAATTTGGGAGAAGAAACAAATATTCAGTTTGTAGCAACCTTAACACATTTTATTTATCTGATTGTGTCTTCCCTGGCTAAATCATTAGCTGCAAAAGGTTAAGAGTTGTCTTTCCTTTGTGCACGGGCATTACCAGTCTAGAACAACAACTGGCACATAACAGGTGCTCAATAATCACTTACTGAATAAAATGAAATTTACTGGTAGAAAATAACAAGCTCAAAGCAAATGCCAGCAATGTTTTCCTGCGGTACTGAAATGGTTTATCGCTGCTTTCTATCAAGACACCCATTTTACATGTTAATGCAAAGTTACACAGCTGTCATAGTATTAGAATACTCTTTTGTAAAGTGTTATGTAATAAAGATTTCCCTCCAAGACTTATAAACCTAATTATAATTACCTTATTTAAAGCATGTCCAACATGAGGGTCACCGTTTGCATAAGGAGGTCCATCATGAAGACAAAATTCTGTCTTTACTTTTCTTTCTCTTTGCCATGAGTACAGTTCTGAAAATCCACATTTCTGTTTAAAAAGAGCGAGAATGTCTGAACACTGGATACATACATACTCCTGAATCTTACCATAAGTAAGAGTGCCAGCAGTTATTTCATATCTCATTCCAATGTACTCAGCTCTAAAACACAAATGGTGAGGTTTCTGAAATGCACGTCTTTTTTTTTTAATTTTCATTGAATTTATTGGGGTGACATAGGTTAGTAAAATTATAGAGGTTTCACGTGTACAATTCTATAACCTCTGTGTATTATACTGTGTGTTCACAACCCAAAGTCAAGTGTCCTTCCATCACCGTTTATCCCGTTCATCCCCTTCTGCCTCTCCAACCTCCTTGTCCCTCCGGGATAATCACCATACTGTCGTCTGTCTCTATTAGGGCTTTTTGTTTTGTTTTGTTTTGTTTATTTTGTCTTAATTCCTTCACCTTTTTCACCCAACCTCCCACACCCCTCCCTTCAGGCAGCTGAGGGTTCTTTTTGAAAAACGTTTCAAGAGTCTCTCCTACAGACTTCTGATTAAATCGAAACCCTAAATAGCACCCCGGACCATACGGCAGTTTAGTACCACTGAATTCTTGGACAGCCTTTCAGCTGCTCCCACCCCTCAGACCTCATGCTTGCTATCCTTGGATCTAAACACTGGCTACTCTCTAAATCTGAACCAACACTCAGTGCAATCTGCTGGGGGACCTTGGCCTGTTTTCACATTTGAAAAAAAAATGTTACTATCCATTGGGTGTGAAGAGCAAAGGAGAGAACATTTGAAACTGTTCCTGGCATACAGACAGCAGGGGATAAGACACTTCTAAATTAGATGGCCAAAACAGGCTGATGAGTCTAGAACTCTGTAAGCATATTTACTTAACCAATACATCCTAAGTGTCAGGGGTTTTAAAGACTTCAGAGTTAGAGAAACTGACGAGCGAATCTCTGCCCTTAGAAAATTCAGTCTAATACAGGAGGCTCATGCATGGTCTTGGAAGGGGAGTCAGAGGAAGTAAGTACCGCTAAGTGGTCCTGCAAACAAGTCATAATTCCAACTAGGGACCGACCAATCCCACGAAGGTGAGCTTCCACTTATCCTCACAACCAAGTTTTTACTAACATGCATACATGTTTAATTTACTTTTTATAAGTCATTCGACCTGTTTTGCCTGGGCTGAAAATGGGACTTATATCTAACCCGTGCTGCTGTCTGAGCATCCTAGTTTCCCGTACAGTCTTCTGCTCCTGAACCTGCTATGCTATTGAGGGGCTTACCTCCAGGATTCTTCACTTAAGTTTTCAGGTAGTAAAAAACCTAAGGCAACGGAACGGTTTCCACTCATCTGGTCACAACACGCCAAAGAGGCTTGGAGCCTGCGGCCCTGTCCCACCCCGCTCGGCCTGACATCGGGGACAGCCCGTCTCCCCTACACCCGGCTGCGTCGGGCCTCCCTTCCCGCTCACACCGCGCAGAGGCGGGGCCGCACCTGCTGGATCTCCAGCTCCATGTCGGGTTGCTGGCGGCCCAGCAGTTTCATGGGGAAGCTGGTCTGGGGCAGCAGCACCGTGTCCCGATACCTGCCATCACTCGAGTTCTGCAGCTGGTTACTGGCCCCGGTGACTGATCGCACCAAAAGCCGCCTCGTAGTCCCCCGCCATCCCGGGCGACGGGGAAGGCAGGGAGGTCCCCAGAGACTCCGGGCGGCAGCCAGGGCCGCCGGGCCCGGCCCGCGAGGGCTCAGCCCCCAACGCATGGCGGGCCCACCCCAGCCTCCCACCTATAGCCGGGTCTCTGGCTCCCACCCGGGCTCGGAGAAACAGGGACCCTAGAAAAACCTCCGCCAGCAGAGTGGGAGTGCGCACGCTCGCGTGCCGGGCACGGAAGGGCGGGGAGCGCGACCTCCCGAGTCCGGGTGACACCGCCAGTTCCGGGTATTGGCTGCAGCCACCGGGGGCCGGGCTGGGTCCGAGGGGCGGGGCCAGGTGTGGCCGCCCCTAGAGCTCGCAAATCAATCACCGTTCTGCCTTGAAATATATATAAAACTTAATCCAATATATCCAAGATAGCATCACGCCAACATGTAATTTATAAAAGTTATAAATAAGATACTTCGCATTCTGTCTCTTCATACACTAAGTCTTCGAGATTTGGTCTGTGTTTTACACGTACCGCACATCACAATCTGGGCAAGTAACTCGTCGGGGACCGATGGCTGCCTTAGGGAGCAGCGCCGCTGTCGTGAGCACGGAGTTCACACCAGCGTTGTAAATCCGCCTATTTTTCAGATTCCCTCTGTCCCTGTTACGTCCCACTCCTATCGTGCTATTTGGTTGTCCAGGTCATCGCAGTTCACAACTGTTACCTCTTGGAAATGGCCTTCCTAATCATGGAACACAATACCCAGAAGATGTTATTCATGAATTAAAAGACAGAAATGAAAAGAAAATGTTATATAGAAAAAGACACCCCAAAATGAGAAGACAAGCAGCAAGTAGTAAGCACTCCAGCAATGGCAGCCTGTCACCTGGCACTGTCCCCAGCTCTTTACCTGTGTCAACTCACTTAATTTTTAAACCCTGTAAAGACACGACATGCCAAAACAACCTGGTGAGGTGAGGTAGGTACTATGAGTATTCCTATTTTACAGGTAAGGAGACTGAGGCACCTGCACTTAAGTCATTTCCCAAGGTCACACAACTGAGAAGCAGCAGAGCTGGAAATGAAATCCAGGCAGCTGGCTCCAGTGACTGTTCTGCACAATCCCTGTGTTATATTGCCTCCCCTACACTCTACAGACATACCTCAGAGACATTGTGGATTTGGTTCCAGATCTCTGTAATAAAACAAGCATTACAATAAAGTGAGTCGTAATTTTTTGTACTGGTGGACGGTCTTGCCTTCAGATTGTAAAAAATGCAACACCTGTAGTGTACAAGAAAATGAGGCATGACATTCCCTTCCCATCTGTTGTGCTTGTAGCCAGTGTGTCCATCCTTAAACTAACTCATGCCAGCTACACTTGCTATAAGGAAATAAAGGTCTTAGCTCACTGAGTTATTATGAAAATCAAATGAGATTGTGTAGGTTAAAGCCTTCTCAAATTAGAACTCCATATAATGGTAGCCATTTATTGCTACTGCTCTCTGGTGAATCTTTTAAAATGGAAATTGTTTGTTTCTAATTACAGAAGTTTGGGAGTTGCAGAAGAGCACACAGAAACAAAATCACTTGCTAACGACTCTCTCACCAAACCAATTTTTTTAATGCAAAAAAGAAATTCCTTTTATGAACAGCTGAAAGCTCTGAAGAGTCCAGTAAAGGCATGTCCCTAAAAACAAAACAAAGTGTTGTTGAACTAGATGAACCTAGAACAAGTATAAAATGCTGGGGAAAACATGTAAAAATGTATAAGGATTCTGTGCTTGCTTAGAGTTTTCAGAAGTGTCTAAACTCCAAAACTAGATGGTGTATTATGCTCTGCATTATCCAGAGATACAAAGCAAGACTGCAATCTAAGGACCCATGGTTTAGGAAAAGGCCTGGACACATTGTATTGTTGGCATTTTATTTTTAACAATGAGAATATAGTTATGAGCTACCTAATTTTGACATGTTTAAAAATAAAGTAGTATCTTTATTGTGTCAGCAAAATTTTGCTACATGCCACTAATCCAATGCCAACATGAGTCCCCAATCTCGGGTGCAATAAAAGGAGAGACTATTCAGGTGAACAGTTTGCCAACCTGGGGAAGAGCATCCAGAGGAAACTAAAAGTGAGCTCCCCTAGGGCAAAGGGGGAGGCTTGATTTTATAGAGAAAGTCCCAGCCCTGGTCCCCCCACGGTCCAGTTTCATGCAAATAAGATATCCAAATTTGCAGTTTGATCTTGACTTCAATTTATAAAAAACACCACTCTTGAAGTGCAATAAAGCGACGTGCATGTAATTAAGTATACCTGCAGGGGATTTGGTTTTCTAATCAGTTGAATAATTCGGGTTTAAATGGAGGGGTTTGAGCAACTTACGTGTACTGTTTTAATTGCTATGTTTCCTCGTAGCTCTGCTATTTTCTGTTACTGGTTATGTTCTAATCGCAGTGCCCTGCTTTTTAATATTGAAAAAATGTCGTTGGTTATTCGCTCTGCTGTTCTCTTGCAGGTCTGTCCCCCACACACACCAATAACACAAGCACCGCAAAGTATGCTCTTTAAATATACGGTGGACGCCTTTGTGAATAAATAAGACAATTTTTGTTTTTGCTGGTTTTTACTTTTGGAAGTGCGTCAAGCAAAAAAAAAAAAAAAAATCATTAATATGGTACATCAGGCCAGGTAGCGACCCTCTCCCAGGACGTATCAGCAAGCAAATGTAAAGGGTCTCAGACCTCTTTAAGAATACGACGGTTGCTCATAGGAAGACACGCCCTCACTTTGACTGCAGGTTACTAACTAGGGCTAACCGAGAGCTTGCGGAAAATACGGAGAAGTGGATTTTTTCGGCGGATCCGGAGTAGGGCGGAGCCGGGACGGCCCAGCTGCTTTGCGGCTGCGCCGAATTTGCCGCATGCGTAGTAGCTGAGGAAGGTTGGCCCTGCGACAGAAGACGTCCTGAGTGTACGGAGAAAACGGTACTGGACGCCGCGAGGCACCTGTTGCTTAATAACGCTTTTGGAGGGTTATTCCTGGAGTGCTTTTCGCCTAGCTTGGTTCCAGGCCTGTCACCGTAAGTTTCTGTCCTGCGCGGCAGGGCAAGGGTAGATCCAGGCGGATCCGAGTTGTGCAACGGTTCCTAACGCCATCCCTTTGCACAGATAAGCAGGGATTCAAGGGATTTCTGTTCAGAAAAGGTTACCGTGAATCTGATTGCGTCTCCAGATACTCCTATTTCGGACGTAGACTCGTGAGTGTCAACCTTTTGGTTGTGTAGCTGTGATTTTATTTTCGCGCTCTGGGGTCTTTATGACTCTACCTTGTGAAAATATTAATAACAAGGCAGACCTAGACTGTGGGTTTATCGCACCCAAATTTGGGGACTGTCTTACACCTAAAATTAAATTTCATTAAAACAGCAGACAGTCTTCCTACTGTTTTCCCTGCATATTTGTAGGTTTGCTTGATTTATTTACGTCTCCCTGAAAATATACATAATTTCTAGTTTAAACCGTGTACACTTTGCTTTTCATACGATTTTTATAACCCAGGAGGTTTTACCACTTCACGTCCTTGCTAACAGCGCTCAGGGCGATGTGCGCTCACATGTTAGCCACATCTGGGCAAACTTCCTTATCTGTGCCAATCTCACAAATGAACAACCATTTCTCGTGGTTTTGGCTTATATCTTTCATAATTAGTGAAGTTGAGTATTTCTTATAGTTACCAGACATTGCTTTGCTTTTTCTAGGAGTTGCCTATTCCTGTCCTTTGCTCATTTTTCTATTGGGTTATTGATAAATAAAAGCCCTTTTCCATAACAGAAATGAGCTTGTGTCTAGTATGTAGTACAAAATTTATGCCCTAGTTTTTCTCAATCATCTTTTCGTATTGTTTATGGTATTTTGACTATATAGATGTTTATGTTTGGGGGGCATTTTTTGCAGTCAAGTGTATTAGTATGTTGTTTTATGGAGTCTCGGTTTTTGTCTGTTCATAAGTCCATTACCAAATTTATAAAACATTTAACCTAGGTTTTATTCCTATACTTTTATAGTTTCATTCTTTACTTTTAAAATCATGCATTGGTCTGGAATTTATATTAATATAAAGAATGCAAAAAGGATCCAGCATGTTTTTAAAATTACCAGTTTCCCCACCATTTATGCATAATTAACTCTTGCCCTGATTTGAAATAATCAGCTTTGTTGTATTTGGATCTATCTCTGGAATTTATTTGATTGCATTCATTTTTCTGATTTTGCACAGGACTAAACTTTTAATTACTATAATTTTATATCATATTTTGGTAACTGTTAAGGAGAGCATCTCTGCTTGTTGTTCTTTTTTCAGAATTTGCTCTGTTATGCGCACATTTTTATATTTCCAGACGACCTTGTTTAGCATCATTTAGTCAGGTTCCAAAGATAAATAATCTTAGAATTTTGATCTCAAACTCATTAATCCTCATATGCGCAGCACCTTGGTACAGAATTTAAAATACCTCTCCTAGGCGATGACAAAAAAAAAACAAAAAAAAGGTTCCTGTTGTTTTTATCCTTCGGAACTAGCCATGGTGGCGGCTGTAAAGATTTCTCAGGAGACGGGATATTAGGTTGATTGCCAGAAGTGTTACACCACCTTCTTTTGTAGGTTCTCTAAGCCCCAGGCCCAGAATGTGATTTAAAAGAGGCTGTGCTGTGATTCAGCGTCATATTGGTTATCACAGTACATCCTCAGGGTCATCCTCAGGTGCAAAATAATGTCGCCAAAGCTACGGGAATGTTTTAGCCAGTGCTTACTTTGGGCCAGGGGCTTTTGCAAGCACTTTTTGTGTGTTTCTCTTTTCCTAACTACAATGCTGTGCTTTAGGTCACACAGCATACAGGTCATATGTGCTGGAGCCGTGATTTGGACACAGGCAATTGGCTCCAATGCCTGCCGTTAATCACTGTGCTGTTTGTTTGTTTGTTTTGGTTTTTGGTTTTTGGTTTTTTGGGGGAGGGGTTCAAGCTTGCAGAAGGCAGAGCAGTTTCCCTCACTGTATGGTGGTGGTGTAACTCTTCAACAGGTGTCATTTACCTTTGAGCCAGTTAAGCAAGTGGTAGTGTTTTAGGACCCAGAGGAGTAAAAATGGTTGACAGGGAAGTACAATGAGTTCAATCTGAACTGTTCGGACAAGTTAACTTGCTGGTAGCTTGTTGGCCTTGTTCTGGATCCACCTGTACCTGCCGCAGGTAATTCTCATTTGGGGTCTGGGAGGGGTCACAAAAAGGCTAATAAGAGCCTCTTTTTTAGATTTTGCATTTTGAAAGTATAATGAGCTACATTTTCTTTACACAAAGAGCCAAAATTGCGTTCATTTGTTTAAAACATATGTAAGAAAATGTAGGGCTTGGGGACAGTAATATTTCACTGCCGATCAGATTGAACCAAAGGAACACTTTGGAGAAAATGGTAGAAAAATTTTCCTGTTTGCCAACTCAAAGTGATTTGTAGGATCTCTTTATAAATCATTGTGTGCTTTGCACCCAACCTAATTTTTTATGTTCACCTAAAACTGGTATTACTATTACATGGTGGTTCATCAATATAGCATACATTTTATGAAGGACATAGTAGAAAGACAAAGCCCAAAAGTTTTTCTTTGTGAGAAAATACTGTGGACTTGGCAAACGTAAAGGGAAGTGGCTTAGTCATATATGAAGCCTGGCAAATTGTAATGATTGCTCAGCTGGCTCAAAGGTAACTGATACCTGTAAACAACACCATACAGCAAGAGTCACTGATCTGCCTTTCACAAATGCCATCTTATATGAGGTGGGGCTAAATGTGCATCCCGACACAGTAAAACAGCCTTGGAGATTAAGGCATCAGGGTAGCACAGAATAGTTGCCTGGAGACTGCTTTTTCCAGTACAGAATAAATCAGATACGTGTCTGGTCGTAGGAAGGAGGGAGTAGAGGTAAGGCCTTCTGTTTTCTGTTTGAGGTGTTTCTGAAGTAGTAATTATCGTAACCCATTTTTCCGCACGTAACACTTAGTATATTGAGAAAATGAATGCAGCCTGATTATGATGGAATAAGATAAACAATTTAAATACATTGAAACCCACTTTATTTTCATCTTAATTCCAGGCAGCTATTGGTCACAGTGTGGTGGTCATTACCTTTCAGTTTGCATTTCAGTTTCAATTCTGTCTTTCTTCTGAAGGGTTTCAAACACTTGCCTTGTTTATTGTCTCCTTGATGTTCATGATCCCAGTGAACAGAATGAATGACGGTAGTAAAAGGATGTGAAGAGCCTAACAGGGACATCACATCAAACACCGCAGTCAGAAATCGGCGGTAGAATGGTGAATACTGCTGCATGCAGGTCTGCAGTGTCTATGTTGTGTTCCCTCCTTGCTCTGAAATAATCCTGACTTGAGTTCATTAGAGTGGGGAGACTTCGTGGTAGGTCGGTTCCCCGTAAGCGCTCTGCAACAGAGACCAAGTTCAGGAGGTTTACTGGGGAGCGTTCTGGGGTCACTTGTAGGGGAAGGCAAGGAGGTAGGAAGGGGGAGTGGGAGGCCTTGGGCCATGGGCAGTCTGCCCTGAGGCCTCAGCTGACCACACTGGGCATTGGGAAGCTGGCGCGGCCCATCAGAGTTGGGGCGGCAGCCCGTTTGGAGTAGAGAGAGGCCCTCATCTCCCTTTGTTGACTAGTTTCAGGTAAAGTGGCTCTTCGCAGCAGAACCCCCGCCCCCCCCGCCCCCCGCCAAGAAAGGTGGCAGCAAAAGGTCACCCATGGGGAACACTCAGTAGCTGAAAAAAAATAGGTCCTTCAATCACGAAGGGAATCTGGGGGATGCATCCCAGCGTCAGAACAGTACCGAAATGGCACGATTTGAATTTGTATTTTCAGAGATGAACATACTTGATCCTTGGGGCTGTTCCCGCTGTATTTTTTTTTTTTACTGGGGCCAGGAACTGCTGTGACATTCGTTAGTTTTCCACTTGATGAGTCCTCACTCCATTTAGTTTCCCTACTGTTCTCTGCATTGGGCTACTGACGGGCATGGTAGTAAATAATCAGCACGTTAAATTTTATTTACTCTCTAAAGGAATAGTCATTGATTCTCCAGAAGCCACCTGTAGTCACATGCAATCCATTCCCCTTTTTAATTATTCCACACATACACCCTCATCGCTTATGCTATTCATACCTCTCTTGGCACTTAGCCGTTTTATGTTATAGACTTTAGGTTTTGATATTTTACCCCCAAACCACCAAAACATTAGCTCTTCCAGGCAGATGTTATCTATTTCCAGCCCCTGAAGCACCTTCCAGTCTTTGCACATTACACGCCTCCTACATAAAACCTTTTCACGCCGCTCATAGGCCTGGGCCCGTTTTCCCCATTCTTCACAATGTCCTGTCTGCAGAGAAATAAAACCACAGAATTAACTGAGAGAGGGAGTGCTGAAATGGAGGTTTTTCCAAGTCTCCTGTAAGAATCTGTGCAGGTAATAGGCGCAGTCCCAAGTAAGCACACAAGAAACACCTGTTGAATTGAATTCAAGTAAATGAAACCAGTAGTTGGCTTTGAAAGTAACAAAAGCTTTCTCTCCGTTTCCCTGCAGGGTTTATCATGGCTTCCGGCCCCACCGTGCTGATGCGGTTGGTAGCCTCGGCCTACTCCATTGCTCAGAAGGCAGGAACCATAGTCAGACGAGTTATTGCTGAAGGAGACCTGGGTATCGTGGAGAAGGTCCTGAAAATCTCATCTGATATCAAACCAGCTTTATTTTTGTTCCTTGAGACTGAGCTCTCTGTGTGGCACTCCGTTCTAGCAGAGCAGTACTTCGTGTTGCGATAAGCAGCCAACTTCAGTGTGGCAAGAAAGAGTTGATTTTCATAATCATTCCTTACCACAATGCTTTGTAAAGAAAAATCCACCATTTCAGTTAATATAATCTGTAAATTACCTAACAAAGTGTATATATTTGCAACCTATCACAGTTCTCTGAAAGCAACAGATGAAGGAGGTTATGGCTGTCGATTCCAGGATTTCCCACTGGCTTTCACTAGCATGACTGCGTCATGCAGAGTGCGTGAGTGCCGTAGACAAGCTATATACTCAATATTATAGTTGTTCATTTTCCTGTTTCAGAAGTAGGAATTTATCCTGTGCACCAGGGAATTGCCCTGAGGACCCCTTGAATTACTAGAGTGAGGATTAGTGAGTGAAAATTATAGAAGAATCCCTATAAGGAAACCCTTTCAAATCACTGAAGATACAGTTTTTTTTAGTTTTGACTGCCCTGAGTAAGTTATTAATTTGCTCTCTCTTAGCCTGTTTAAGAAAAAGAGTGATCTAGAGATCTTACGAAAGGACTTTCTGAACTGCAGAAAAAAAGGTCTGATAATATAAAATCTCCTTTCCAAACTTTTACCAGTGTAAATCCCATGAGAAAAACCAAGCCAAGAAAAAGGTTGACTCATTTGGTGTTAAGTTCCATGAGTCTAAAAAAGCAGGCAGTGTAATTCAAATGATACGCACCCTCCTGCCCCGGGAACCAGGGGACAACATTCTCAGTGGCTCTGCTCACGGCTGCCCTCTTTGCTGCAGACTTGCGCGACGGACCTGCAGACCAAGGCGGATCGGCTGGCGCAGCTCAGCATCTGCTCCTCACTGGCCCGGAAATTCCCCAGACTGACCATTATAGGGGAAGAGGTGAGGCTTGTCAGCGATCTGTTGTATTTTTTTTAATGGCAGTTTACCATGTGGATGTATAATTGCCACTTGAATGATTTATATACCCCTGTTAGGATTTCAAGCCTTATATCCATTATTTTAACACACCAAGAATTATATTCCTTGGACTTGAAGGAAATGCCTGATTGTGAAATATCTTGGTCCATTTCTAGGCCAGGTGTCTCAACTCTTGACCATCGAAGGTGTGGTTATTGTTATATACAAACTTTAAGACAGGCAGAGTTCTAGAACTTCCGAATAAAATGGGTTTTGCTTCTGCTTTTGTGTTTTCAGTTAGGCTTAGTTACACCCTAATTCAAAGATGGTGACGCTGTGAAGGTGAAGGAATCGACACCTCCTGTAATTGAGAGAGAAGTGTCTGGTGTCAGAACCACTTTTTTTGAAAAGTTTGTAATAGTGAAGCATTCTTTTCTCTCTCAACTGTCCAGGGTAATGGAGTTGAGACTCCCCGTGATCAGCTTTGGGGAGCCCTGTCTGGTCGTGTCTGCAGTTTTATTTGGTTTGCTTTAAAGCCCTGAACCGAAGCGGCTGGACCGGTGAAAACCGTGGCGCTGCCTTCCCTTCTTAGCGGCGCAGGTGCCCGGGGAGCACTCAGCGGCGTCAGTTACCTGTGTTCTCTGCTGCAGGACCTGCCTCACGAGGACGTGGACCAGGAGCTGATCGAGGACGGGCAGTGGGAAGAGATACTCCGGCAGCCGTGCCCGCCGCAGTACAGCGCCGTCAAGGAGGAGGACGTACGGCCCATGTGTTTCCTTGGCTCCGTTAATCTCTGCCTGGTGGTGTTTGTTTGTGTTGCGATAAGAAAGGAAGTAAAATTTGGCTGCCATGATGAAAAGCGGGCAGCTGTAAAGTAGAGGCAACCAGGAACTTGGGAACTTTCGGAGTTGACACAGAGGACCAGGCAGCCATGGGGAGTACACGGCGTGCTGGTTGGGAGTTCGGGTTCTCCCGCCGTTGGTGCCTTCTCCACGCCAGGGCTGTTATGGGAGATGCTTTTAGGGAGACGATCTGATGTGTTATTTAGTGGATTTGGTAGTAAAACATGTCATTGGCAGTTGGGGCTGGAAGGAGGTGAAACAGACGACTCCTTTATATTTTTTGGAAGGCCCTGAAAATCAACTCGCTTACTTTTTTTAGTTGCTTAAATTAAACCTGTGACTTCAGATAACTATTATACTCCTTTAACTTTCTAACTTTAATCTACTTAACCTACATTACTATGGATAAATACTTTTTATTCATGGAATACTTACTGTGTGTAAAGGTGCTTCGCTCTGGGGTGTGAAGGACACGCAGAAATTGGGACAGGTCTTTCTTCCGAAGTGTATGCCTTTACCGACAGATTTGCGCCAAGTGTTATAATCTAGCGGTTCGTGGCTGCCGGTCTTGAATCAGGTTAAAGGTCTTGAGTACAAGCGGCTTCTTTTTTAGTCTACTGTCGGTTACAGAAAATGTTTGTTGTTATTTGCCATATAGAGACAGTGACCTTAGGTTAAATCAGCATTTACATATAAATGAGTAACAACCACACATTGTTCAAAACATTTTGATGCCACTGGAATTATTCCCCACGTCACCGTCCAGAGCTCACAGTGTTCATGGCATTGTAGTTAGTGTGCAGGTGACGATAAACTTTTATCCCTTTAGCAGTTCATTTTTAAAATTCTTAAATCAGACTTTTCTCCAATTTAAGGGGACTTTTTCCCATGATTACAAGACAGGGTTTTGTTTGTTTTACTGTCACAAAACTGATGGCTTTGGCTTAAGTCATCCGTAATATAATTTATTTCAAAAATGAAAGGGTAGTTTTAGTTGGTGTATTTAAATCTATTCTTTATATATTGTATGTTTAATTTGGATATTTCTCTTTTTTAGCTTGTGGTCTGGGTTGATCCTCTGGATGGTACCAAGGAATATACTGAAGGTTGGTATCTCTCTCGTATCTGCATTAGAAGCTGTAGGACTAGTATGTGCTGTTGAGTGTAGACATTTACTATTTCCTATGTCGCGTGAAGCATGGTACGTTTTATGCCTGGGCCCTAAAGCTGTATTTGTGCGCATCCTAACTGCTGTTACACATCGGTGGTCGTCGAGACAGAGGGAGAAAGCGCATCTCCTGCAGCCCCTCCCCGCACTCAGCCCCGCTCCGCGGTTCTCACGCCCCCTGCGTGCCAACCACTGACAGTGAGCCAGGGTCACCGGACTGAACCCCAGCCGTGCTGGGGGCGGCCCAGCACGCACACAGCTGCACTGCCCTTGGTCCCCCGCCACCCCGTGGCCCCTCCTCTGTGACCTGCTTTCTCTCTCTATGGCCTCACCTTGAAAGATGAGCTTGGAAACACAGCGCAGTGTTTCTCCCGTCTGAGATTATGGAACACGAAAAATAAGAAAGGAACAAATTAAAATAGAATGGGCATCAGTGAAGTAAGACAGACCAAGCTCAGAGCCAGGGTTGTAGGCATTAGGAGCATAGCGTGTACGCTGTGAGTTTTATTTACGAAGTAAAGATCTGCATGTGTTTTCCTTATGTTGGTTCTCAGCCTCATGGCTTGAAAAAAGAAAATTTCTCATGTTACTAGAGAAAACTCTCTCTCGGTCCTTGGATGAGACATATCTGTAAAGGAGTGGGCCAGAGAGAGAGAGAGAGAGAGAGAGAGAGAGAACACGTGTGTACCCGCACCTGTGCGCGCATGCCGAAAACGCCTGCGTGTTGAGAACAGCGGTGCTCGCAGCGGCTTCTGCACATGTGGATCCCCGGCGCAGTTTGTCCTGGTCTCCCCCTCCCACCTCCAGAGTCTGATTCCCCGGCTCTGGGAAGGAGCCCAGGAACCTGCATTATACACGTGCCCCCAGTTCCACCTAGTGCGGCCTGGTGGTCTCTGGACCCGGCCTTGAGAAACCTTCAGTGCAGGGCGTCCAACCTGCAGCCCACGGGCCACGTGCGGCTCAGAATGGCTGTGAACGTGGCCCAACACAAAATCGTAAATTTACTTAAAACGTTAAGAGATTTTTTTTGTGATTATGTGTGGCAGTGTATTTAATGTGTGGCCCAGGACAACCCTTCTTCTTCCAGTGTGGCCCAGAGACACCAAAAGATGGGACGCCCCTGCTAGAGGCTTGAAGTGCAAGTGTAGAGAGTAATCGTGGAATAGAGAGCGACCGAGCAGGCGGGCGTGAGTCGGTTGGTGGCACAGGCGGCACAGAGGCATCTAATGATAACGGCTGCGCAGTGGGCCGGCTTACGCGGTCAGCCTTCAGCGTGCGCTCACGAGACCCCGTGGAGCGGTCCAGGCGAGCGCCCACAGACCCTCCTTCTGTCTCTGGCCAGCTCTCTGTCACAATTTGTGTATTTTGCCCGAAGTTGATTAATCATGGATGAATCATTGCAAATTCCTTACCTTTCCTGCAAAGATAACTGGGAACAGTTCATGTGCCTATGAGTCATAACTTGAAAAAGATATGTAATAATTGTTACTCATTTTTTTATAGGTCTTCTTGACAATGTTACAGTTCTTATTGGAATTGCTTATGAAGGGAAAGCCATAGCAGGAGTTATTAACCAGCCGTATTACAACTACCAGGTATCACTCTAATTGACACAATTTTTCTTTTTAGTGCAACAAGGAAATAGTTTATTTCCCAAGGCAGCCAGATGAGGAGACTGCAGGGGGGAAGGGGGGCCCAGCCCTGCTTCCTGAGGCAGAAGAGGTGATGGTTTTTAGGGAGTTTGAACAGGAGCGTTCCCTGCAAAGGGGGAGGAACTAAAGAGTCCCAAGATCCGGTACAGGCGGCCCGTGACTGGGTGCGGAGGGCAGGGTTGCACGCCGGCCACGGTTTTGGAGGAGTCGTCCTGTTAGCAGAGACGAGTCTGCCAGGTGTCCCTCTGTGTTTCTTTAAGTTCCTGATTCCTGACGTTGCAACAGCTGAGCCATGTTCCGGACCCTCAGAACCTCAGGGGTGCCGGCTCGCATTCCTTCCCCTCCTGAATCACTTCTTGCGTGGGAAGCCAGACGCGCGGACGTGAGGCCCCGCGAGCAGGCCACGGCAGGGGTGCGTCAGGTGTCAGAAGTGCCGTCTCCGGCCACTAACCAGAGAGGATGGAGGCCGCGCCGTGCACCTGGCTGGGCGCTCCTGCTTTCCCACGTGGCTGTGGGAGCGCGGCCCTAGTGGCCGGTGGGAGGTGGCCTCTGGGAACGACAGCGCCCGCCGGCGGGGAGCTGAAGGGGGCGACACAAACATATTTTACTGGGTAAATAATGACAGTGAAATGTGATTCCTGATAGGATCTATTCTAGTGGTTTCTGGTTGGGTTGTGCGTGCAGTCATCTTTTCAAAGTACAGGGTCCCAGGGCGCACCCCAGGCCTGCTGAATCGGCACTGCTGGGCGTCGATCCCACGGAGGTGTGTGCGGCCCACCGAGTGTATTACAGGGACTTTTCTGTGTGTGCCTGATGGTTCAGGTGCGGAAGTTTGGGGATTTCTAGTGTGCTTCTTGATTAGTCTGGTCATTGAGACACCTGATTTACAGGTGGTTCTTCCAGCACTTTGAAGAAATGAACCATTTCAACCAAGAAAGATGCTAGACATGTTGTTTTCCAGGTAACAGCACATAGTGCCTAAATTACAGTCAGCGCTGATAACAGAACTAAATATGCTTTTGCAATCTTTTTTATTTTTCTTTCTCTCCTACTTTGCCTTTCTACTATATTCCCAACCAATTGTCTTCCTTAGAAACAAGAACCTAATGTAATTCCAAAGCAGGACTCTGCCATTAAATCACATTAAACTTTAAAGGAAATTATTCAGAGAAATACTTAAGGTATTTACATTAGCATGACCTTAAAAGAAAGTTGGAGAAGTAACCAGAGTGGGAACTGTTATTTCTGAATTTCCAGTTTCAGTTAAGAGCAGGATTAATCTCTTATAAGAAAAGTTTGTTTTATTCTGCTTTTGTATGATAATAACTTTTTAATGTATGATCATGTGTTTCTTAGGATTATTTAGCAAAACTGCATTATTGGGAAGTATGTGCATCATATTAAGTATTCATTAATTCTTTTAATATAACTTTAATGTTTATATAGTATCATAGGCAGACAGAAGTTTGTGGCTATTATGTAAACTTTAAGTTAATCCTGCTACTTAAAAGAGACATTTAATGCATAGATAACATTGTAATGCATGGCACCTTTCCTCAAGAAAGGATATGAGTGCTTAGAAGTTGTTAATAATTTCGGTCACTTCTGAAATCAGGACAATTGTATTCATTTTTCACAGAACAATGAAAAGCAGAAGTTAAGGGAACACAGGCACGAAGCAAAGGTGAGAAAAATAGCTAGGGCTTCGGCTTCACTAGTTGGTAGCAAAGAGGTAGGACACCCGTGGTACCAGCCAGTCCTTGTCGCGCTCACGCACCAGTTCACCTTCTCCTGTTTCTCCCCTTCGTTTACCTGTCCCTCCGCCGCGCTCCCTTCTCCGTACTATTTATCCTCTTTCTTCTCTTGCTTATGCCTTAAAATATGTGGCAGCAAGTAGAAAATTGCTCAGCTCTGTTGGTAGTATTCACGGCTGAATATTCAATTTTAAATCATTGTCGTTGTCATCACCATAATAGTTACAATGTATCAAGAGCTTACTGTATACCGCCAGGCTTGGGGTTCACATGCATTATCTCATTTAATTCTCACCATCCTCCTTTTAGGAAACCTTTTCCCTGGTGTAAAGAAAGGGAAACCAAAGCAAGTAACTTCCCAGAGGTCCCCCAGTTCGTCAGCAGCAGGCCTGGGGATGAAACCCCAGCCCCAGCTCTCCCGCGTCCCTCTCTGTTGCTCTCGGGAGAAACCGAAGCTGGTGGCGGTTCAGAGAAGCACGCGGCTTAGTGCACAGAAGCGCAGCCTGGCTTTATATCCGAGCGGCTGCCGAACCCTCGTGAAACTTAGTTAACTCTCCAGTCAGACGAAATTACTGCCCTTGTTGTCCCCAGAAAGTCGGGGTGGCACCTCGGAATGAGAGGGACAGCGAGGAAGGCTGAGGCCCGGGGTACGGGGATGCCGGCTGGCTGCCTCATGGGACTGCCCGGTGCCACCGCACCAGATGCCAGACTCTGTGGCTCCGTCCTGTCTCCATATCCACTTACATGACTTGCGGCACCCGAATACCCATGTCCACTGTCTCTATTGCCTGCCTCTCTTTTTCAGAATAACTGAATAACTAGGCGTCTTGAGAGCATGAACTTAGTCTCATTGGTCAATCAGAAGCCCAGTGGCCACGCACTGAGCCTGTGTGTGTGTGTTTCCGGTTCCGGCCGCCCCTGCGGTGCAGACTCAGGAGGGGACAGAGGAAGCACATGACCGGATACTGAGCGCCCGGGGCTTGCTCTTCGGTGCCTTTGTGGCGCCACTTGCAGGGAGCGACACCGGCGGGCAGCTTCCAGCTGCCAGCTGCTTCAGGGGCTGGGTCCCCTGTGCAGAGCAGCCTCGCCCAGCGACAGCTGACGGTTACAGGCGTGTAACAGCCTGGCGTTTCATCCCAGCTGGGCGCATCCTACAGCGCCCTTCTAGCTCCAGAGCCCCCACAGGGTCAGCCGAAGCTGTCGCTGGCTTGGCGTCCTGGCTCCGTTTCCCCTCTGCCTCCTCACACTGCTCTCCTTCCCTCCCACGGGCGTTGAGCCCAAGCCACTGGCCAGCAAACATCCCGCCATCTCAGAGCCTGCTTCCCGGGGGTCCCGGCCTGCAGCCCGGCTGCTTCCCCACGACAACGCCCCGGGTGCTGCTGTAGGGCAGACACGAAGGGTGGAGGAAGCCTTTGACAAGTGAAGGGAGGCAGTCTAGTCTAATGATGAGGAGCATTGGCTTTGAACACAGAGGAGCCTAAGTTTGCTTATGATCTTCCTGGAGTCCTTGCTCTCTCGTCATCTGTCAACAGGGATGGCAGTGCCTACTTCATGGGGTTGTTCTGGAGATTAAATGAGATGATACATGTACGCACTTGGTATGGTGCTTGGTACGTGTTCAGTATTCAGTAAAACATATGTCTGTATGTCTGTAATATATGTCTGTTAGATTAAATAATGGTGTTTTGATGACTTTGTGTTATTTTATGCATGTTTTACTTTCCATGAAATACAGGTTATATTTTTCTGTATGAAATGCATAGTTATAACAATGTGGTTGAAAATTCTTTGAGAAAATGCAGATTCTAAGATTGCATTATCATTGTCGTTTTACTACCACTCATTCTCCTACCACAATGGTTAGTAAAGTCTTTGACCTTGACCCTCATTATCCATGGCTACTCTTCAGTATCAACCTATTCAGTTGTTTTATCTCTATAGCAGCGAAACGCACTCCCACCATTACTTATTCCCATGTTAACATGATCCTTATTGTTTCTCATATATTGAAAACTAGTAATCAGTACAGGGTGTTTAAGTTCCTGAGGACTTAAGTACCTTTTGTGAACAGCTATTTTATATACGAGAATAAGATTATTTCATGGTTCAGAGAGCAACAGGAATTGGCCTTTGCTGTTTCCTTTCCTGGGGGCCCCAGGGAGTAACCAAAAGTTCCCTTCAGTACCTTTGAAACTTAATTGCTAACCAAAACAATGAGAACAATCCACTGAGTCTCTAGGGATAATTTTTGTCCATGATGTTGTTTTTGTACTTTATAACATTATCACGTGTTTATGTTCTAAACCTCGTGATGCTAATATGACTCAGTCGTCTGTTTATGGCTGACATCTTTCTCCCAGTAATGACAAACTGCTCTTGTTTCACCGCTTACATAGGCAGGACCAGATGCTGTGCTGGGAAGGACAATCTGGGGAGTTCTAGGTTTGGGTGCCTTTGGGTTCCAGCTGAAAGAAGTGCCTGCTGGGAAACACATTATCACAACCACCCGCTCCCACAGCAACAAGCTGGTGACAGACTGTGTCACTGCCATGAACCCGGACAACGTGCTGCGCGTGGGTGGAGCTGGAAATAAGGTACGGACTCCTCTGCGCCCCACTCCCAGGTGCCGTGGGATCGCTGAAGGGGATACTGAGCTTCTGACAAACGCCAAGGAAGAGTTTGGAGGAAGAGATTAAAGAGTGTAACTTGCTATGCGAAGCCCATTCCAGCAACATTTGGTGTTTCTAAAAATGTGAGGGTCCAGATCTCTGTTACCGAAGACAGTTCGGTGAAAACGTCGCGTGCCATTAGGGTCAGATCCCGGGCCTCTGGCCAGCGCTTACTTCCTCAGGGACCCTCTGACTCCCCAGGCCTTTCTCCTACAGATTTGAAAGGTAGGCCTGCCCCTCCCTCCCTTCCTGGATACTTTCCCCAGGGCCCCATCTGGGCCTCCGTCCTCCTGAGAACATTGTGAGTTGGAGCACAGTGTGGCCTGTGTCCCTGACCTTGAACCTCATCCGATTGCCCCTGGGCACCACCGGGAGCGCTTCCTTCAGCCTCTGAAATTCAGCCTCTGCCGAGCGGAGCTCGTTGTCTTCCTCCCTGCCCCCGAGATGCGCTCCTCTCGGTCCCGCTCGGGCCGGTCCCGCTCCGGCCAGTCCGGCTCCCACCGCCCTCCCAGTTGTTGCAGCCAGGCGCCTGCAAGTCCCCCTGGACTCCTCTCCTCAGCCCTGTCGGTCTGGCCCTGGCTGTAGGCCTTCATTCCTCCCCAGTGTCCCTCGTCCACCTCAGCTGCCAGGGCCCGAGTCGAAACCTCTCAGCATCCCTCACCAGGCTGCAGCAGCCTCCCGAGTGGCCTTGCTGTTTAACCTCAGTCTCCACGATGCCACTACAGCAATTAAAAATGAGTATGTCACCCTCCTGCCCAAACCCTTGCGTGATTTCCCTTTACAGGCGTTTAAAATCTAAGTCTATGAGAAGGGAATGGAAATTCCTCTGTGGCCTGCCCCCCGAGCATCCCTGCCAGCCCCCAAGTCACACCCAGGCTCTGCTGGTGCTGAAATGCATGCATCTAGTGGGTATTTCACCATCCAGTGCTGGGCACAGGGAGGGCAAGTAATACTTATGAACTGAATGGAATTCATTTCTCCTCCCACCTGTTGGAAGCAACAATCAGCTACTTTTAAATTATCAGTAAAAGCATTTACTGATAAGAGGATGAAAATGGGAGTTTAAAAATAATAGTATTTTGAAAAAAAACCCTGAAACATTTCAAAGTGAAAACATACACCTAGTACTCATGGAAGTATGATTCTTCTTTGCTCCTATTTCTGTAACCACTAAACCCCATTCCCTGTTTTAGTTCCGGAGGACGTCCCCTTCCTAGTCCCCACCCTACACCAGCGTCCCCTCCCCCGACCTTTTCTCTTTGGAATAGACTTTGTTGGGCACCTGTTAACTTTTTCGGATCAAGGGCCTCTCTGAGAATCGAATGCAGGCTGCAGCTCTGCCTCCTCAGAAACGTCCCTGGCGGAGTTCCTGGCACATGATAAGATGGCACGTGTTTGTTAAATGGAAGAAAAACCTTTTACTCAAAAGCTTACAGGAAGATTCAATTATTTGAAGGTGTTCTTGAACACCACTGAAAGGAATATTTGGTTACACTTTGTTCACTGACATTTTCCTTATTCTCTTGGCCTGGATGTTTCAAACCTGAGCTTTACAGTACTAATTTTTTGACAGTATAACCAAAAGAAAAATCAAGGAATGAATCAAAGTTTGATATAGCAAGTTACTGTTTGGAGTCATGCAGTTTCTTCCAGGGGCCTTAGTTGTGTGTGAGTATTACAGGAATTACTGAGATGACTGTCTAAAAAGTCAAGTCTTTTTTTTTTTTTCCAGTAAATAGTTTTTTTAAATTCAATTTAATGGGATGACAACGGTTCCCCAAGCCATACAGGTTTCAAGAAAATTCATGTCTTGATAATACCAATAATAATGGACATGATCCCAAAGACAAGTAACTACGTGTTAGACTGAAAGTCAGTGTCACACATCCGTTAGGACTTACCGCCATTGATACATTACTATTCTAGTTGATATTTCTCTATCCTTTATATAATAGTGGTTAATTATATAGAAGATTAAAACAACTTTTATTTTTTCTGTAGTAAATATATATTGCTTTACAGTAAGAGAGAAAACATAAACTATTTTACCTAACTTCAGTATGGAGACTGTTCAGATATCCTTTTGTAGTTTATTGGCACTTCCCCACTTCAGATATTATTAATGCATGTTTTCTGTACGTTCTTCATAATACTCTGTCATATATACCCACTAAAGACTTTAACCTACGTGGAATCTAACAGAGGAATTGAAGTATATTTGATAGAAACAAGCAGTTTTATTTATACCTCATTCATTCAATGATCCAGGGATAATTCTTATCTTTGAATTTACAGATTATTCAGCTGATTGAAGGCAAAGCCTCTGCTTATGTATTTGCAAGTCCGGGATGCAAGAAGTGGGATACGTGTGCTCCAGAAGTTATTTTACATGCTGTGGGAGGTTAGGCCATTTTATTTGAAAGGTTGACAGATTTCATACAGTGTTTATGTTATGCTAAGACATGCTATTTCGGTAATGATACTTTACCTCGACTCTTAGGACATAAAAACTAGAAAGGAAGTTAGAGATTATCCAGTCCAACTCCCACCTCTCATAGGTGAGAAGGTAGATTTTCAGCCAGTTCATTTTTCTTTACTTATAGTTTCTCTTTTTGGACCTTGATCTGCATACAGTTAATTTAATTAAACCATTATTAATTTGTGGCTTTAATGCATTTATGGATTTTTTCTTGAAAAGTAATATATTCATTATCATTATCCTCAGATCACCTAATTCCTTTTAAGCCAATGTTGGTAAATCTCTGTATTAGTGCTAAAGGTCATAGAGTTAGAATTTTTAAAATCTTAATGAAAATGTTACAAATATGTATATAGTAAAGTGATTTTCAATTCCAAGTAAACATAAGGCCACACCTTGATTCTATTTTTATTTTGACTTTTTTATCCCCTAGCACATTAATGTACTGGTATCTCATTAACATATTACATGACAAGAAAGTTAAATTCATCACAGTCCATTCTCATTAGAATGATAAATGAAACTGTAATATAAGTTATATTTTATTAACATACTTCACTTAAATTCTTCCAAATAACGTGTTGTTATTAAACAGCAGAATAAAGAAAACACTTTTGAAAATGGGAACAGTGGTGATGAAGTATAACCAATATGAAAAGTAATTGATTGAGGAAAAGATAAATGAATTGAGAGATATAAATTGAAAGTGCTAAATGAAATTATTTTAATCAGAAAAAACATAGGCCCTGGCTGGGTAGCTCATTGAGTTAAAGTGCTGTCCTGATAAGCCAAGGTCATGGGTTCTATCCCTGGCCAGGGCACATACGGGAAGCAACCAGTGAATGCGTACATAAATGGAATAACAAATCAGCGTTTCTTTCGCTTTCTCTCTCAAAAAAAAAAAAAGAAAAATCAATAAATAAAGTTGCAAAAAAAAAAAAAAAAGTAATGTTCTACCCTTCAGCTAGTTAAAATTGTTCTGTAGTCTTAAATTTCAAGCGCATTAACACTTAACCATTATTTTCCTTATTTTATCCAGAATTGATTGGATATTATTGCATAGGGAAGTGAGAGGCACTTAAAAATAATGAAATATAATGACAGAACCAGCCATTAATGTTGACTTGGTGTTTTTTCTGTAGGCAAGTTAACCGACATCCATGGAAACGCCCTTCAGTATAACAAGGAGGTGAAGCACATGAACTCCGCTGGGGTCCTGGCCACTCTGAGGAATCATGACTACTATGCAAGTCGAGTTCCCGAATCTGTTAAAAAAGCTCTTGTTCCTTAAAGGAACACCTCATTTGCTGAGCTGGGAGGAGCACAGCTGCAGGGAGGGGACGGGGGAGGGCACTGTGTTTCTGAGGTCTCAGCCCCGTGCCGGGAGCTCACCACAGTGGACCCTGACACTAAGGGAACGCTGAAGCTCCTGGGCTCCTGGCAGTCTGTCCAGCCTGCAGGTCACTCAGCCTGCAGTTGGGATGAATTTCAAAATCCCGTGGAGCCATTTGAATCTTTCTGCTGTGCTAGAATATCAATAAACCACAGAAAACCTAAAAAAAATAAATGCACTCCTTTAAAGGAACATCCCATTTCCTTAGCTAGGAGGAGGACTTAGTTCTCAAAATAATACAATTTAAAACTAATTAGATGAAATTAGAGCTCCACCTTTATTCTCTGTTGATGACTAATTTATCTTTAGGTGCATAGGAGTAGAAAATGGATCTTAAAAACTTTGTGATTAATTAATAAACCAGACCAATTTTGACATCTGGGGAATCTATAAAGTTCTTTTACTTTTTTTGAAGAAATGAAAGATAGGTTCAGTTCCAACTGACTATCCTGGTCAATTGTTCAATCAACATTCCTATTGTATAAACCAGATTTCTTTAGGGCACAGAAGCACAAGTTGTTACCTGAATCTCATTCTTGTTTTCACAGTAATTTTTAAAATTTTCCCATTATGAATACACTAAAATATCATTGTGTGTGTTGATACAGGTTTGTGGAAAAAGCTTCTTTATAATAAATTATTTCATTCTAGCTTGTCTCTGTCCAGTGCTTTTATTTATTTTAATTTTCTTAAATCAGCTGACATACAATTTTATATTAGTTTCAGGTGTATGACATAGTGATTAGACATTTACATAACTTACAAAGTGATCACCCCTATAAGTCTAGTGCTTTTAAAGAAACTTCTCTGTTACTGGATTAAGCAGGTGACTGAAATGAATCATTCCTAAACCTAACTGCATTCAGGATAATATCCAAGTTCCGTATAGTGGCATATAAACCTCTTGATATTACAGCTTCTTCCTTCTCCAGTGTCAACTCTGATCACTTTCATATACTAGAAGCCTGAGAAAATATACTTAACATTACTTAACGTTATGCTAGAAGCCTGAGAAAATAAAAGAGATGACATATAAGAGGTATAAATACCGAATAGAAAGAAAAAATTATGTAGAAAATCCAACCTTAGTTTTTAAAAAAAAAACAACCCAAAAACCTTGGAACTAATAAAAGCATCCAACAAGAAAGTGACGCTAGGACTCTCTGCTACATTTGCTTTCCTGAAAGCAGGTTTCTATTTGTGTGACACAGCTCTGCAATTTTTTTAAAAGTCATTTTTATTGGTGACATCCATTTTCTTGATTCCATGCCCTCACAATCAACAGTGATAGGTGCCTAGGATGCACTGAGTGATAGAGATGGAACTAAATGACGTCAAAAGTTAAAAAGCAATGAGATTTGCTCTATTAAATGCTGTATGGATCAAGACAAGGGCAAATTAATACATGCAATATCTTAGATAACTAGAGAATGGGGAACTCTGGGGATTTTAGTTGTTTATGATCTTACTATGAGTCAGCAGTTGACCGTAGCTGCAAAGAGCTAATGTGGTGCATTAATAGCATTATAATGGGCAACACGAGAGTGCTTCTGCCTGCATTCTCCCCTGACCACACCGCAGCCGGAACATCCTGTTTAGTTCTGAGTACATTTTAAAAGGCACGTTGACTAATGAGTGTATTTGGAAAAGGGCAGCTGTCATAGATTAAAACTACCATTTGAAGGACTGTTGACTGTGGACGTCCGGCCCACGGAGCAAAGGCACGGGAGACATAATGGCAGCCTTTGATGTATGAGCGTCAGGTGGAGGCCCCAAGGCCTGTTCTCTACAGAAAAGCAGGCCCAGGTGCACAGTAACAGGTGTTTAGAAACCGAGGGCCCGTCTTAAGCAGTCCAATGTTCTTCATCACTGAAGATGTTCTCAAACAGGTTATTTGTTTATTCATTTGTTGAATAAATGATTCTAGGATTCTCTGTATCCCTAGCGCATGATAGGATATAAGACACTCAGTATGATGTCTACGATAAGGTTTTTCAGCAAACGAGAATCTTAAGAATTAGCAGGGTGTGCAGAAATCAATTAGAACAAAGGGAGGTAGGAAAGCAGAGCTTGGTGTGCACAGAATCACCTGGAGAACTTCATGAAAAGAGGTTATGGATCCCAGCTCTAGAGATTCTGATAGGAAGGCAGGGGCAGGAGGCGAAGTCTTGCTCTGATGCAGGTGCTTTACCCATTCTGGAGGCCTGCTAAGTCCCATATTTAAGCGACATTGTCTAGTAAAAACAGGGACCCTAGGAGATTAAGAGAAAGTGGGGGTGGTGGTGAGGTTGAGATAATTTTTTCAATCAATCCTTGGCCCTTTGAGCTTGACTACCAGCCCTTGGAATATGTCTGCAGCGCACAGGAGTTCAGACACACACGAATACACTCACCGAGGATTAAAGAGCAGGAACCAGAGGACAGGCACGTTGGTCAGGCAGCCCCCGCGAACAGTGGGAAGATGAATTACAGTAGGGGTTTTAGTAGTAACGCCCTTTATCAATAAAGCCTTTCTTCAATTTTTAAAAAAAATTTAATTTTTTAACTTTTGTTTAATTAGATCACATTTAATATCATTTTGTATTAGTTTCAGGTGTATGCACAGTGGTTAGACAATCATACACTTTACAAAGTGTTCCCCCTAATGTTTCCAGTACCTACCTGGCACCATACACAGTTATTACAATATTATTGACTATAATCCTATGCTGTATTTTACATTTCTATCACTATTTTGCAACTGCCAGTTTGTACTTTTTAATCCCATCGCTTTTTTCACCCAGTCCAATAAATCCTTTCTTTTAACCATTATTTTCAAGGGCGAAAAAAGCTCCCCAAAAGTCTCCTTTTGAAAAAAAGAAAAAAAGGAGGAAACGAGATTACTACGGCTATCTGCTCGATGTTGCTTCCAGGACTCGTTCTTTCTACATACGCATACCGCCTACAGACAATAAATAACAACATTTGCGTGTTTCGTTGCAACTTTCACGTGAACTTTGCCTTTCCTCGCTTTACGAAGTGTCGTAAGCGCCTTCCGCTTCTGCGTCTTTTCCACGGCGACAAGAAAGGCCACGTTTACGCCCTTCGGTCTCCGCTGCCGAGGGGCGGATCGACGGACGCCGGCGGCGCGCGGCGATGACGTAACTGATGTGCGCGAGACGCGACGGCTACAGCTCAGGGGCGGGGCGAAAGCTGCGGCAGAGTCAGGGAGGCGCACACGTTGTAGACTTTCCTAGTCGGCGGGTCCTGGGTGGTTTTGGCAGTCGAGCAGGCGCTCTAGCAGGTGGACCCGCAGGTGGAGATGGCGACGCTGTGTCTGACCGTGAATTCAGGAGACCCTCCCCTGGGTAAGGGGCGGAGGCCGTCGACCCCAGGGGGTTGCATCAGCCGGGGAGGGTGTGGGATGGGAAGTCGCCGCGCCCTGGCTTTGCGCAGTGGCGGTCACCGCCGCGGACATTAGACCTGCCTCTGTCCCCCGACCTTCCTCGGGGTAGGTTCCGCGCCCCTCGCCTTCTGGCTCCTGGTTCTTGAAGACAGTGTTTTCGGGCCTGGAGGGAGCCGCAGTGTGAGCCGCGGCAGTTGGGCGACACTAGGCTCAGCTTTTGACGCTCTTTGAAATGGTTCTCCCTGGAGACCGAGAGCTGCTCGTAGAAATAACATTTTAAAACTTAAAATCCCATTATCTTCCCTTTCCCTCTCTTAGAATTTCCCCCTTAAGTCTGTTTATAACTCCTCCTTTTGTTCCTCTTTTCAGAAAGGATCTTCAGTCCACTTGCCTTGACTTTTCTTTACTTTTGATTGGTTTCAAAGGGACCAAAGCAAACGATTATAGTAGCATTTAACCTTGCAACTGAATCCTCCTACGAAGGCGTGTCTTTGGTTCCCTGTCTTTGGACACGTAAGAATTGGAGGCAAAGAAATGTGGACTTGGAGAAGTCTGGGGCCAGCTTGCTCCCTGCAGGCTCAAGACCAACCATCCCACATAGAGAAAATAATAATAATAATAATAAAAATAACCTTGCAACTGAGGTTGCATGTATTTTTAATCGAAGATGGCAGGGTAATTGCGGGAACACACGAGCACACTGCGGATTAATTGGGTTGCTTTGCTACTCGCCCCATAGATGTAGCAAATGTCCCTGAAACGTCGGATCTGTCATCTTCCTGTTCCACCTTAAGTTCCATTTGAAATTGTGTTTTCAACGCGGCCAAGGTTGTTTCGGCTAGGTAGCTTAGAATTTCTGCTTTTTTATTTGGAGAAGTTATGTGAAATAATGTAGTTTATTGATCTCGTATTTGCTAATGTGTATGTATAGTATAGACACGTGGATGCTTTTCTAATGTTCAAGAAGCCCAAATGTTTAGACACAGTTGGCCATATAGGGCTGATGAATTTATGCATTACATTTTCAATTTTGGTGATGTTCTCCATGCATTGTAATAAAAACCACAATTTAATAGCAACTTTAAACATTTAAAAAATGCTAATGTCCTAGCATACTGGTTCCAGTAATTATGGGCTAACCTCACAAATCAATGAACTGTAAAAGAAATGGGTTTGATTCTTGGGCTGAAAAGTGCTAGACAGTGTGGGCTTATGGTTAAGAGCAAAGGCATTGGTTCTTGGAGACCTGGGTCTAATCTTGGCTTCTACTTACTTCTTGTGGGACCATGAGAAGTCCCTTGTTTGGCACTGCACATAGTTTTGTTAGGAAAGGAGGAATGATATCATCCCCCATAGGATTGGTTGCCAGAATTAAGAGACAAAGAATTAATGAGTCAATTTGGTAAACTTGAATACATGTTGAGAGGCAGTACTGTGTTTTAGATTTTGAACTCTGGACTGCCTTGGACCTGCATTCAAATCCTGACTGCCTCATATTTAGTCAAGAACCTCTCCAAGCCTCAATTTCCTCTCCTGTAAAATGGAGGTAAAGGTTCCTACCTCTTAATATGACTACAAAGATTAAAAATTGTAATGACTGCAAAGCATCCAGCACAGTGCCTACCACATAGTAATCACTTTAATACTATTAACGACAGCTTTTATACAGGCACTATTCTAAGTTCTTCTTGTCTCCTGAGGGAGAAGAAGAGTGATTTCAGAGGCCCTAACTGGAAGCTAAGCATCTTCAAAAGCAGTTGGATGGTGTCAGTGAATGGTTTCTGTTTTGTTATGTCTCCAAGATCAGAAGAATCTAGCACTTTCTGTTTACAGACTACTGGGGGAAAAACACACCCTTTGCAGGACTTAAAATTGGTTTGTTGAGTCATCCTTACTGCTTTATGATTCAGGCTTTAATTACTGGTGTTTATAAAGAGAAATTTTTTCATATTATTTTAGGTGCTTTGCTGGCAGTAGAACATGTGAAAGACAATGTCAACATTTCTGTAGAAGAAGGGAAAGATAATATTCTTCATGTGTCTGAGTAAGTGCTTTTATATCTTTTAAAATAACTGTTACAAAACAATTTTGATGGAGTTTGATCTTACAGCCTTTAACTGAAAGTTGATAAAACTAGCTTCTCTATGTCGACATATCCTTGGCTTCGTTGCTTTGATTTACTTTAAACCAGGTATTTTCAATATCCCAATTATATTTTCATATTTTCACCACTAAATAGATGTATAGAAATTAATAGTTGGAAGGATGATATGTCATAGCGATGATCTACTCTGGAGTCAATTGTTGGATTTAGCTGAACATTTTAGAACAAATTGGAGTTTAATAGAAACAGTAAAGAACAAATTACATTTTTTTCTGTAGTAGAAACGACACGGTAAATAAAAGAGTTCTTTTTTTACATTTCTTTGTAAGTCTCATGACTCTTACTGATTTGCTAGAGCCCCAGTAACGTTTTGTCTCATGCTTATATTCTAGCAATGTGGTGTTCACAGACATCAACTCCATACTTCGCTACTTGGCTAGAGTTGCGACTACAGCTGGGCTCTATGGCTGTAACCTGATGGAGCATACTGAGGTGCGGAATGAACATTTTCATGGGTGTGTGATGGATTTTGATTTATGCTGCTGCTCTTTTGAGAACTTCATTTTATTGTTGGCTTGCATCCTATTAGTCTCTTTAAGGATATTAACAAAGTGTTTGTTATAGACCAAGTTAAAGACTCTTACTCTGTTTTTATTTTCAGAAAAGAAATTTAGATCCTAACTTTGAACTTCTAATCCTGTTTCAGCTGCCCTGTTGGGCTATTGAATGCTGTCTTTCTCTTCCTAGAATTTCATGGCTGGATGTGACCATATCGATCGTCTTATGCAATTCCCTTACTTCACAGAAGAGGCCACAGGCCTTGGAAAGTTAGATAAGAAGTGTACCCAGGGTCACATGCATAGGTTGGACCCCATTTTCCTTCCCAAGTATAGACCTTATTAATTACACCAGTAGGAGGTTAACTGTCAATACTGCGCTTTGGATGCCCTTTTTTTATTTTTGCTGTTTGTATACAGCTCTAACTTTCCTAATTCTTATAAAATTCAGAATACAAAGAACAGTTTCCCAGTGTTTACTTTTCAGGTCTGTGAGTTGGTGAATCTGTCGGGTTCATTTAGTCTGGCTGTTCTTCCTTGCTGTTAGTCGGCATGTCTTTATCTTTTTCTTCCCTGGACGCCCCCCTCGATGCCCCTGCAAAAAAAGAGAGCATAGAAACATGACAACAAAGTGTGTTTATGTAAGTGCCGTTTTAGACCCCAGGCAACTAGAGTTAAATCCACATAATGATAAATTCTGTCATTGTTACAGGAAAGGCATGGTTCTAACTGAGGTTGGTTGTTTTTATTTAAATCTAAGTTCTGGGATTTCTTTTCTCTTTTGTGTTCACAGATTGATCACTGGTTGGAGTTCAGTGCCACAAAATTGTCTTCATGCAATTTGTTTACTTCTGCAATCAGTGAGCTCAATCACTGCCTCTCTCTGAGAACATACTTGGTTGGAAACTCCTTGAGCTTAGCAGATTTGTGTGTCTGGGCCACCCTGAAAGGTATCAGTAATTCTTGAAAAATGTTGAGCTTTCATCATTTAAGGTTTTGCTGGAAAAGAGGTACACATGCTCCTATGTACATGAATGAACATCCATTTATCTATCTATTTTTTGGCAGTCACTTAGGATTTTCTTGCAAAGAAATGACCACCCCAGCCATTTTATTCCTGTCCAGCCACAGGAGTTCTATATCCTCTGTGTCCCTGGAGGTCGTCTCTCTCTCCCTCTCCCCCCTCCCTCCCCACCTCAGATCCCCTCTTGCCTTTGGACTTGGCCTTGTTCCTGCTAAAGAAGCCCCTTGTCCTGTTTATGGTAGACCTGTCCTGGCTCAGCCCTCACTTTGCCTCAGGCACTGTTGTCTCTGATTGCTCAGGGGAGCTTGGGGGGTTGGGGAGGTGACCTGGAGTTGTCCCTCCTCCAGGTCACTTTTTTTCCATCTGCTGTAACTAGTTTACAAGAGGTAAGAACGTAGGATTGAGGAGAGGTACAAAGGGGACTTGAATTTTACCAATGTAGTTTCTGTAAAAATACACCTGAAGGGAATATGCCGTAATGTCTTCTTATTCTTTAAACCTGAGTTATGTGGGATTTTAAAAATATTTTCTATACTTTTTTTGTGGGTTAAACTTTTCTCCAAATTAAATAAAATCACTGTAATAATAACCAACCTAAACTGAAGCCTTTTCTAGTTAGACCTATTCATCTGTAGGTTGCATGACATTTTTGTCTCTTGAATTGTGACAATGTTCACAAGAGAAAGATAGTATCTTAGGGATATAGCTTCATGAGGTTCAAGTTGAATGCATTTCCTTCAGCGCCTGCTTTAGACATCACTGCTGAAGAACGGAGCTGCTGCTCCATCTTCATCTTTGTGTTGCCCCCTAGTGACCTCCTCCAGGCTTTCCCTTGACCTTGAACTGCGCCAGTGCGTGGGGGGTGGGGGGGGCCAGGAGGCTGGGGCCGGCCTCAGCCTTCTGCTCAGTGAGTGGAACTGAAAAAACGACTTCATTAACTTCTGTGCGTTCTATAAAGTGTAGTAAGTTTTTGAAAACATTTCCATGTCTACCCAGATTTCACTCAATGTAGAAGCAAACCTTTAAGCCATCTCCTCTACTGAAATTAACTGTGACTGGAGCTTTGCTTTTGAAGTTGCAGATTTATTGATTGGTTTTAAAATTATGTTTGCTAATAGGAAATGAGGTCTGGCAGGAGCTCTTGAAAGAGAACAAAGCCCCTGTCCATGTAAAGCGCTGGTTTGGCTTTCTTGAAGCCCAGCAGGCCTTCCGGTCCGTAAGCACCAAGTGGAATGCTCCAGCAACTAAAGCCAAAGTGGTAAGCCTTATTGCTTTTCTAACATTGACGTCTTAGTCTGTCTGAGACCTCAGATTTGAAAAGAAAACTCTTCCTAGTCATAGTTTTTCTTTTTTCCAGGAATAAAAAAGATTCTTCTTGGGTGAATCTGCCATTTTAAGTCTTGGCTTGCCTTTGCTGCTATTTAACTACATAAAGCCTTAATCTACATAATTATATGTTAAAAGATCATAATCATGTAGTGTGTGTGCCTTAGGAAATCCAAACTCCAAGTAACTAGAAGCTTATTATTCTTCAGCTGCACCATCTGTCCTTCCTCCCAAATCTGTTCCTTGGCTTTGAGCCACTGACCATTGACTCCTGGGTGCCTGCAGGGCCTTTTGGTCAGTTCTGTGGGAGTATTTGTTGCATATATTCTTCAACATTTAACCATATAACTATGTTGTTGTTTTTTATTTTCAGGCACCTCAGAAAAGACAAGATATTGGGAAATTTGTTGAGCTTCCAGGTGCTGAGATCGGAAAGGTTACTGTCAGATTTCCTCCAGAGGCTAGTGGGTAAGAGAATAAAAGTTGAAATTATGATTGAACATATGTAGTGGAAAATCTTTAGATATTTATAAAATATTTTTAATAGGTTAATAAAGAAAAGATCTTAATTATGGAATTTAAAATTGTACATACATTAATCCTTTCTTAATTATTAACAGTTAATATATGAAATTTGTAATTTTAGTTTATTAATTCAGTGGGGGAGAGAGCACTTGTTTTTTACCCCAGGCAGAATTTTAATTATAATTAAAAAATATATATATATAATTAAGACTTTAGTTTTGAAGACTTAACAATCTTAGTTTTATTTACATTTTGATAGTTTTAGGTTTTCATTTAGTAAAGATTTATATTTGTACCTTGAGCAGTTTTCTCAGTAGCAATAGAAGTTATGGTAGAATTACTTTTTTTTTTCCCACACAAAGGACGGGGACTCCTGAAAAGTACAGCGGTTTTCCCCGCCCCTGGCACTGTGGGCATCCATAGGAAATAGCGACAGTTCCATAGCTTGTTGGGAAGAAGACGGTTGTGGCTGGAGGGCACAGCCTGGGGCTGCTCCGGGCTCGCCTGGCCTCCCCGGGGCCGAGGGGTCCCTTTGCACGCCCGTCAGCCTCTTAGAAGTGCATGAGACAAGCTTTATAATGGAGTCTTTCCAATGATACCAGTGTAATAAAATGCCTCTTACCAGGCAGTTAATAAGGCCTCAGGAACTTAGCCATTAAGAGGGTGGTGTGCCATATTTTATAAATGAGATGATTTTTTTGTTTTTCAGATTTCATTTAATCTCAGATTTTGTGTTGCGTAGCCCAATTCTTACCCACCTGTGGAGAATGGAATGTGTGGACAGTAGGAAGTGGCAGACGAGCTGTTTTGTTTTAGCTGTTCTTAGTAGTTCTTCACATACTATTCCCAAAGTTTCATGAACAGCAACAGCAAAGGCAGTTTGAGCATTCCACATTTTTCCTCTGCTTTTCACAGTTTGCAGATTTAGGTGGTGAAATGGAGGATGGGTAGAGGAGATGAAAGAGAAGCACAAAATTCACAGACTGAATCATTAAATGACTGATTGGTAGTTGACTGGAGGGAATCAGTCACAAATAATACCTCCCCAATTCCCACATACGTCTTGGGTCCCTGCTGCCTAATGTCTTGCTCCTGTGTACTTGGCGAGAGAGATCATGGTTGTCCTGTGGGGTAGTGACTTCAGCGGTTTGATAAAAGCCCCCTTCTTAGCAGTGGTGGTTTATAGCGATGTCATTTGAACATTTGTCCTTTTTGAATCTTTTTATATTTTCTGTCACTTCTTGGAATAATGAGTTCCTCATTTGTTCTCAGTTATGCCAGTTTCAGAGACCATGTTTTTGGCCAAATACAGGTTTTGGGATTTGGAATATAAATCAGTGTTCAGGTTTTTCATATTTTTTATCATATTTCCTTATATTGCTAAGGAATTCTTTAATTATTTTTTAATCATTTTTTTTCCTGTCTTGTACAAAAGGCCAGAAGTCTCAACTCTTGCCTTCTGTTCTTATTAGCCAACATGTACACATACCTATTTTGTGCAAATACTACTAAGCACTTTACATATAGTAACTTACATAATCCTGATACCCCTGTGAGGAAGGCATTGCTATGATCTCTACTTTACATATAGTTTCAGAAACGAAGTCACATAACGTTTTAGTACTTGCCAACTCAAACCCACACTGTCTGGTTCTAGAGTCCCTATGGCTTAAAATTCTATGCCTCTTTCTGTTTGTTACGTGATGCCCAATTCAGCATCAGCACTACTAATGCAGCATGATTCTTACTTTTCTTTAGCTATTCTAAAATAGGTTATCTTTTGAACTAATTATTTTAGTTATCTCGTGAATGAGTATTTCACAGTCGTGTTAGCTTTCTTAAGGTTTTAAATTGTTAGAACTGCACACGGTATTTCTGACTCATAAATAGTATCTTTAAGATAATGGTTTGATTTTATCACCTCTCATAAATTAACTCCTGTATGGAAAGCCTAGCACATTAACTGCCACACAGCGGGCAGTCAATGATTATCAGTCCTTTTCTTAACAATGGGGGGGGTCGCATGTTACGGGCATAGCACTTTAGTGAGAACTGCACACAGTATTTCTGTTTCTTTATTGAAACTCAGTTCTTTATTTTATTTTTAATAAATTTTTTATTTTAGAATAGTTTTAAATTTACAGGAACGTTGCAAAAATAGTACAGGAAGCTCGCATATCCCTACCCTCAGTTTTTCCCTAATGTTTACATCGTGTGTTTTTATGGCGCCTGTGTCACAACTGATGAGCCAACATTGATACATTGTCATCATCATCATCATCATCATCATCATCATCTAAGCTCCATATCTTTTTTGGATTTTGTTAGTTTTTCTTAATGTCCTTTTTCTGTCCTAGCGTCTCATCTGAGATACCATCTATGGCCCTTTATTTTATGCAGAAAGTTTTGAATATAATCCTAAATGCATCATAATTAACCTGTGCATTTAAATTCTTCCTAAAATGGAATCACTGATCTAGAATGTTGTATGAATTTCTAAAAAAAAGAACTGATTTTAAAATGACCTAAGGGAATACCAGGTGTTGTGTTTTTCCTCCCCTATTGATGTCAACCAAGGTCAGAGGTGTGTATGACACCAGGGGACTGTTTCTTAGGACACTGTGACTACAGCTGCCATCGTCAGTGGACAGTAACGGAAATTCATGAGACCCGTCACGCTTGCGTGCTTCACGCCTTGTTTGCTGCCGGATAGTTTGTGTTTTCAGCAACAGTAGTGTCGGATGCTGCGTCCTACCCTCTCCGCGATGGAGGGGGATGTCGATGTGTGCAGTATCACCAGCATCGCCTGCAGACCATTTTATCCCTCCTCACTGTCAGCTGCCTGTAGGAGCAGAGTAGTGTTTTCATAGACTGTGGTTCCTGGAGTGAGACCTTGGTACCTTATGAGGGCTTCAGGATCATGTAGTTAAAATCCTTTTATTTAGGTTTTGGAGAAAACGGAAGTAGCTCTCCAGTGGCTTCCTGATTCCTGCGTGCTCCTTCATTTAGTTGCCGTGGCGACAGCGGCAGTCTCAGGTGCTCGTCTCTAGTGTGACCTGTGGGCGCCCCTTCTCAGCAGCCTCAGGGCTTTGTAAAGATACTGCCATGTTGCATGGAGACAGTTCTGGAAACGGTTTTCCTCTTAAGTAAACGGCCATTGACTCCTGTGGGGAAAACAAGGAAAAGGAAAATTAGATTCTCCGTGAAGCTGTACTGTTTGTGAATAACTTGCCTCTTGGTGGGGTTTTACACACGGAATTGTTTCTTAAGCTGAGTTTATAAATGTGGTAGTCGTCTTTCCCCCTGTCGGGGTCCGATCTCCTGTCACAGTGTCCTGCGTTAGGGAGTGAAGCGCGGCCGGTGCACCTCGCGGGGGGGGTCCGTCTCCAGGGCCAACGGGCGTCTCTGCGAACCGTCTGTTGCAGGTACTTACACATCGGGCACGCCAAGGCCGCGCTCCTGAACCAGCACTACCAGGTGAACTTCAAAGGGAAGCTGATCATGAGATTTGACGACACGAATCCGGAAAAGGAGAAGGAAAATTTTGAGAAGGTAATTAAAGGTGCAGTGATGACCCTTTGTCAGAAAAGCTCTTTCAAATTAGCGACCCGATACCTTCCCAGTAGGTGAATTCAGTAGAAACTTAATTCATGAAAATACATTTTGTTCTCATAGATGCTCTTTTCCTTCACCTGTGTTTCCTGTGCCTGAGACCTAAGCCAGGCAGTACTGAACTCCCGTTCACACCAGAAACTTCAGTGTAGTTTTTACTCCTCAACTGTTGTAGAATTTTCCCAAGCGCCACAAGCACCTGTTTTTTAAATGAATTGGTAACTAGAGGCAGGTTTCCTTTTTATCACTTGAAGTCTATGACTGAAAGAAACACTCACCAGATGTTGGAAAATGGTGCAGGTTTCGTAGCCTCTTACCTTCATTCTGAAGCGATGCAGTACATGCAGAGAGAGGGCGCACGGATGACCGTCAGGGTGGCCAGTGGAAACCGGCTTCCCCCGTCACCAGGGAGCGCCGTGGGGTTGGCTTTCTCCGCCGGAAATTTAGAGGCTAGAAGAGCGAGCCTCTTTTCCATTTCTGATCTAATATCGTACAACTTCCGCAGCCATTTCCAGGCTCAATAAGGCTGATCGTGTATTATCACGTTTGCCCAAATGCGGTATCAAGGGTTGGAACAAGGAAATGGGAGAGATGGGCTCGTGGTGATTTTGGGTTCTTATTGCAGGTTATCCTGGAAGATGTCGCAATGCTGCACATCAAACCAGACCAGTTCACTTACACCTCGGATCATTTTGAAACTATCATGAAGTATGCGGAGAAGCTCATTCAGGAAGGGAAGGCGTATGTGGACGATACTCCCCCAGAGCAGATGAAGGCCGAGCGTGAGCAGAGGGTGGAGTCCAAACACAGAGCAAACTGTAAGGCACACTTAACGTTTTGTATTTTAATAGGTGTCCTTGTATTCTGTTCCTCTAGTAGCACATGATTTCTTTTTTGTGAAAGACTCTGGTTTGAAATACATTTGGGAATATGACTTCTGTGTCAATTCATCTCTTAGAAATCTTTTTTCTCTCTGTCACCTTGCCCTTATTACTGTGTTAGCATCACAGCTGTGTGTGAGCTGCGTGTGCCCCTAGCGTCTCATTTATTACGTGTGTCTTCAGCATTTCATTCGTTGCGTCTGAGTGATGCCTTCTGCAGCGTTTCTGTATTTTTCTCAGTATAAATACTCAGCTTTTCTGAAAGGTTTGGTGATGCTGTTCATGCCTAAATCTTCCTTTCAGCACATAGGTAAACATGAATATACTATCAAAGCTTGGTATTACCCTGTGTCTCTGAGATATCATTTGACAAAAGATCATATCTTCCTTATTCATTACTTGTCCCTAAGCTTGAGAATTGGGTTATTTTTATTATATAATTATGTTACTAGAACTCCCACACTATTATATTTAAAGCTTGAGTGTCCCATCTGGGAAGTATAGTAACATCAAATTGTTCTGAAGTCTTTTTTTTTTTTAATTTTCCTACATTTCTCAGTTACCAGCTGCTCTTTTACACTTGACCCTTGGAGAGCCGGTAACGTGTCCATCGCATCTCAGTAGTTTCCACAGAGAGTCGTCGTCTGACAAGTCTTTTTTATCCACACGGGGCAGGTTTTCAATGTTCTGACGTAGTAGGACCCCAGTCCCTTGGGATGCGATGTTCTTTATCTGGGATTAAATTTGTGTTGCCATCTGCTTTCCATCCTCTCTCGTTCCTCGGACACAAGTATGTCCTCCTTCCCGCCGGAATGGAAGCAGGGGGTTTTGGGGGCCCTGGGGCCCAGGCTCTCAGCCAGAGCCGTGTTCTCCAGACGGGCACGGGCTGCAGCGCCTACGCCTGTGGGCCCCGTGGCCGGGCCGGGCCGCGCCGCCCCCAAGCCCGGTGGCCGAGGAGCCGGGTGCTGCCGCCCTGCGGGATGGTGGGCGGCTGTGGGGGGCCGGCCAGCTGGGCCGCGATGGCAGACGGGAGCTCGGATGAGTGAAGCCTTCAGGCCTCGCTCAGCCTTCCCCAGTATTGTGTGTAGACTTGACTTCTGCCAGCACCTTTGCGGAGCGCAATTCCTAAGTGTTTCATGAGACTTCTGTCTAAAAACCAGGCATTTACTCTTGGTATCAGACACTGGAACTGTTCCAGTGCTTATAAACTAGTGGAATGTGCTTCTAATGTAAAACCAGAACATGAACACTTATATCGCATTACAGGGCTATTAAAATAATTTGAATTCAACCCATTAGTAATACGTTGGATAAACTAATATAACCATCATTTTATAGCTGTTGAGAAGAATCTGCAAATGTGGGAAGAAATGAAAAAAGGGAGCCAGTTTGGTCAGTCCTGTTGTTTGCGAGCAAAAATTGACATGAGCAGTAACAACGGGTGCCTGAGGGACCCGACACTGTACCGCTGCAAAATCCAACCGCACCCACGGACTGGAAGCAGATACAAGTAAGGCCGCCTCTCTCACTGCGCTTGGCAGCCCCCCGGGCTCTGCTCCGGGGCGGCCCGTTCATTGTGGGTGAACTGGCCTTCGTGAAGCAGGCAGCCTCCCGGGCAGTTCCGCGCCTGGCAGTTAAGGTTATACTGCATTATTCCTAAGGTCAATTAGAAATTGCTCCTTTATGTATTGATTAAGTATACTATGGTGTGTATCTTTAGATGAAGATATTTGTCTTCCTGTTACATACTTTGATTCTGCTAGGCACAACTAATTCATAAATGTGATAGAATTGAAAATTTAGAGAAATAGGAACAGTACAAGAAAGGGCCATGTGTTTGTTCTAGTTTTGATTGGTTTCCTGTGTGCGTTTACAAGGTAATAGATTTTTTTCTTTAAATGGTCCGTCCTTCAGTAATTCACTTTATATAAAGTAACCATAAAATGTGTTTTCTTATACTTTGAATAAACCTACTGCATACACATACTGAGTTACAACTCCTGAAGAGATTGGTGAATGTAATGATTACCTGATTAGCCAATGTGACTTTCTTTAAACTTGAGGGCGCTGATGTATCTATAGGCAAACACTTAATGTGTGTGGTTACATATGTATACTTATATGTCCTTCATTCTTAACAGGATGATTGCTCCTTGTTTTACTAACCAAATACTCTGAATACATTTGGAAAAGTGAATTTCCATCCCCATTTTCAATATCAAATAATTGCAAAGCCTAATGCAGTAGCCTCTCAATGAAATTGTATCTTAAAAATTAGAAGTCATAATGCAGTAGTTTTTATTTTTAATTTAAATTAAAACTGCTTATGGGTTGTTTACTTTTTTTTTTATAGCAGAAGTTGTTTTGGGAGTATTCTGTCTTATGTGGAATTTTTTTTAACCTAATATCTGCTCATGTATGTGCTTGAATGCAGTTAATTACAAAAGTAATTTGATTAACTTGAGTGTGGGATTAATTAAGATACTGAAAAGCTCAAGTCCCTCAAAGTCATTACATATATTGCTCTTGTCAGGATATACACTGGTCATGACAGAAATGTGGTCCTCGAGTTGGCGGTGCCAACGCTCAGTTGTCTATTAAATTGCAGCTTTGTTTTTTTGTTTCAATAGTGCCTGGGCAACTGATTCATTGTCCTTAAAGTCTGGTAATGTTTTGATATACTTTGATTATTATGAGTTCTAAAACACATTGGTCTTTAAGAATTTCCTAACTAGTAAAGAATGATAATTTAAGTTAGTATTGATGCATATGATGCCTAATCTAGGATGGAAAGGGTCACATGCTTCGTGTGGATTTTTTCCAGCGTTTACCCGACATACGATTTTGCCTGCCCCATCGTGGACAGCATCGAAGGCGTCACGCACGCCCTGAGGACCACGGAATACCACGACAGAGACGAGCAGTTCTACTGGATCATTGAAGCTTTAGGCATAAGGAAGCCGTATATTTGGGAATATAGTCGGCTAAATCTCAACAACACAGTGCTGTCCAAAAGAAAACTCACCTGGTTCGTAAACGAAGGACTGGTAGATGGATGGTACGTTTCCTGTGGCCTGGAATTGAGAGGAAGTGAGGGCGTGGTCTACCAGTGACTTAAACTGCTCTGAGGGGTGGGGAGGGTCGGGGGGAGGAGGTGGCATGGTGGGCCTGTAGGGTTCCTGGTCCTTGTTTCTATTTGTCCCAGGGTATCAGTCCCCTTCCCCTTTGTTTCAACACTGCAAACATGCAGCGCATCGTGGGCTGTGGCGTGTGGGAGTGAAAGGGCGTTTGTGAGGGTATGTCCCTGCGCAAATCCCGTTTACTAGAAAAGTACTCGTGCATTCTGGTCCTCACGTGGCCGGCCTCATGGCCAAATGTAGAATTGGGGACCTTGAATGTTTGCTAAATGAAAGGCAACTCACGTTGTAGTGCCTGGATTTTCTGTATTTGAAGACGTCGCCCCGTGTCTTTCCTGAAACGTGCTCTCGGTGTTTCTGGTAGTGCGTTGATTTCACTGAGCACCATTTGACTTGTAAGCAGTTTTCTTCTCCCATGAACTTGGGCTCTGTGGTGCTGTGATCTGCCCAATCATTACCACCAGCTCTTAGTCCACATATTGCAAACTGATATTTTACAAGTAATTTACACTCTCTGCGCCTGCACATTAAAGAGACCGTGGTATTTAACAACGCCCCTGCTTCCCAGGGATGACCCACGGTTCCCCACGGTCCGTGGTGTGCTGAGAAGAGGGATGACTGTCGAGGGGCTGAAGCAGTTCATTGCTGCTCAGGTGAGTGAGGGGTGCTTTTCCCCATTCTCCGTGTCCGTGTCCAAGTGTCTCTTAATATCCCCTTTGTCTGCATTATTTCTACTGTCTTTCTCTTCCTTCTTTGTTCTTTATAATGCAAGGGCAGAATGGTTTTTAAAAAGAGCCTGTTTAGCACTGTTTATAGTAACGGAGAACTGAGAGTGTCTCGGCCCGAAGCGCAGGTCGGACTGCGGCAGCTGTCGCGCTTTTAGCCGGGGCTGCGTGTGACACTCGCCTCGAAGCGAGTGAGGGAACCAGAGTCGCTTGTGTGGAGTGAGTTTATATTCCAACGGATAATTATTGGGCTTGTTTTTCTAATGTGTAGCTTAAGTTAAAATATTCTAATTAATACTTTTTGTCCTTTAAAGTCATTTTATTATTGTTTTCCTAGGGTTCCTCACGTTCGGTTGTGAACATGGAATGGGACAAAATTTGGGCATTTAACAAGAAGGTACATGTTTTGACTCTTAATCCTCTTTTTTCATGCCTAATTCCTACATGTAGATTTCATTAGTGTGCTCCTGGTAGAGGAAATTTTGGAAAGAATGTTATCATTTTGCAGACTTTCAGGAAAATGGAATGTTTTCCTTTTTTAAACATATAAAGAGCATTAAGCCTATTCACTCTACCAAACGAGTAACAATGATTCACAAAAGCAAACTTGGAGTTATGGGGAACAGTAACAGTTTTTTTCCTTCAATCTTTTCTGAACACTCTGCATTTCATTTTTCTGCTTTCAAGCTGCGAGCTCTCTGTAAGAAGGTATTGCTTGATGCTTTTGTTTGCCTTACTTAGCACATAGCTTCTAGCATATTACCTGCTATGACCTGAGCTGTCGTACAGCTTTGAAGCACAATCACATTTCTGCAAAAGACTGACTCCTGAAACAAACCCACTGAAAGTGCACTAGTCCTGGTTGTAAAAAGCATCCTCTGGTTTTCTCAGTGGCGGAGGGAAGGTTTGGCCGGTGCCATCCTGCTGTTCCCTGGGTGCTGAGAGAACCAAGGTTTAAAGCTGCGTACTCCACTGAGTTGTATTAAAGGTTCATGAACCATGATTCCTGTGTCTTACTGAATCTAGTTTTTTAAAAAGTGTTTCTTAAAGGAACGTCTAATGGCATTGTTAACATGACCGATTGGAAGCAGCGGAAGCAAGTGCTTAGACACTATAATAAGGCAAATCCTTCCTGTGCCATGTTTGAAACTCGGGTTCCTGTGATTGTGTTCCGTGAACTCTTTTTTTGTTTTGCTGCTTGATCGTGCTGATGCCTTTGCCTCAAGAAGTAGTTGCTTGTCTTGCATGTGTCCTGAATTTATTTTATTGTCTTTTGTGTTTAGTGAGTTTTTTGATATTTACAGGGGTTATTAATTGGTTTTTTCTGTTGCTGCACTTACTAATAATAAATACAGGTATCATTTACAGGCAAAGTTAACACTGGTGTACTTTTTATTAATAACCCAAAATGTAAAGGTTTTAAGTTGTAATAAAGTTACAGATGTGAACTACATTTCGGTATAGCCAGGTAGTTCTGATGAACAGCATATTCCCCTATCCTCTTTCCTTCCATTTTCTCACCCTAGGTAAATAACTTTCAGCTTTTTTAGATAATTCTCTTAGTATCTGTTGCCCATTTCTCTAAGTGATGTGTGTGGCTACTCCCTGGTTTTCAGTTGAGGCAGTATCAGTTGACTTCCCACAGAGGAATATGAGGTCTCTCAACTTTTTCTCACAACTCCTTGGTTTTCTTGCAGTTGATCGTTTGGGTCCCTTCCCCGATCCGTGTTTGTTCAGTTTTCTAATTCCATCCGTAACTCAGCAGAGATTGTCCTAACTTTCCTACCAGAGGGCTGTTCACGTGCCTCAGGTGCTCCTTCAGTTCCGCCCTGGAGCTGTCTGTGCTGCTGTGACTGGCCTGGACTGGCGGCCACCCCACTTCGTCGTTTCTCTGGGGCGCCCTTTGCTGCAGGGCTGGGGCGGCTCGTTTGGGCCGAGGCGCTTCCTCCTGTTACCGCCTCTGGCTTGGCCGGCCGCGTCCTCCGGGCGTGCCCTGGTGGCGGAGGTCCGGGGCCTTGTGCAGGACCTGCTTTTCACTTGAGGTTGCCTGGCGACGTGCCACGCTGCGGGTCTGTTTCCATCTGTGTCACGGGGAGAACGTGGGGCTTCCGGTCTGTGAACTTGTCCCTAGAGTTCTGGGAAATTTTCTTTCTCTTGTTTAACTTTTTTCTCTTCTGTGTGTTCTCCCTCCTCTTGGGAGCTCTTCCTGAGTAAGTACTGGGCCTCCTGGTCTCGGCCTCTCATTTTATTTTCTCTTTGAGTATTTTCTCTGGTAGATCTGCTCAACTACCTTTCTTTTGAGTTCTTCATTCATACTGTCGTATTTCCAAGAGTTCTCTTTTGTTCTCTGAATTTTAAAATTTAACTTTCTCTTCCTGTTTCATGGTCATAATATTCATTAATAGCATTTTTTTTCCTTCCAATGTTTCTTTTCTCCAGGTTGTTCATTTTGGTTTTCTTTGGTATTAAAGCCCTTGTTCAGGGGTCTGGTTAGCACAGGCTCTCTGCTCACGCCTCCCGTGGGCAACTAATGGAGGGATTGGAGCCCCAAAGAGGCAGCGCTGGGCTTGCCTGAGCCCCTCTGCAGCGTCGCCTGGCCCAGCCAGTCCTCTTAAAAATCTGTATGTCAGTCGCTGGCTGTCTGTCTGCTTCGATGGGGCCGTTTCCCAGAGGCTTTTCTTTGAGTTCCCTGCCTGGAGGGTGATGGCCTGGCTGCCCAGGCCATGGGGCCCGACAGAGGTTGGGGGCCGAGGGCCTTTCCGTCTAGTGCCGGAGCCCCCGCGCCGGCCTGCCCGCCGTGGCTGGGCCTGCGTCCCCACACCCGCTTCTTCGCAGGCTGAACTTCAGTCTTTGGCGGAAGTAGGGGAGGGGCAGCACCTGGCTGTGCACAGCAGAGAGGGGTGTATGCAGCATAAAGATGCTTCTTGGTGTTGTTTAGCTTCCAGAATTCTGTTGCTGCTGTAACTCCTTCTCTTACTTTACTAATACTTGCGGATTTGTGCCTTTTAAACAAAACAAACACTTCGTGCCTTCTGAGTGGAGATGCGGAGGGAGTGAAGGTAGGGGAGCATTTTCCCATCTGCTTTGTTTATCCCTAAGTGGGTAGGATCTTACAGTCATTAAGCACCACCCTAAAAACAGCAGCAGTTATCAAGGATGTAAAGTACAGCGTAGGGAAAACAGTGAGATTGTAATAACCCTGTGGTGACTTGTCGGGGGAGCTCTTTGTAAATTACATAAATGTCAAATCACTGTGCTGTACACCAAAACTAATTAAAAGAATATTGAATGTCAGCTGTAAAAAACAGCACGATTTAAAATTTTGATTGGTAGTGAAAAAGAAGGCGTTCTGTTCCCGCGCCTCTTGTTTCCACTGCTGGCCTTCGTGACGGCTTCCGGCGTCCCGGGACTGTCCCCTTCCCGGTGGCCTTCTGTAGGGTTCATGTCACACCCAGTCTGCACTCACTGCTCTGTAACGTTGCAGCTCGCTCTGTCGCTCCTTCCAAGCTCTGCAGCTGAAGTGTAAGTGAGGCATCAGCGCACTGAGTTTAGCACCAGGACGTCGTGAAGCAAGCGCGAAGGGCAGAGCTAACCCACCACAGTAACTCAGCGTTTTCTAACGCAGCCTCTGCTAAAAGACACGGGCACGAGCCCCGGGCGAGCTGGAGCTCTCACGCGCTGCTGCGGAGGACGAGCTCTGTTTCCAGGCGCGTTCTGCCTGGCAGGGAAGAGGGAGGCGAGCGCGTGGAGGGCACGGTGAGACGCGGGGGCTCCTGATCTTAGCCCTCTCTGCAGAGGCTGTGCTCCTTGTTTTCTTAGGCTGGCTTTCCCGGAGACTAGTACGTAATTTTTCTGTGTCATAATTAAATAAAATTTCTACATAATTTCATTTTTAAAAAACCTACCTTGATACCAGGAGGAGATGCTCTGGTACCTTACTCTGCATTAGCCTCACTAGCTTTCTTGGTTTATGTAAATGTTAAGAGGTAAACTTTTCAGCGAAGGCAGAAGAGTCACAGCTTGAGGGTGTTCATTTCAAGAGCTGCTATTTGCCTCCATCAACCTTTATTTACTGCTTTCATTGAAACATGTTAGTATTTCAGGGGTATGATCATACAACATTTTTTTTCCAGCTCTCATCCCAGGCCCCTGGCCTCTGCCCTGAACTAATACATAAAGTATGGGGAGGCCTCTTGCCCCACCCCCCAAGTAAGAAGCATCTTCCTAAGTGAGGAGCTTTTGAGTAAACCCCAGAGGGTAAAAGTGTGGCTGTCGGGGGGGAGCGTGGGAGGGTCGCTTCAGTCGCGTCCTGCCTTTCCCTCCCATCTGCCACGGCAGCTCCTTGAAATCCTTAGGGCTCTTTGGAGTAATTTGAAAACTATGAATCCAGAGATTTTTAGAATTGGCTGAAAAAAACTTAAATCTTTTAATCCAGGGTTTCCCAAACTCATCTGATCCCAACCATCCTGTGGAATGCTTGTTAAAAATCAATTTCCACACTTTCCGGCTGTGTCCAGCCTTTTGGTGTCTCTGGGCCACGCTGGTAGAAGAAGACCTGTCTTGGGCCACAGATTAAATGCACTGCACCATGTAATCTCACACACACACACCCCTCGTAATGTTTTTAAGTAAGTTTACGATTTTGTGTCGGGCCGCGTTCATAGCCATCCTGGGAGGCACGTGGCCCGAGAGCCGCAGCTTGGGCGCTCCTGCCATAATCCTTCAGGCTTAAATGGCCTGAAATCTGTGCCAGCCAATGCCCTACGTGGTTATTAATAGGTAGGCTGAGAGGCAGTCTTCCAGTCTTTATCAGCTGAGGAAATGCAGCTGCAGGGAAGGGAAGTGAGTGTCTCAGGCTGGGCCGTCTAGTTTTAGTTTCCGTAAAGCAGTTCTACTGTCTTCAACACTGAACTGAGTGGTCACAAATTCAATCTTTGGTCATAAAAGAACCCTTAACTAGTACAAATGATCTTTAAGTTGCAAGGAAGACAGGGATGAAACAGTAAACTTAGCGAGGCTGGTGCTGATGTAGCGTGAAAAACAAACAGATGAGGAGGAGTGGACAAGGGTCAGTTAGCTAGCTTTTCATACCTTTATGAATGATTCTATGAGGGTGATTTCTTCTCCGAGTTTACTCAGAATTTCCACAGTGTTATTTTTTCCCAAAGGTGAAAAATACTCAAAGCAAGCAAAACACAAAAAACAAACCCAGAAACAATGGCAAAAGTACAAAACAAAACAAACACAGCCCGAGTTAATTAGCCATACTATTACCTGTGTCCATCTAATGGGAAAAAATAGCTTCTATTCCTTTACTTAGATTTGCTTCTCCCTATGTTTTCCTGGCCTGTGCTTTTTCGGTGTTCAGACACTGCTGTCGTGATTGGTCATCATGGGTAGTTGCCGGCAGAGTAGCCTAGAGCACAGTGAGGGGGGCGTGGCATCCCCTCACTGCGCAGGTGATTATTGATCACGTATATGCGCCAGGCCCTTGCTAGGTACTGGGCGCACAGTGGCCCCTGAATTTGGAGCATGTTGACAAGGAGAAATACTTTGTTTATGCCTTTAATCTACAGAATTGCCTTATTATAGTGACCTAATGCTCTTCTGCTCTTCATGGTGATGTGTTGCCTAAAAGCGGTGATGAAAAACTGCACTAAAACACATATCTGTATTCCTTAAAAATGGACTTTTCCAACAATACAAAACTGAGTATCACATTTACCTGTAGGATTACTATATAACCCCACAGGATTTGTCCTCACCGTCTAATCCCAGAGTTAAAAATTATTTCCTAAAATGCTCTGATATTATGCCTTCGCCTATTGGTTTCTTTTCACCTGTCAGTTCTTCCTCTTGGAAAGGAGCTTTTAGTCCCTTGTGTGGTCCTCAGTCACGATGGTTTCTCTCTTCTGTACTTGACAGTTGAAGGGCTGGAGAAGAGTTAGCAGATGAATGGAAAAAATTAGTAAATGCAGTAACAAAGAAAGCCAGTTAGTACTGCCATGCTATTATTTATTTTATTTATGAAATATAAAGGGTGTCTGGATGTTTTAACATGAGATGCATCCCTTGCAGGTTATCGACCCGGTGGCGCCAAGGTACATCGCGTTGCTGAAGAAAGAGGTGGTCCCGGTGAACATCCCAGAAGCCCGGGAGGAGAGGAGAGAAGTGGCCAAGCACCCGAAGGTTGCCTTGCAGGGGATAGGACAGTAGAGGAGCGCGTGCCTTGGTGGCCGCGGTGTGCCTTTGGGGTCATTTTCTGTCCAGTGTTATTGGTCAGGACTCGATACTAATCGGAGAAAATATTTTGTAGGTTTTTCCTAAAGAAATGCATTCTAGTAAAACCCGACGCCACGCAGAGCCACGCAGAGCCGTTGGAGTGGGCTCGGGCGCTGCGTGTTGTGAGGCGCTAGGCACCCTCCGAGCGGCGGCCTTCCGTGGTTGCCTTGCTGTGCGCAATGTTAGCTGTGTTTTAATTGTGAAGATTTGAGTTATGTTACGGGGAACGCTAATAACGTGGGGAGGTTGCTTTGACTTTGCCTTTGTCTTGCATCGGATTATTCAGCCCACTACAGTTAGCGTGAGTGTGATGTCTACTGAGTGTTTGAAAATGTCAGTAGTGAGAATAAAACCTTTTAATGGTGCTTATTAGTTAAAATGAGTGTGATCCCAGACAATATAAATGGAATTACTGCTCATTGTTGAACAAGAATTAGTTGACAGGGGAAAGCACTTTAAAGGGCGGCTGGGCTTCCTCCGTTCGCCCAGGGGAGTTTCCACCTCATCATTTCCCTCGTGGGGCCGCACGTCCGCCTGCCAGCCCTCAGCCCTGCACCCAGCGCGGCATCGGTCGCTGCGGGACAGTGATTTTTCTCCAGTGCCCCAGCCCAGCTCCTGAGCAGTTGCTCGACACATGCTGTCAAACGGCTGCTTCAGAGGATCCTCCTGTATTTTCTCTTTTACATTCTCTCAAACAAAAACTGAAATTTTACTAGTAGAGTATTCATGTTAGTCTCCGGATCTCTTTATCTTCTGTATGTAACATACACTGAAAAGGCAGAAAATTCATCTGTACATACGCAGTTCTTTCTGTCTTTAAAATTTTATCTTCTAAGACACGAAAGGCCCACAGTTTCCTGCTGAGGTACGGTGTCCGTCCTGTGGTCCTCAGCCACTGGCCAGGAACGGCTTGCTTTTCGCCTTTGCTGCGGCAGCAGTGAGATTCTGAGGGTGACAGAGCCGATTCTGGTGGGAGGGACTCTGAGCGACCAATGACACTGCCATAGCCCTGGGAACCGAATGGCGGAGGCGTGGCCTCGGGCAGACCACCCCCTGAACTCCGTTAGCATCGCTGGTCAGAGCTGGGAGCCCAGCTCACATGCGGCTTCTGTGGGTGAAAGCAGAACACGGGAGAGTGTGTGCATTTCCACAGCGGGTTCAAGAAGTCGCCATCGTAACCAGCACTCCCCTTCTGTCTCATCAGAACCCCGACGTCGGCCTGAAGCCCGTGTGGTACGGCCCCAGGGTTTTCATCGAAGGTGCTGACGCGGAGACGCTCTCAGAGGGTGAGACGGTGACATTTATAAATTGGGGCAACATCAGCATCACCAAAATACACAAGTAAGAACTTCTTGTTTGCTTTCAAATAAATATGGGAGGAAAGTATTTTATGTTTATTCACTTGTTAAAAATTACCGGGCTTCACGTATTCAGAGGGCTGACTAGCGAATCTGCCCAGGCACAAATGCTGCCGGTTCTGGGTGGTGAAGTTCTCCCATCTGCGCTCCCGTTTCCTGGTAGGGCATTGGCATAGCTTTTGCTCACAAGGCTGAAAATTCCTTCATCTGGACACACCTATGTAAAAAATAGGTCCGATGCTTCGGGTCCCTTTGTATCCTCTAATTCTCATAATACAGTTGCCTGGTGGAGGGATTCTTTGAACAGCATTTATATGTTTAACATTTTTTATCCTAAAATTGGCTTTGAAATTAATTGTTTAATGATGAAGATGAACTTTCCAGTGATTATAGTGCGCTGCATTTTAATTTGATTGGAAGACCACATAAATGGAACATACTGTACTAAGATTAATTTATGTGAACTCTGACATCTTAATTGTCCCGTTGTCTAGTGAATTATCAGGATCTTGATGACAGGGATCATATTTCATTCTTTTCTTCATTTAGGATGTGCCTGACACATACTAAAAATTCAAATGTTTGATTTGAAATTTTTGCAAAGAAAATTCCTTATCCATTTGTTGCACATAATGTTGTGGCAGTTAGAGTTTATTTTTTTCACCACATTTTTCAATCTTACACCTAGAGACGCAAAGGGAAAAATTGTATCTCTTGATGCAAAACTGAATTTGGAGAACAAAGACTACAAGAAGACCACGAAGATCACGTGGCTCGCGGAGACGGCCCGAGCCCTTCCCATCCCGGCGGTCTGCGTCACTTACGACCACTTGATCACAAAGCCCGTGCTGGGGAAGGACGAGGACTTCAAGCAGTATGTCAACCAGAACAGCAAGGTAACCTGAAAGAAACGGCACTTCATCTTTCCCTGTTACGGTAAACCTGTCTTCAGAGTTTTTAAAATCAGTTTTAAGGCCTCGGTTCCTCAAGTAAAATGGAAAAGATTTGTTAGAATTTTACTCAAATAAAAAGATGTGAAAGAGTAATGTTCCCGTCTCCCAGATGATAGAAAGTGAGGCACAGTGAGGGTCAGGAACTTGACCAAGGACAGGCAGCAAATGGCGGAGGCGGGTTTCAAACCCAGGCGCCAGGGCCCAGAGCCCTTCTGCCTACACACTCTGCCAGTGCGTCTCGGCCCCTGTGCGCCTCGTGCATCGTGCTTCACGTCTACGGTGGGAAGCTCGTTGGTATCTGCAGGGACACCACACAAGGTAGTGTCGAGGTTCCTGAAGCCGGTCAGTTTGTAAATGTTAACTTTAAAAATGACAACAGATGTAATTGTTACTCACTTTAATACTTCTCTGTTTTATTGTATGTACTTAAGTAATAAAGTGTTTAATGAATTTGTTTAAAAGAGGAGCATTCCAGCTACCAGAAAGACTGAAGCATTTTAGAGTCGTTTTCGGTGCTCTGATTTTGAGGAAGGGGGTTTTCGTCTTGTGTCACCTCTGCAGCATGAAGAACTAATGCTGGGGGACCCCTGCCTTAAGGATTTGAAAAAGGGAGACATCATCCAACTCCAGAGAAGAGGCTTCTTCATCTGTGACCAGCCTTATGAGCCCGTTAGGTAAGTAAATGGAACTGAACAACTACATGAAAGCGCTTAAAGTTCTTACAGTGAATAATACTTAACAAATTGAAATTCCACTAAAATATTGTACCTGACAATTCTCTATTCAGTTTGATTTGTTCTTCTCTATTTAATGTTTCAGACTTAGCAAGCGATATACCTTTGAAACAGCATAATATTAACAAATTCATTTCTAAAACGAAACCATCTTATAATTCATCTTCATTTAGTCCAAGTATAAAAAAAAATTTTTTTCCAGAGCAGATATACAAACGGTCAGTCTGCACACAGAAAGCTGCATGACGTCATTGGCGATTAGGGAGATGCAAGTCCAGGTCACAGCTAGCGGGGGCTCCACACCCCCTGGGGCGTCTGTGATCAAAAAGGCAGCGACGTGGGGACCGTGGAGAAGTGAATGAAGTGGTCGCTCTGGAAAACATTGTGGCATCCTTCACAAAGTTTAAATCGCAGTTACTATTTTACCCAGCAGTTCCACTCCTAAGTATATACGTAAGAAAAATAATAATGTGTTCACACAGAAACTGGTACACAAAGGCTCGGAGCAGCATTATGCATAATAGCCAGAAGGTGCAACAACTCAGCTGTTCCTTAGCTGGTAGATAAGCAAAATGCCCATCCGTACAAGAGAATATTATTCAGCCATGTAAAAGAATGAAGTATTGATTTATGCTGCGGTATGCATGAACCTTCTAAACACAGGCCAAGTCAAAGAAGCTAGTCAAAACAGACCACGTATGTATATGAAGTTCCAGAATAGACAAATCTACAGAAATAAAGTAGCCAGGGTGGGGGACTGGGAAGTGATAGATAAAGGGTTTAAGGTGTCTCTGCGGGGACAGAAACATTCCAGAATTAGTGGTGGTGATTGCACACTTTATATAATCATTGGACTGTGTCCTTTCAAAGGGTGAAATTTTGGTATGTAAATTGTATCTCAAAGAGATCGTTAAAAAATATTGGAGACATGCATAGGTCCTATTGTTACTACATTCTTTCTCTTTATTTTTACTTTAGCTTTTACCACCAAATTTGAAGAAATTCTTGGCTTGCAAAGTCTTAGGGCAGTGGATTTGGCTAGTTACCCTCCCCTTTAGAAATGAGAAATTCGTATAAAACTAATGGCTTTTCGGAATGACTCTCTCCACAGGCAGGTTAGGTGGGCTGTGTCGACGGCTCCCCTTCTCAGTCAGCAGTGAGGCCGTCAGTGCCCACGGCAGCCCTTGCTGGTGCCAGGTGGGGCAGGTGCCCCGCTGTCCTGGGGGCGTGTGTGCACACCTGTGGAGGTTCACTAACTGGAAGATTCTAATTAGCACGATCAAGTGTTATTAATGTATTTCTTGTTTTCAAACTATTCTGAAGAACCTCTGATTTGAATAATAAGGGAAGGGGCTATTTATTTATACTTGAGAGCATTAACACAGTGCCATTGAATTAATCTGGGAAGTCAGTTTTAATTGCTATTTGGATAATTTGGTTCCCGTACACATGTCTGGCCCTTCACTTTCTTTTCAGCCCACACAGCTGCAGGGACGCGCCCTGTGTCTTGATATACATTCCCGATGGGCACACAAAGGAAATGCCCACGTCTGGGTCGAAGGAAAAGACCAAAGTAGAAACAGTGAAGAATGAGGTAAGTGCTGACTCTGTAATCATTGACCTTTCTTATCCTAGGGTCTCCAATCTGTTCTTTTACAAATGGTTGTCTGCCTTACTGCGGAGACTGAGGAAGACAATAACTCTTACCTTTGGGAGTTTCGTTACTGTCTTTTCATGTAAGATTTGTAAAAAATATCTCATAAAAAGAGATTTGTAAAACTCAATTTTATGTGAACAAGTCAGAGACTAGATTAAAAGAACATTTTTAACAAGGTTTTGGGGTTGGTTTGTTGGTTGTGTTTTTTTTTTTTCCTTTTTAGAGCCATAGTACATCCTTTCCTTTTTGACAGCCAGTCTGCTTTAGTCAGGAGTGTTGGGGAGCGGGGAGGACAGAGGGTCTGGGGGGCCTGTCGAGAGCCACCTGTTCTTACCGCTCATTTAATACATGAAAAGGAAAACAAAAAACCTTGCCCAGGATGATGGCATGGGTCATCACAGCCAGGACGGTGGCCTGGCTTTCTGGCCTCCTGCCTGGGCTTTTCTGTGGGACGCCAGCGCCCTTGCAGGGAGCTGCCGGCATCGGGGAGGTGCGGGAGGAGAGCAGGGCAGGAGGTGCTGTGTGGTGGGTGCCGGGGGGCTTCCACCTGCCCCTTTGTGGCCCTTCCTCATCTTGGAGGTAGTGCTACCTCTCTGTGTGCAAGGCTGAGCCAGGAACCTGCACGACCGCCAAGGTCTGGAGCACGTGCCGCCTGCGGACGCAGCTTCTGTCCTCGTCACGCAGGACGTGGACTGGAGCGGTGGCGACCTGCCTGGAGAGCCCAAGTTCGCGGCATAGGCCGGAGGTCCCCGCGCTCCTGCCGTTCACAGCGCCCGTGGTCCCTCCTTTCATGGCTCCTCACAGCCGCACGCGTTTCCAACAGTTCCTACTAGGTGGTCAAAGCCAAACAGTTAGATGCGGACGTACATCCCAGTGACTTAGTAGCTGTTAGAAAAAATAACACATAGAAGGTGAAAGAAAAGAGGCCTGAAATTTATTTTAAAAATATTTTGTTCTTAAATGTTAAATATTTTAATTTTATTTTTATTTCACTTTTACAATGATATACAAATTGAAAGAAAAATAATACTTTTATTTCTTCCTTCAACTTTGGACTCAGACTGGACACTAACCATTTCCTGTTCTGTAGTGACTTTCCGTGATACTTGATCTTTAACACAGTGGCTGTGAAAAATGCAGCTCTGCAGAGATAGGATGTCATAGAAAGGGATGTCGCACGCCCCACGTTACAGCTGCACATCACCTTGAGCTTGTGGTGCGCGCGGTGCTGGACAGCCGTCGGGGGTGTGGCTCTGTTCATCTCAGATAGTTGGGGGATCCCACGGCATCCCATGAACTTCCGGGGCAGCCTTCGGTGCACGGTGGGGGTCCGTGGACGGCGGCGGCTGGGCCGTCCCTGAAGATTTGGCGTCCGTGAAGAAGACGGTTAGAGGGTGGGCGGGACGGAGGATGAGCGTGGAGGGTACGGAGTAGGACGTGAGCCCAGGAGGTGGAGTCGGTGAGACAGCGGCAGCCTCCAGTTTGGGTTGGGTCGACTACGCGAACGAGGGGTAGACCGCCCGTGCTGGGAAGGCAGCGGCTCGGACGCGTGTTGCGGGGGGTGAGCCGGAAACTGCTCACGGGGGGGTGTCATGGCTTGCGCCTTCAGTTTATACAGGTGAGAAGCTGTGTGGGTTCTGATTTTAAAATTTTGTTTTAACTTGAAACATTATGAAACAATCGGTTTGATTTAATTTAGTGGGAAGACATTTAGCCTGAATTAATTACATTATTTTTGGTTTTCTGCCTCTGTAGACAAGCCCTACTAAGGGCAGACCAGTGGCCCCCTCGACTGATTCCTGCACGGCTACCTCTGAGGACTCCTTGGCCCTTTACAATAGAGTGGCTGCTCAAGGGGATGTGGTTCGTGAATTAAAAGCCAATAAAGCAGCAAAGGAAGATGTAGATGCAGCTGTGAAACAGCTGTTGGCTTTGAAAGCTGAATATAAGGAGAAAACAGGCCAGGAATACAAACCGGGAAATCCTCCTGCTCTAACAGGAGGGCAGAAGGCTGCTGCGAAACCCCCAGCAAGCACCGCGGGAAGTGACGCTCTGTACAATGAAGTTGCTGCGCAAGGGGAGGTGGTTCGTAAACTGAAGGCGGAAAAGGCCCCCAAGGTCAGTGTGCTGGAGGCCCAGTGACACTGTAAGGAGCCTGGGCACTATGGCCGCAGGTAGAGCTGTCCCTCACAGGACGTGTGTGTGGGCCGTCTACTTGGACAGCTTGGCAGAGCGGTCGGCATTTACTGACACCTGCTGTGTGCCAGGCTCTGGAAACGTGGACGTGAAGCAGCTCCCCAGCCGGGGCGGGGGTGGGGGGCAGGAAACCTGAAAGCTGCCACAGCCCTGTGTCATGTGACTGGCAGCACCTGTTGCTCTCAGAAATGTTCGTGGCACCAAGAGGCAGGGGAGGGGGAAACGGTTCATAAATCGAGGCCAGCGGTTATCCATGCGTCTCTGTTCAGAGACATGCTCTAGTTTTACAATTTTATTCTATTTTTCCTGTGATTTTAGAATCTCTCATTCAGTAACGAAGTGGTTTGGCCATCTTAACTTTTTCCTTTATAATGTTTCAAGTTGTAATATTGCCAAACAGAGGGTTTTTTTGTTTTGTTTTTTCCCTGTGCAAAATTAAACTCGAGTGACTACTTACAGTGTAAAATGGAACTTCCTTCAAATAGGCCTCTTCCTATAGATGTGGCTATAGGAAAGGCTCTTAACTTTTCCCCATTTTTTTCCTTATAACTGGTGAAGGCTTCTGTTTCTCTCGGTTCTTGTATGTCTGATTAGGCGTCTTTTTTCTTAGGATCAGGTAGATTTTGCTGGGAAAGTGCTCTTAAGTCTAACGACAGTGTGGACCGGAGACAGGCCAGAGCGCGCGTCAGACAGCCTGCCCCCTTCTGCGCGTGGCCCCTGCGCTCACCGTCCTTCCTCCGCGCGGTGCCCGCTGTGGCAGGCTCTCGGTCTGCGGGCAGCGAAACCCTCCCAGAAAGGCGCTGCACGGGGACATGTGGCCCCTCTTTCACCGCTGACAAGTCGCTGAGCGTGTACCAGATGTCCCAATGCTTCCTGCGTTCCTTTGAGCCCATGTTACTTCCCTGGCGTCCGATGCTGGCTCCCAGCGCTCTGGGGCTCCGGCGTAATAGGGCAGGAAGACTTGGGTGGGCTGATGTGCAGGCACTTCCTCTCTCCCCTTTGCGGATGCCTGGGCTCCCCGGTGGGGTGTTAGTTTGTGGTTAGATAGCATGGCCGTTCAGGTCAGGCGTGTGGCGTGAGCCCTTCGCCTGTGTGGTCGGCTTCTGTGCTTGGGGTCACCAGTGTCTTGGGCTGTTTCACTCTTTTCCACTATGATTATAGTGACGTATCAGAGAGGATGGTGTATGTAGGTGAGTGTCCAAAACCTCAGGCTACCTTCGTGTTTCCTGTGACTTTTTAAAAGCGTAATGTCCCTCTTCAGTAGTTAGGCCCAGGCTATGTGTGTGGGTTTTTTTAGTGTTGCATTTACTGTCTATTTAGAAATTATGAAAATAAGGTTTGTACTGGGAAAGCTGTTGAAGTGATCTGTGCTCTGATTTTAGAAATTTTTGATGCTTCAGCTTGCAGACCCAGGGCTGGGACGCTGGCAGTTTGCTTGGATGCTCTATTATTCGTCTAAGTATGTAAGAAGGAACGTTAGTGTTACCTGTGTATGAGTATTCGTGTTTGTTCTGAGGACTGGTATAGAGGACTGTAGCATGGTTTACATTTTACTTGTGCTTTGGTCAGTTGTCCCAGGCTGGCGATTTGGGCCCTTTGCGGGTGGGCCTCTTCATGATCACTGTCTGCAGGAACTCTGGCGGTGTACCCAACAGCTCTGAGCAGTCGTTGACATTTTCAGAAAGTATTAAGCATTTATCCTTTTTTCCTCTTTTCTCTCAGGCTAAAGTAAACGAAGCTGTAGAGCACTTACTTTCCCTGAAAGCTCAGTATAAAGAAAAAACGGGGAAGGAATATGTTCCTGGTCAGCTCCCGGCATCTCCAAGTTCAGACTCAAGCCCAGCCAGAAGCTCTGAGCCTTGTGGTCCAGAAACACCAGAGGCCAAAGTGCTTTTTGACAGAGTAGCTTCCCAAGGAGAAGTCGTTCGAAAACTTAAAGCTGAAAAAGCCTCTAAGGTTAGTGTGGGATCTTGCTTGTATTTTTCTTGGGCACATTACCTGCTGTTTTCTTTGCCCCGTGAAACCTGGCCAACGTATAGTTCCGGTTTCCGCTCTCTCCTCTCCCTGTCAGTAGGAGCCTCCGTTGACCCCTTCTCCCCCAGCTACACTTCGCTGCGCAGTCTCACGCGACACTGCGTTTCTCCGATAGAATACTTACATGCACTGTATTACAGTTGTCTGTTTCCCTCTGGTCGGTGAGGTCCTTGAGCGTAGGGACTTGGACCCAGCAGTGCCTGGCTCGCTGAAGGGCCCTCGGTACAGTCCCTGCTCTTTGTTTGACTCGTTCTCCTAGGCTCTCCCATCTGGAACAGCAAGTTTTACCTTGAACCATAGTGCAGTTTGTGCTGACTGTATTATCTTTTGTACAAGCAAGACTTTTTGCTAGATCGATTTGAGTAGAAAACAGTAAGTCATGACAGGTTTTGAAGTTTAACCAGTAATATAGGAACTTGACTACTGTCATCTTGATCATCGTGTAATTTGATGAGCCAGCACCTAAATTGCAACAGAGTGCCTGTTGCATACCAGCGCCGTCTCCTGGAGCTGTTCGCGGCGTGAAATGCTCTGTGACGTTCTGGCCAGTGTGGTCCCCAGGCTCTGCGCGCTGGACATGTGGCCATTGTGACTGAGGAGCTGACTTTTTAATTGTGTTTGCTTTGGATTACTTTAAATGCAAAGAGCCACATGTGGCTAATGACTATGTTTTGGACAGTGTGGTTATACTGCTATTTTGTAATTCTTTATCTATCTTCAGAAGTTAGTCTGTGTAACATTCTCCACTCCTGCCACACCCCCTCGGCCTTCAGTTGTGTTCCGGGCCGGGGCCGGGGTCTGACTAAACACGCCCGTTCTCCCCTCTTGCGGAACTGCAGGATCAGGTCGACGCCGCTGTGCAGGAGCTGCTCCAGCTGAAGGCGCAGTACAAGGCTCTGACCGGCATCGACTACAAGCCCTTGTCCGCCACTGGGGCCGAGGACAAAGATAAGAGAAAGAAAGAAAAAGAAAACAAATCCGAAAAGCAGAATAAGCCTCAAAAACAAAACGATGGCTCAAAGAAAGAGCCCTCTAAAAGCCAAGGCGGCGGGCCGCCGTCCGGCGGGGCAGGAGAGGGCCAGGGGCCCCGGAAGCAGACCAGGTGATGGGGCTGGGGGGCTCCGTTCCCCTGGGGCCCCGGAAGCGGACCCGGGGACGGGGCTGGGGGGCTCCGTTCCCCTGGCACAGGGCCTCCGAGCATTCCAGTCTTACGTTAATTTTTTTTTTCTTTTGTTAGTTTGACTCTTGTGCTCAAAGTTCAGCAGGGAGCTTTTTGTTCATCTTCTGTTTGTTTGAATAGGCAGCACATTCGCTTGCTTGGTTCAGGGGTCTCAAGAGAGAACGCTCAGTGCAGCCTCAGCCCTGTGCTGTGTTCCACCTTCCCAGTCCCTCCGACCCTGTAGTGGGTCGGTAGCCGCTGTTGGTAGCTTTTCCCGGATCTGTTGAGCGGCTTCCGCTTGGTTACATGAGCAAAATCAGACGTGCACAAATGTCTGTCCTCTCCCTTTCAACTCAGTTGGCACCTAACTATTCACATTGTTTTGCACCCTACACAGATTTTTCAGATGAAATTCTTTTGTCAGGACCCCATGAGAGCTTCATTTTTAATAGGATTTTAAAGTGGGTTTGGTTATATATAAAGCAAAGCTGGTTTAAAAACAGAGCAGTAGGGGATAGATGGTGTTTCCGTGCTTTCCAGTCTGTGTAAATAATGTGATTACCTGTCGATACTCCCCTCCCAAAATCAGGGAGGACCTTGTGCTAGGTTCCTTTAATGGCTTACTTGGGAGAAAAGGCTGTTGCTAGCAACTTTTGTTCAGAGGTACTGTGATTCGGATTTGTGTGGCTGAGTTTCAGGCTCTCCTCGCCTCACTGGTATCATCCGCACAGTCTCTGCTGAAACGAGAGAACACAGCAAGCAGTTCTCTCCTGCCTGCTGGCGGGCGATCAGATGCGCAGATGGTGGGAGGAAGGCTAGGGCTTCCCGCCTTTTGCTACCTGACCGCTCGTGAAAGGGCCAGGGTGGGTACGGGCGTTTTTTGAGAATTGTCAAAGGGAATCAGTGAAGAACTCAAGTATAAATACATTAAGATTTTAAACCAAGAAAACCTTGTTTACAAACTATGAAAAGATTTACTTTTTATAAAAAAAGAACTCATGGGTTGGTTTTTCTAGTGAGTCATAAGACCACAGTTCCTAAGTAGTCATTATTGTTTCAAGAAAAGGAATATGTGTAGAATGGTGTTTTATCGCAGTTGGAATTTATTTTGGAAGCATCTATCTGCAACTTCTACTTACTGCAGTTAAAAGAAAATGTGTAGACTATTTAAGGAAATACATACCTATATATGGGCACAGATGTACATATAGAGCCATTGTTTTTATTACTTTTACATGTTACTTTCAGTGAGACACTGATCGTACTAACTATAATTTTGCCTGGATTCAAGTTGGCAAAGCACTCTTCTCATTTGTTAGTGAGAGGTCTGCACTGAAATCATAGTTTTTGGTAGGCTGGCTGTCGTAGTGTTTTGTGGGCACCTTCTCACCACCTTTTAAGAGATGACTGAACTGTTTTCTAGGTTTAAAACATTTTTGGGGGAATGAATATAGAAGAAATACGGAAATAACTCATGCTAAAGAAAAACAAATCTATTTTGAACTTCAGAGTTTATTTCCATTTGACCTAGAATCATTTGCTAAATGAAGGAATTTATACTTTACTTTTCCTGTCTGCAGGTTGGGTCTTGAGGCAAAAAAAGAAGAAAATCTTGCAGATTGGTATTCTCAAGTGAGTAGGCATTCATTTGGTTTTTATGTGTTAAATTTCTCAAAGGCGACTTTATATTTCGGTTCTGAAGCCCAGACACAAAGTGATCGTGTATAACGCTTTTCTGTAGTAGAGTTATCTAGCATGTCACAGTTTTCAAAGCATGTTCACAGAAAACACTGAATCAAGAGGCAGCCCCGTGCGAGAGCCATTCCTTGATTTTTCTTTTTATTTTTTTTATGACGAGGTAAAGGAACTAGTCCAAAGTCACAAAGACAGTAACAGCAGAAACGAGATTAGAACTTCAGCCTCCTTAAGAGTTTCGGGCCCCGGCGTTTCCGAGTACAGGAAGGCTGGTTGTATGCGCACGTAAGGGGAGTGTGCCGGTGGGGGGCCTCCAGGCAGGAGCTTGGCTGTCCCGGTCCTGGCACCTGGACCGTGATGTTGGGTCAATTTTGGCCTTATAGGCTGCATTTTTCTTTTAAAAAGGTCATCACAAAGTCAGAAATGATTGAATACTACGATGTAAGTGGCTGCTACATTCTCCGCCCCTGGGCATATTCCATTTGGGAATCCATCAAGGACTTTTTCGATGCTGAGATCAAGAAACTTGGTGTCGAAAACTGCTATTTCCCCATGTTTGTGTCTCAAGGTGCCTTAGAGAAAGAGAAGACGCACGTTGCTGACTTTGCCCCTGAGGTGAGGTCGCTTTCTTTATTTTTGCAGTTTTTTCCTCAGACTGAGAAGTGTATTTCCCATTCACACTTGAATAGTAATTTAAAAGGCAAGTTATAATAGCCAATTGAGAGGAATTTTTAAAAATTTAAAAGCATTTAAAAAATTGTATTTCTACCTTTGGGGCAGGTTATGATTGTTTGTTACATTAAGTCACTACCTGGCTTTTACTTTTCTCTCGACATTTCTAAGGACAGTTAAGTCTCTGCCTTTTCTCACAGTGAACAGCAGTGATTATCTTCACTTGCCTTGATTCATGTAGCAAAAGTTGAATCAACAATTTGGTAGCACTTGTGCTGTTCCTTTAAGTGCCGTGTAAAAGCTGTGTGAAAACGATTTTCCCTACTAGGTGGCGTGGGTCACGAGATCTGGGAAAACAGAGCTGGCGGAGCCTATCGCCGTGCGTCCCACCAGCGAGACAGGTGGGCACAGGCCTCGGGCAGGGGACAGAGCACCAGAGACTGCTCTGGAGGGGCCTCGGGCAGGGGACGGAGCGCCGGAGACCGCTCTGGAGGGGCCTCGGGCAGGGGACGGAGCGCCGGAGACCGCTCGGGAAGGGCCTTGGTTCTCATTTTGCGATTTGTGTGATCCTGGTAGACAGGATATAAAGTTGAATGAGTGCATATAGAAAGGTGAACGCAAACTGAAGTTGTATAGGATTTCGTTCTATGTCTTTAGCAATAGGAAAAAGGTGTTTTTGTTTTATTTTAAAAACCAGTTTCATCATTTCATGTTCATGCTATAATTTCCCAGAACTATGCAAGGAATTGTATTCTTGAAATAATTTTTATTCCTGGAATTAGTTATAAAATTGCCAACTCTAATGTTTTATGTCATATTTATAAATTTTGTTATGTTAATATTACACTTACATTCATGTAGGTTTTCTGTGGGTCACTGAGTGGCTTTTATTTACATCCTGTACTGTTCTTACAACAGTGTAATGAGGAAGGATGAGGCAGCTGTGGTTATTTCCATTTTACAATTGAAAAAAGGTCTCTGGAAGGTGAAGCAACTTTCCTAAAATGACACAGTAAATGGAGGGTCCCTGGAAAGTTTGAGCCCTCGGTCGTCAGCGTGCTCCCGGGTGGCTGTCCGGTCTCGCGGAGGGCAGTTGGCGCTTTGACCCCCCGGGAAGCTCCGTGCACTCTCGTGGTGACGCAGCATTGAAATGATACCGCGGCAGCTGCCCCTCCCACGCCGGGCGCCGCAGCTTTGTGCTGCTGACGGTGCCGGCCCCGAGGTGGCCGTGGAGGGACGGCGCCTCCCCTCAGGTCAGCGGCTCTTAGCAGGAGCTTTCAGGCGACAGACGGATTGAGCCCGCATTCTGGTTCTGACACGTCGCCAGGCAGGAGTCAAGCAAGTTCTTTAACGTCTCTCGTCTCGGCTTCCGTGTCTTTAATGTTGAGATGCTGGGAGCTACTTTGTGGGTTGAATGTGAGAGCTGACGGGATAAAGAATGCAAAGAACTTCACATTGAACATGGTATATACTATATGTTCTTCACTTAGCGTTTTTCAAAACAAAACAGCAGCAGAGCAACTTAAATATTAAATGTAAATCTCATTGCTAGGAACACAAAACGCGGTCAGGTTTAGATTTATTCCTTGACTAATTTGCTTTATGAAGTACATAGTAATGCCATTCAGTGAGCATTACGAACATGGGACACACTCTGACACAAACACAACAGCCTGAGGCCTGCGCGTCACGCGCAGTTCAGCTCTCGGCGGCCGTGGGGAGACGCGAGCCCTTCCGGGGCTCACCGGCCGCTGTTCCCCGTGTCTTTCAGTCATGTATCCTGCGTATGCGAAGTGGGTGCAGTCGCACAGAGACCTGCCCATCCGGCTCAACCAGTGGTGCAACGTGGTGGTAGGTGCACCCCTTCCCCGTCCTCCCACCCTCCTGGCTCGCTGTTTCACGGGAAGGACGTTTTGGTTTTCCTTATTTGTGTATTCAGAGGACTGGGGGTGTGGAAGCCCTTTTGAAGGGTTTTGGATCACAGTTGTGATTTCTGATTACGTACACATAAAATTGTTAATAAACACCGAAAAGCCGTCTCTAACGACCAGGTTGTCTTCCTGCCCCTTCCAGCGCTGGGAGTTCAAGCACCCGCAGCCTTTCCTGCGGACCCGGGAGTTCCTCTGGCAGGAAGGGCACAGCGCCTTCGCCACGTTCGAGGAGGCCGCAGAGGAGGTATGAGAGCGGCGTCCTCTTCGGTTCGCGGTCTGGTCTGTTTCTCTGTCCGCACTGTGCGGCTCTCTCTCTTTCCAGCTGTGGGTAATGCAGTGTAATCGTTTGGTAAATAGCTCTAAGTTGAAATTTGATCTCATTTCAAAATAACATTAAAAGAATTTCCTGGTATAAATTACTTTGTTACTTAAAATCGTATCACCTTAATGTTCAGAGGAAAAACGAGTGCATTCAAATGTGCAGGAACCTACGAAACTGCTTATTGAAATTGTGTTAGAAAATTTTTATTTTTTAAAAATGTTATTTATTGATTTTTGAGGGGAGAGAGAGAGAGAGAAACACCAATTTGTTGTTCCACTTATCCATGGATTCATTAGTTGATTCCTGTGTGTGCCTTTACTGGGGATCAGACCTGCAGCCTTGGTGTATAAGGACAGTGCTTTAACCAAATGAGCTGCCTGGCCAAGGCCTTTTTAGATTTTCAGAGGAAAGTATTTTTGGACTTCAGTGTACTCAGAAGTTATCACATGGGTGAAATTAATGACTCTTCGTGAGATTTTCACCCTGGTCATTGTATGTTTCAAAAGCTTTAGCTTTTCTCGTATCCTAAATTTATGTAGGTTTTAAAAAGTTCTTCAACTTTTTTTTCACTCTGCTCTGTCGGAATGTCTTCCCAGTGTCTGCTTTAGCCTTTCCATAAAAAAGGGTTTTATCGTTTGAGTGCTTTTCTCCCACCACAGTTAGTTTTAAATGGTACAGGTTTATAGATCTGTACTAAATACGTATACCATAAATTTGAACATGTCTACATTTCAAATGTTGTTACAGGTCTTGCAGATACTTGACTTATACGCTCAGGTGTATGAAGAACTCCTGGCCATCCCTGTTGTAAAAGGAAGGAAAACGGAAAAGGAGAAGTTTGCCGGAGGAGACTACACCACTACGGTGGAGGCCTTTATATCCGCCAGCGGGAGGGCTATCCAGGTATTGGCCGCTGCCTCCGCTTCCTAGGGGGCTTCCTAGGGAGCTTCCTAGGCGTCTCCCTAGGGGTCTCTCGTGAGCGCAGCGGGCGGGCACACCCGGCGCATTTCTTCTGTCATCTGCGGAGGAGACTCCAAAGGCCTGCAGGTCGTGTGCCTTCCCGGCCACGTTCCGATGTCAGGCGCTGCTGTCCCATTTGTCGAGGTCCCCGAGGTCAGTCAAGTCAGGGCTGTGTCCTGACTGACCAAAGCGGGGAGTCCCGTCTAACCTTGGCAGCGGGTGTCACTCCTAGGAAAGGGCGGGCCCCAGCAGTGCGCCTCGGTGGTGCTTTTTGCTTAAACTTAGTCTCTTCGGTGTATCAGTTATACTTGAAAAATGTATTCGTATTTAAAAACTCAAGGAAGAAGAATTAGGTCTGGTGTCATCTTAAGGCGGGTGATCTTACAATCATTTCCAAAGGCATAAATATTATTAAAATGAAGCTATTTTTCTCTCTATTTCAGGGAGCAACTTCACATCATTTAGGGCAGAATTTTTCCAAAATGTTTGAAATCATTTTTGAAGACCCAAAGGCGCCAGGAGAGAAGCAGTTTGCCTATCAGAACTCGTGGGGCCTGACCACGCGGACAATCGGGGTCATGACCATGGTTCATGGGGACAACATGGGCCTCGTGCTGCCGCCCCGGGTCGCCTGTGTTCAGGTGAGGAAAGTCCTCTGTTCTCACGCCTGTTAGAAAGTGCACTTCCCGTTGACACGTGGAGATGTCTGAGCATCATCCAGGTGTATTTCGCTGGTAGAGAAACTATGTAGAACCCAGTCTCGACCTTGGTGTTGTGCAACTGTGTGTATCGTTTGTGTTTTTGTTTTTTACTCCTTTAATTTTCAGCTACTTTATATAAAGCTTTTTTAGAAGTCATTTTTTGAAGTGATTTATAATAGGCTAAATGAAGTACAGCAGGTCAAGCAAAAATGCACTTAGCGGGGCTGAGCAGCGTGCAGCCGGTTGGCAGCATTCCGTGGGGACTAGAAGTCGCACCAACGAGTCGACGTGTGTTAGGATTCGGAGTCCCCCCTCCCCGTTTCTCTGTGTAACTTTGTGGTGCTGTGCTGGGCCCCAGGTGGTGGTCATTCCCTGCGGCATCACAAACGCCCTCTCCGAAGAAGACAGAGATGCCCTGATCGCCAAGTGCAACGACTACCGGAGGCGGCTGCTCAGCGCTAACATTCGCGTCAGAGCGGACCTGCGAGATAACTACTCGCCCGGGTGGAAGTTCAATCACTGGGAGCTCAAGGTAAGCACTTCCCCCACGTCTTCTGCTCCCAGCTCGGAGGTAGATTTTCTTTGTATCTTTATAAAATGTAAGTCTTTCTCTGTTTTGATCGTTGTGGGTTCTTCACTGAAACTAAGTGTTAAGCACATTTGCTAAATTAAAGTGTTTTTGCGGAAGGTTATTTGATTGTTAGAATAAAGAGTGATCTTGAAGACCTTGTTTATGACTAATAAGTAAACCTCAAGCAGCACAGTTTTTCCCTTAGGTTTATGCCTTATTGGAATAGGTTTTGGTAATAGCTCAGGAACCTCACCTGCTTTTGTTTACTGTTTGTGCATGCCTTTCTTTTTTGTACTTTTATGATTTATTGTTAATAAAACCATGAAATAGTCTATATATGGGGTAAGCAAAAGTAGGCTTACAGTTGTAATACAAAGAAAGAATACAGTAATTAATAAATAGTAGTACAAGATTAAACTCTGTTTTGGAAACTCATGACTGTAAGCCTGCTTTGCCCACCCTGAATTCAGCTGGGGACGTTCATCTCTTACCTTCCCTGCCTTCTTTGCCTCCTAGGGAGTCCCCATCAGACTGGAAGTTGGGCCCCGTGACATGAAGAGCTCTCAGTTTGTAGCTGTCCGTCGAGATACTGGAGAAAAGCTAACGATTGCCGAAAATGAGGCTGAGACTAAACTTCAGGCCATTTTGGAAGACATCCACGTTAACCTTTTCAGAAAGTTAGTTCCTTAGGGTGGCTCGTGTCTCTCACCTCAAACCCTACTCGACCTTTGAGATCTAGACTGAGGAATTCTTTGTCCCACGTGGAAGTCATCTTTCCCTCTGAAAACCCGTGGTTCTTATTCTGCCTTTTTGTGTTTCGACTTGTACTAGGGTTATTTTTCTCAGTGCTTTCCGCCCTCTGCTGGGTTTGCAGCAGTGGACTGTCTGTGTGTCCTGTGGACTTACTATGGTTAGTTTTAGATCCCAGCCTCTGTGACATACAAATGGGAGGAAGTAAGGCGTTGCTTCTTCCCTGCTGGATTCATCTTAGCCGCCCCCGGGAAGCTTTAAAAACTGCCAGTGCACGGTGCTCCCCCCCTCCCCCGATGCTCGTGGGACTGGCCTCCAGTGGGCCTGGCGCCTCCCCGGGCGCTGCCCTGACCTGTGGAGGGGGGTCTTTTAGAATCGCACATCTTAAGGCAGAGGCACCCGAAGATTGGTGGCCTGTGCGGGGCACCTCGTTTTCTTTCCTGCCCACCTCGCGCAGATGGGAGGGCCCGTGCCGCTGGAGATGGAGGCTCTGTGTCGGGGAGCGTCTGCATCTTGTTCATGCACCGTCTAGAGCCTTGTACCCACCTCATATTGGCCCTCAGTAAATCTTGCATTTAGGGAGCGGACTAATTTTAGCCTTGGCTTTGGTGCCTGCTTAGGTGTTTGTAGGTGAAGCAAATGACTTGGCTCTTCTTCTTGGCTTGCTCGCCCTAAAATGGGAGTAACGATAACTCTCTTGAGGAGTCACTTGAGGGATTTGTTCGGCCTGCAAACGCATGCTGCATTTGGGGTCCTTCTGGGCTCAGAACGGCGCGGTAGCCGGAGATGAAAGGGTTGGGAGCTGCCTGCCCTCGTCGCTGCCGTTCAGAGGTGCATCCAGCGCGGTGGCTCCTTGCTGGGGATTCTCTCCAGAGCCACCCGGAGCTTTGGAGCAAAAGCAGACCTGGCCTCACGCCTGGAAAGTCTGCTCTGTCAGCTTTAAAGTAGGTCCCGGTCGTCTGTGGTGTCCCATTGCTCTCCGTTGATTCAGATGCGCCTCCTTGGGTGAAAAACCAGTGCTTTAGTGACTAAAGAAATTTTTTGGTGACATTTTTTACTCAGTAAATTTGCTAACATAAGTTGCATGAGTTTCCTACCTTAACGCTTAAGCAAGTCTGGAACGTGACACGTTCCTTTCTCTGGATCTTAGTGGCTAAATCTTCGTCACATGGGCCCATCTCACTACAAAAGAGCTGGACGGAGGGGAGGCCGATTGGGTGGACAGCTAGCGGTCGTGGGCAGAGGTCATGTGGCCTTAACCCTGCGATTCAGCGAAGAAAGAGGCCTCTTTTTTGGTCAGCACCCCTAAGCGGTCCTCATCTAATGCATGGCTTCGAATATGGAAGAGAATGATGCTTAATTCTATTTCTAAAAGCGTTGCATAGTGGGGGAGGGGAAGCAGGAGAGGGAGGAGCGGGGATAAACGGTGACCGAAAGAGACCCGGCTGGGGCGGTGAGCACCCAGTGCCGTCTACAGAGGGTGTGCGATAGAATTGTGCCCCGTAAGTCAATATGATTTTATTAACCAGTGTAACCCCAGTAAATCCAACTAAAAAAAAAAGTTATGTAGTGTGTGAAAATAGCTTGAATAATGGACATTTATGAGTTTTTCCTTTTCAAGACACTGCGTATCTTCATGTTTGATTCTCAGAACAATCCTGTATGGTAGTTAGAGTTACTTGAGTGGTGTTCCAGTTTCGTAGAAATGTAAAAAAGTTAAGATCAGAGAGGTTTAAAAAATAACCCAGACTTTCATAAGGTAGTGGTCTAGCCAGGAATAGAATGTTGGTCAACAGATTTAATGGCAATAACAACAGTAATTATTACCTGCTGTGTGCTTGGTAAATTCCTCATCATTTAATGTTCACAGTAATAAAATGATGAGTTAACAGATTTACTGACTCACTGCTAGTGACAAAGTTGAAGTTCAAATTGAGTTCTTCTCACTTCCAGGTTATTGTTTCATTAAATTATGCTTATTTAAAAATAACGTATTCGTGGGGGTAATTATGTATCCTTTTCTAATTATTTTTTGAAAGGGCTTCTGAAGACCTTAAGACTCATATGGTGGTGGCTAATACAATGGAAGAGTTTCAGAAAGTGCTAGATACTGGAAAGGTAAGAGACTTCTGAGTAGTTTTGAATATAAAGATACTTTAGTAAATGGTGTTTTAAGACTCACTGGGCTTAAGAATTAAAGTCTATTAATCCCTTTTTCAAGGCCAGTCACACAGAAAAGATTACATATTACTCACTGTTATATACTCTTTTCCACTGGCTTTCTTCGACTTTCACAAAGTGTATTGTTTTGGGATAACACTGTGAACTGAGTATATAAAAGCTTTTTCTTATGCCTGATGTGCTGGCTAAACAGCATTCACTGTATTAGCCCTGACGTGTTCATTATGGAAATCTTCATTTTATTTTCAGTTTGACCCAAGTTCCTAAAGCCAGTCTTGTTCTAGCTTTAGAAATGTCACATGCAGATTCTTAAAAGGTTAAAAGTCTGTTTCTCTCAACTCTGTCCCCGTATTTACATGTAGCTATTGATTGGGTGAACTTCCTGAGTAACGGCGGGAAGCAGGGCTCATGGCCAAGCCCCTTTTTTAGAATGAGTGGGTGCTTCTGACGCCTTCAAACTATTCGGGCTTTCTCATGAGGTCCTAAGTGTCACTTTAAGATTTTATCAGCTTCACGTGTTGTATGCGTGCGTGTGTATGTTCCCAGCCAGACTTCCAATTTTCATAAAGAGGAGTTCTTGATTTGCAAAAGTATTAATTGCTGAGGTGAATCAGTTATGAACCTTAGTATTCTGGTATGCATGTTTGATTATACAACCAGTCCTGTGTCCCCACATTATAAATGACAAAACCACGGGCCAGAGGCTAAATGAATTACCCCGAGCTATGCAGAAGCAGACCTGGTACTGGAATGTAGCTCTCTCTTCTGACTCGGGAAGGCGAAGTGTAACTGTTTGGGATCAAAACCTCTTAATATGTCTCTTATTCCATGAGCTGGGAAAATGTTAATCTCTCTGGCTCTCAGTTTGCTGGCTTGTAAAATGAGTACAAAATAGAGCATTTCAGTTTGCCCTTCAAATCCATAATTGTCAGTGTTTGGCCTGCTTTTATTCTTGGAATATCGCTTCTGTAAACTCCCCCTTTCTGGTTTCCATAATTTCTCTCTTGACTCGCACTACGTCCTTGTAAGAGAAGGCTGGACAGTGGGTCGCCATCTGATGCTGTGTGCATTTTTCCTTTCACTGTAACTTATGACTATTGTAGTTTTGTTCCATCGATGACTGAATTTATAATTTCCTCTTTATACAAATATGGTAGTCACAGTTGCAGTACAGTCTGGGAAGACATTGCATAAGAGTTAATAAATCAATAGAGTAAACACCAGTTAATCCATTGCTTTCAGAGAAATGAATCTCAGCAGATGTTAGTGGAAACCACAGATTTCAACATCTGTTCTAAAGCAAAATACAGTATTTTAGTTGTGTGTCCAAAGGACACAGGGCCCAGAGCAAATTTTGTTACTCGAATGAAGCAGCCCTGCCCCCGGCCCCGCCTCTCCTTATGCTGGTCAGCGAATATGTTGACTGGCCACCACGCAGCCTGTGAAGTTACTGTAAATAAAATTGTATTTACTGGGAGGGGAGAAGGTGGAAGGGATCTTTGGGACTTGAATGTAGGTGAAAGTTTGATTTTCTACTTTCTCTGTTAGTATAAAGAAAAAAAAATTATGTGTAGGACTTGATTTTAGTAAATTTTCCAAGGGGTGGTCTGAATTAAATTAAAAATAAGTGTTATTTATATATAATACATATTTTTTACTGTTGGCATACAGTAGTAATCTATTGATCACCATAATTTTTGAGTATTGTTATTTTTGTTATTAACATTTCTGCTACAGAATGCAAGCTATTATGTGTGGCAAGAGATTGTGTCTTTTTTAATACACAGATATGGAAATTATAAATAAAAATTAGGAACTTTCCATGGCTGAATAGTCTAAAAATGTATACTTTCCTTTCATATTAATAAATTATATGCATAAATAGAAATTTCATATCTTACCATCTATACATGACTTTGCAGCTAGAAAGAATTAAAACATTTTTTTGAATAAAGTTATCATATATGAGTCCAAGTACATTTAATAACAACTTCAGTTGAATTTTTCACATGCTACACCATTTTAAATTTTAAAAATTATATTAGAAATACTTTCTCAAGGCTCAGTAATTTTTTTGTAAGAAAAAGAAAGTAAGATTACTATAAATTTTGTTAAAGTTATTTAAAAAATAGCTGTTATGAGTCAATAAAAGTAAAATTTTATTATCCAAAGACATTCTCTGTAATTGTCTTAATATTTTTATCATTGCTTAAATAGTGACAGTGATTAAAGTTTCTCCCCATTGTGTCTTTTGTAATGAATTTTAACATTTTTGTGAGTGTACGTTTTTTTCATTCTTTTTGAGTTCAGAAATGCTAATGGTTTACCAGGCTTCAGGACAAGGAAGTCACTTTGTGTGATTTCAGCTCTGATATCCACACTGGTCTTTGCTTCAGTTTGCATTGCATAATTTCTATATTAAATTTTTACAAAATATTTATTAATACCAACCCTTCCACCTTCCCATTGCCCACTCATCCCTTCCCTCCAGGATTTGCCTAGGAATTTACCAGCTCTTCACTATCGTAGGGTACCGTAGATTATTAAAATAATGGTTTGCCAAGATTGGAATTTTCGCTGAAGGAACGTAAGAGAAGTAGATAACTGACTCTTCCTCACTCTGCGTTAATGCTCCCCTGATGAATTACTCAGTTTTTAGAATAATTTCTTCGTCTGTATTTCACTTTATCTTAGAGAAGCCTTTTGGAACATGTTTTAACCAAGTCCCAAGTGCAAGGAAGAGTTTGCAGGGGGGCCTCGGTCTGAGCCTGGGCCGTGTGGCTGCACGTAGTTGGGCAGAAGCTGACGAGGAAGCCAGACAACTCTCTAGCGGCTCTGGACCCGCATTCCAGTGGACGGCGGCTGCCCGTGCCTTCGCGTCCCCGACCGCTAACACGGGTGTCCCGGAGTTTCTTATGGGGCACTTACGAAGATGTTATTGCAGGCAGATCTCATTTTGAAGTAGACATGCTAAGAAAAATTCAGGATTCACAGCTGAGAGAAACCTTCCTTTTTGTCTAGCCCAACATCCACATTTTAAGAACGAAAACTTGGAACTAGAGATTTTCAGATAGGCAGTGAATTTCAGAATCAGGATAGAATCCCCAGTTCTCTTGATTGTTCTGATTCTTCTAAATAGTCTGTGAAAAAAATTTGGAGGGGTGTTTTTTTTCTGATGCAGAATGAGTCTTGACTTTCACATGCTCTTGGCCTTTAAAAAATGATTCACGCACCTGTGACATGTTAAAACAGCGGGTCATAAAGCGAGGTTTACCTGACTGCTAATTGTTATTGTGAAAGTGCTTTAAAAGTCAGGTCACTCGTTGTCAGCTCCCCTCCACCCTCCTGCGAACCGTCGCGGAAGGGCAGGCGGTGGTCCCCGTGTGAAGTGGGGAGGTGCCGCCGCTGCCTGGACCGAGGTCCCCCCCGCTTTGTTCCTTCTCTCAGGCTCTGTGTCGTAGCCACTTGGTTTGGACAGGTCAGTGCCTTGCGGAGATGCCTGGGTTGTGCCTTGATGCTTCGTGGTGTGTGGGTTTTGGAGAGTGGGCAAACACACTTCGTATCCCTGCGTCTCTAGGCCAAGTTCCTAGCAGGTCGGCAAGGGCACCATGGCCCGGAAAGGGCTGGGAGAGCCCTGCTTTACGCCTGTAAGTTTAGTAGGGGACTCGGCTGCCCTTTTTATAGCATGGAAGGCGTTACAAACACTGAATACTGTTCCCTGTTAGATCGTTCAGATCCCATTCTGCGGGGAAATTGATTGCGAAGACTGGATCAAGAAGACCACCGCCAGGTAAGGAGAGTTCACGGATCCCACGGGAGGAAGGGCAGCGAGAAGGAAGAGAAATGCGCAGCTTAAGTGAATGGAATTCTTACTTGTCTTTAATTTCAGGGATCAAGATCTTGAACCTGGTGCCCCCTCCATGGGGGCCAAGAGCCTTTGCATCCCCTTCAAGCCGCTCTGCGAGCTGCAGCCCGGAGCCCGGTGCGTCTGTGGCAAGAACCCTGCCAAGTACTACACCTTGTTTGGCCGAAGTTACTGAGGATGAAGCCGCACCCCAGTCTCCAGCCCTCCTCACTTTTAAAAAAGCTGATACTACTGTCTTCCCAGATATAGACAGTTTTATGATTTTTTTAAAATAAAAGCTCGAAAAGGAGGTCACATGAAATAAACTCCTATTCTTATTCCTAAAACAACAGTGCAAAAAGGCTTTTCTGCATACAACCCCAGTAATAAATATCATGAACTAATACTGCTTTATGTATCTATTTATTTCTGAAATACTGGAATTATGTGCTTCAGGGAAATTCCTACGAAGAGATGAAAATAACTGAAAATAATTTCTCTGCATAGGAATTTCCCGAAGTTTCCGATGAGTAGAGCTAATCACAGAAAAGCTCGAAGTTATCCGCTTTAAAGGAATTCATTATTTACAGGAACCCCACAGTAAGTAATTAGGTTAAGGAAGGAATCACCCCAAATCTACATGTGATAGACTTTTTTCTTAAATTGAGATTCAACTAAAATACCAAAACTTTTTCAGACACCTTAAAAGTGGTGGTGCTTTTCAAGAAGGTGCATAAACCTGAGTCCAAACAATGTCCTTTAAGAAATGTCACACTTGCAGATGACAGCCGTGAACTCTAATAGATACGTGACTGATGGTCACGTATGCCTAGTGTTCAGTGCGGCAAAAAGAAAAATAGGTCAAGGGGTGTTTTCCAGAATTGGACCATAACAGCAAGTTCTCATCAGGGGAGACATGATTAGCAAGTGAACCGTTAAACCCAGGTGAACTGGTAGACCGGGGAAAGCGCCCGCCTGTTGGCGGCGTGGGCGGGCCTCGTCAGTCAGCCGAAGTGAGCAGCCCCTCTGGGCTCCTCCTGCTCACTCTTCTCTACTGGAGAGGCTTTGGGTCTTCAGGTCAGCAGCAAAAACACACCCCAGAAAACAAGTGAAGAGAGTCTGGACATACCACCCTACCTATATCTGATTCTACTTAGTAATCTTAGTCCTCCGTGATACGGTGGTGGTCAGGGTTGTCGGTAGCTTCGATAGTAGCCACCTCTGCTGTTATCTTTGGCCCTTTGCTTGTCACTTTTACTAGGTCTAGAAGATGCTAGCCCTTAAGAAATTTACCTAGTAAAATTTAATAAATGGTCTGTGCAAAGTGCCAGAGCAGACGGGAGTAAAACCAAACGTGATTTCCTTCCCTTGAAGTAGTCCTATTTTAGATGCAAAATCAGGCCACCGAGTGAACTAGGGGATGCAGCGAAGGCTCGGGCTGAGCATCAGCGGCTGGAGGCACGGCCTCCCTCCCCCTCCCTGAGCGCGGTGACGCCGTCCCCACCATCCGTCCCCACCACCGGCGGCATGCTGGGGACTGTCCTGCCCCTGAGGTGATGCCTGGAAAATCGGTACTATTCTCTCCCACCATCTGGCTTAAAGTAGCAGAAACAGCTCTCGCGGCTCAGCAGGGAATATGAAACCACTCTGTTTATTCAACTGTACTGGAAGGTTTAAGCTTTTGGAGCATCAATGACACTGAAATGGAATAAAAGGGTTTTTGTTCTCGGGTGATGGGAATATTTCAAAGTATGCATTTCAAGTATGTTGCCCAAACCCAATTCTGTGAGTAAGAAATACCTGTTGAGTGAGTGAGTTTCTTGCCTCTTTCACGTCTTCACTCAGGGAACATCTCAGCAAATTCTTCCCTGATCACTTTATTTAAAATTACAACCCCACCCCATGCCAACGTTCTGTCCTTCCTTTCTGCTTCATTTGTCTCCACTCTTAGTACCATCTGACATTTAGTACATTTTATAACTGACTTCGTTAAGCTTCGTAAAGGCAGGGGTTTTTGTCTTTTATTCATTGCTGTCTTCCCCAGAACCTAGAACCGTGTCTGCCGTGTGGGAACTCAGTCAATATTTGTTGCATGAATGGGTGAATGAGGAAGTCTTAGTGCCCTTGGCGCACAGTCTGGTTGTATGAGTGGTCTGTTAGACTTAATTGGAGATTATTTGTGTGATGCTAAGAAATTAGTAGGGCTACATTTAAGTTACAAGGATTTAATCATAGTGTATCAGCATTTTCCAGATAAAAACCAGTAGGAAGGATGTGTAAAAAGATATAAATTTATTCATTTTTTTAGAGAGAAGGGAAGGGAGAGAGAGAGAGAGGGAGAGAAACATTGGTTGCCTTTCACACGCATCCTGACTGCGTACCAAACAGGTAACCCAGGCTCGTGACCTGACCGGTAATTGAACCTGTGACCTTTCGCTTTGCAGAATGATGCCCCAACCAACTGAGCCACAGCGGTCAGGGCTATAAATAGAGGTTTTTAATGAAGAATTGCAATTACGGGGGGTGAGAAGTGCCAAGATCTGCAGGGTGAGGCAGCAAAGCAGGAAGCTGAGGAGAGCCTATGGTATAGGTTTCACCCTGAAGGTCCATGATCTTAAAGCCCAGGAAGAGCTAACATTTCAGTTCAGACCTGAAGGAAGGACAAAGCCAGTGCCCAGCCTGAAGGCGGTCAGCAGGCAGAATCCGGGGGTGGGGGTGGGGAGGAGGTTCTTTTAGGCCTTCAACTGATGGAGTGAGGCCCACCCACCCTGTGGAGGCAAATCTGCTTTACTGATCCAAAACGCCCTCACCAGGCCAGTCAGCAGGGTGGGGGAGGTGGGTGGGACCTGCGGGGTGTGCAGGCCTTGGTGTCCTGGTCGCGCTGCCCAGGGGACGTGGTGCCAGGCAGCTCCTGGGGCATAGTGTAGAACGAAGTGAAGAGCTCTGGAGTGGCTTCTGCCTGCGACCCCAGGGCCCTTCTGCTTTGGGATACTTGAGCTAGCGAAGAGGTGACTTAGGCTTAGGGCTGGCCAGAATAATGGAAGAAAAGACGCTTTTCCTTCCGTCTAGCACCAGATCCTTACTGTCAGGCTAAATACGCTGTCCAAGCTGGCCCACCTGTCCCCGTTAGGAAGGGTCACAATGTCATTGAAGTCTTTCGGTTGTAAACCCCAGTACGGGAATTTAAATATGGAGACCTCCTGGGACACTTGACAATTATGCACGATGCCATTAGATGCAAGAGTACTGTAATGGGCAAGAACTACACAGGGAATGGTACAAGCTTTTCCAACTTGGAAACTGCACGTTTCCTGAGCTCCGACCTGAAATGAATGCATCATTCTGGCGCAATCAAGGAGCTGCCTGCTTTTTGGAAGGAACTGATGATATTCACTGGAAGGAAAGTGGGACGGTAGTTCAAGTAGCAACCATATCAGGAAACGCAAGCAACAAAATGGCAAAGTGGTTAGAACGGGACAATGAAATGGATTTATTATGAGACATGGACCACCCAAGTCAGCCCAGAAAAAGGGCAGAGACATTGTTTGAATCCACAACTGTTCCAAATTTGTGTTAAAGACATACAAGAAGTTGTCTGAACTTGGAGCAGAGCTCAAGAAGATAGAAACCAACTACACAAGAAAAGTTCTTTACAGTGGAGAACCTACTTATTTGGGAAATGAAACATCTGTTTTTGGGCCAACAGGATATAAGACTCTTGCTTTAGCCATAAAAAAATTTCATTACCCCTTCAAACCATATTTGTCAACTAAAGAATTTCTGTTGAGCCTCTTGAAAGTTTTTGATGCAGTGATTATACACAGAGTTCTATTTGTTTTATAATCTTGAATATTGGTTTCTACCTATAAAATTCCTCTTTTATTAACATGTGAAGAAACCCCTTTACCTAACAGAAGCAAAATAATCTCTGGTTTATAAAACTTTTATTCTACTGCTTTCTTCCCTCCTACCACCAGCATATCAATTTTCCATGGAGTGGTTTTGAATTTGTGTATTTTTTAGGTCTTTCTTCCTTGGGGCAGAACGATAAAATGCGCAGGGGCAGAATTGCTGCTAAATATATCTCAGGGGTGTTTTGTTTTCGTTTTGGAGAGAAGCGGAAACTCTTACAGCGTTGGCCAAAGTGAGCACGTTACATGATTCTGATTTCATCCCCTACCCTTTATTAATATGGAGAGTTACAGTTTATATCAGCGATATAGGCTGTTTAGACCCAACATTTTAAATCTGTGAATATGGTGTATCAACATTTTAAAATTACTGTCAGTGACATTTTCTGGTATGGTAGTTACAGTTTTTTACTCATGTACTTTTTGGTAGTATAGACTGACTTTACAACAACTTTTGGAACCACTCTGTTAGTTTGATTTTATCAGTTCACCTGCCCTTAGTAAATACAGTGAAAAAGAGCCCAAGTGTTTGGCTAGCATTTTAGAACTAGCCAGTGACCGGCATTGTGTGATTTAAGCATCTTAACATCTTTGAACCTTAGTTTCCTAATATCTGAAATGATTCATCTGTCAGGATTGTTCTAAAGACTGAAGCCATGTATGTTTGGCATAGTAAGGTCACAAAAAAATGGTAGCTATAATGACTAATCAAAGAGGGGAAAAACACCCTTACAGAAAACCCTCAGAACAATGTTTGATCAAATGTCCAGGCACCTGGTGGCCCCGTCAAATTGATGCTTAAAAATGAACCCCCGCAGTCTTTAAATTCAGAAGATTGGCTATAGTAATTTCAGTTTCTGTTTCTTCACAGGATTGAGCATAGGCAAGCTACTCAGAGCAATAGAGGCCGCTATTGTTTCGCATGTTGAGGAACTAGTAAACCTTTAAGGATTATAAGCGATAGACGATAAGATTAAAAACAAAAATATTTGTTAAGTCATTATAATTTGGCTTTATTCCTGAAACTGACGGGGGTTATGTCTTCAGCTCCTGCAGTTTAAAGGTATTTTTCTATCTTTCCTGAGCATGAGGGGTTTTTTTAAGCCTTACTGTGGAGAATGTCTGGAAGTAGGGTGCTTGTGTGTTCCTGATCAGTGGGCCGGCGGCCACAATGTACCCTCGCTTCATCGTTGGGTTTCACTTGCTGTAGCTCCGATCTAGAATATTCCCCGTTCCATGCAGTGAACAGCACTCAAAGTTGTTTACACGCCAGGGAGACAGGACAGGGTGGCCTTTGTCAAAGGGCTTGTCTCACCGGTCACTGCGAGTGTGGAGGCCGGGAGGGCTGAAGCCACAGGTGCGCCACTGCATGAGTCAAAGACACACAGACACCCCACTTCTGTAATGGAACACAA